TTTACACGTTTTATATATATTCAGAGGTCTGGTGGTCTAGTGGTTAAAAGACCCGCCTCTCATCACTCATGCATGAGGGCGCGGGTTCGATCCTGGCAAGTACCAATGTGATTTTTGCTAGTCTAATCTAATCTCATATCTCTAAAACATCGTGAGGAAACCTGGACTTATAATTTCAAATTATAAATTTGAAATCGCCAACCCTGTTTTGAGCAAGCGTGGTGTAATGCTCAAACCTTCTCCATGTGAGAAAGAGGCCTCTCAGCAGTGGGCGCTGATAGGCTGATGACGACTACTTAATATATATAAATATATTTATATTTATATGCAATATTATCTTATAACGGAAAACCACTACTCTAGTGATCTGCCGTTATAAAAGAAAAGGTATCATCTAGGCTATTTTGTAACGACAATAATTATATAGAGGTCCCAGGGTTAGTGTGGCAATTAATTTAGACGGAGTAAGTCGCGACCACAAACACGGCTTAATAAAACAACCTTAGCTCCACAATATACTTTAAGACCCGCGTTTGGTTACAAATTATTACATAAGCCTTACAGACGTACATTTGAAACTTGAGTGAATTGATTTCTGTTTATCTTCAATTAGTTAAATTTAACAAAATATTAGATATAGTAATAGGTACTTTGAAAAATGAATTAAGGTTCCTAAATGAAACTAATATTTTTGGATTACTAAGCCTATTTTATTATTTTTAATAACTAACTCCACACTCCCGACGTTTCGGTTACTTTTCAGCAACTGTGATCACGGGCAGACGAGATGTGAATGTCTGTCAGTTGGTCTTGTGATTTATCGTTTTTGATGTTGTTTGGAGTATTTAAAATAATAGAATACGCGTATAATTCCAAAAATATTAGTTTCATTTAAATGAAATTTGCGAAAGTCTTAGATCTCATTGTATTTAGAGGCTCTAATGTCCTGTACATTGAAGAAATGATGAATCAAAGATATATCTAATAGTGGTAGTAGTTTATTCAGTATGATTAAAATAACATGACTGCAGCTCTGTCTTTAAGCTTGACCTTTACAGTAACAGCTAACAATAAAGTAGCTGCAATGACGTCTATGGTCAGAAGTGGCCATAGACTCTCCACAAAACAAATATAAAACAAAACAAAGTAAATCTTGCTGTTCCTTATATTTTATATTATTAGCTATAATTTCAATACATCAAGATGAAAAGCAGTAATGCAAGAGATACTAATTTCAATTCCTATTAGGGACATTAATAACATAAGCACATTTGACGTTTTATTATTTTTTTTTATTTACTTCATAATACTGTGCGAAGTATACAATATACAGCCAATGTCACGTATAATGCTTAAAATTGAGAATATACTGACAATAATACACCAAAGAGTCCGTATATTTTTCTATCAGCGTGATATCGATGGACACTTCTGAATTAGATCACCGTCGCCGCGGTGGCTCCCAAATTCACTAACGAGGTTTTAATGTCTTTAATTGATGTAAAGTATTCTACTTTCATTTTTAGTATCACCTATCTTTGTCTTGCTCGAAAACATATAGGAAAGATTACTTATGTATTTATAAAAAAATTAACATAAAGAAGCCTGTTCTTTAGAGTATTTGAGACATTAACAATTTTACCATCAAATTTATATTTGTTTTTAATAAAATGCTGACTTGTGATCTAGAAAAAGCAACCAAAGCCGAGTTATTTCTTGAGTTGTTTTGTTCCTTACTGAGTCCGCTTGGTTATTTCTCTCGCTGGTAGAAGTCGGTTTCTTTAACAGGAAACAATCTCTTCAGAGTCGACTTGCGTGACTCCTCACTATTATTTATCTTCGACATAGTTGTCATCTTATACAAATACTTTGTTTAAATCATATTTGTCATTCACCATTGTTGGCTTTTTCGAAAAATATGAAAAAAATGCTCAAGAACATTATCGAAACTAAACTTTTATTGAAAAACAACAACTTTGTCTTATACTTATGTATATAAGTTTGTTGTCGTAAAGTATCCTAATATAAAATCTTTACGATATCAAAACACTTAATATATTTACTCCATAATTTATTAATTGTCGGGATCAGATTTTTTTGTATTTCCAACGAGCACCTGTCTAACGCGAACGCCGAGATGATTTCGATGACTCGTTATTTTCAACAAATAAAACCATAAAAGTATCATCACCAAGCAATTAGATGCCTTAATAAGTTGGACTTAAAATTGATTTTTAAACAGAGATATTTTTATATGTAGTTTTTTTTTTTAAACGTCTTCTTTTTAGACAAAGGGTGAGAAGATCAGTCCACTGACAAGGCAGGGCAGGCAGGTAGAAAATCGATTGTTATTCGACCGACAAATAATATCTTGCAGACAATGGTATCATTCTCAGCTATTGCACAAAGGTATCGAAGCAGTATCATTACGTTCACAGGTGCAAAATTCATACAAATATGTTACTATAATATTAAATATTATATGTATTTCACCTTAAATATTCAATTTGCTAATATTTTATATATAATTTTAATTAAATACATCATATGATATATAAAAATTACATTTCTGAATCGTATTTAGACACGTGAACGTCTGTGTTACGAGCTCACAAGGAATAACACAAATTAGGTGGAAACTCCGAAATTGCAGCCCCGGGCACGTAAATTGCAATTAGCCGGCGAGTTTGAGTGTACGTACCCATGATATATGTACGTGATTTCAGTGTTTTGATATTTTTACTTCGTTTCGTCAATACTTTGCTTTGTGTAGCTTTTTGTCGAAACGTGTACAACAAGAAGGTTTCAGACTATAAATTCTAGATTAGAAACTTTTATTACACATACAATGATCTCACCAGATAGAAAACAAGGAAAGTTTATCTAAATAACGTAAAGGAAACATAACTTCAAAGATTTCTTTAAGACTTTACCAACTATAAATATTTCTGTCGACCAAAAATATTATGATATTTTATATTCAGTTTTAATGACGTTACTTTTTATCCTGATCTCATTAAACTGTCATTTATATAGGACACATTTTAAGTATTTAACGATGCTATTACAAATGTCTGGTTAATTTCCCGCGGAATTTTGTACAGTATAAAATCCATACCTCTCTGCATCGCTTTAAATAAACGAATTTGTGAAATCAAAAACAACGTTCAGAAAACCACTAATATAGAACTGTTGAGGATTTTATTGAATGAATAATTACTTAGAAGACTATTATGTAATAACGATTTTATTTTTATATGATAAAATTTTCCTTAAGTTTTTAACATTGTATTATAGAAATTTTAACTTTAGCTATATAGATATAAGGATGAATTTAGTTTAATAATAAATATATGTTTATAGTACAAACATGCAATTGACAGTATCGAGTCGGCTTCGTGGAGCGTTGGTATGAAGAGCAATGGGCTCGTCCTACGGGTGAACGAGGCGCGATCCGGTATGTCATTAGCAATACAAAAATATACTTTTTAACATTTAATATAAGTATATCACGTTTTAATCAATAACATTGCAAAACTATCTACTTAGTAATAAAATAAAACCTAACTATTAAATTTTTAAACAATATATTATTGTATAAGATAGTAAAGGATTTTAATTTTAATATCGATTATCAGAAAAAAGAGTTAGTTATCGATAGCACAGTTTATTTCCAAAGTGAATCATGTTCATACTATAATAATAAACGAAACGTGAGCCGGATCGCGCACCGATCAGACAGAAGAAAGTATGGCGGGGCGGGATGATAGCGACGGAGGCTGCGACCGGCTGGACCGGTTATGCTAAACCCCATTGTGGTCAGTTTTTATACCGCGCGCCCCTCGCCCCGCGCCGACACCCCCGCCGCCCCGCACACAAGCCACAAGGGCTATATTTGATTGGCGAAAAATTTTAAATTATACCAACATTTTTGTCGTCCTAATATTAAAATTTTCGGTAATTCGAGATTAAACGGGTCAAGTATTACAGGTTGGTAAACACTTTTTGACTTAAAAGAATCATAAATTGTTTTGATAAGTCTCAATTTTGATTAAAACAGAAAATAGAGATTTAAGAAAATCATTTTTTTTATTTTAAAATGAATAAACAGAAGTGTGTGGTACGAAATATTTTTTTGCGTTTAAATCTGTTACTTACAAATTATATATTCTTACTCATGAAACAGTTTGATAAAACTATAATAAATCTCTAATATATCTCAATAATCCGTAAGTAAATATGAAAAAATACAAATGTTTTGGAATCAGAATTATTTAACTTTTAAATGAAACTAATGTTTTTCGGATTACTACGCTTATTTTACAAGAACATCTCGTCTGCTGTGATCACGATTGCTGCAAAATAACCGAAACGTCGGTAGTATGTAGTTTTTTAATAAAATACGCTTAGTGATCCAAAAAATATTAGTTTCATTTAAATGAATATTCGCGAAACTCTCTTTACCTTTGTTTTAATATGGTCTTTTAAAATTTAAAAATGGTAACTATTTGATTTTATTTTAATATAATAAACCTAACCCTTATTTATTTTATTAGACACTTTTATAAATATCCAACAAATGCGAACATAGATTCTCGAGAGAATCATAGTATGTGAACGCTATGTATAATACACTTTAACCCAGGTTTTATCCTACATACTACTAGAGCCATCTGTCGAACAGCAGCTATATTAAAATGAGAACAAAATATTTCATTACATACTGTTTATTTTTTTATAATAACTTATTACCAGCGCGTTACATTAATATTTATTATTTAGTAAGCGCTATGTTACATAAAATGTTAAATTTTATATTAGTAACTTAAAAAAAAACCATAGACTATAGAATAGAGAACAAAATAAAACGTAAACCATAGACTATAGAACACAAAGCTCAAAGGCTGACTTCATATTTTAGACTTCAGTTATCACTGTCAAAAATGCCTATTTGATGTGATTTGCCGATGTAATTATTTCATTAAAGCATTTTTGTAAACATGGGTGGCTCGCAAAGCACTAGGAAACTGAGTGTTGATAATGAAAATGCCATACAAGTATCTCAAGAAGCGGTAGATCGGATACAAGCTCAGATTAACTCAAAAGTAAGTATGTTTTTTAATTACATAATTTACATCAATGTCATGTATATTAAACAAAATATAACACAAATATTGGTGTTATCTAGTTATTGAAGGGTATACAGTAATAATTTTATTTCTTGTCCTTTCATCTTTGAAGCAATATAAATCCTAAACCTATAACAACTAAGGTTATAGGTAGAACTAGGTTCAGAACTAAGAAACTAGGTTTCTAGGTTCTAGGTTAACTATGAATTTAAAACAGTTCGCATTACTTCTATACCTGAATTAATTCTCTCACTTTAATTATTTATTTTCATCCCTTAAATATACATAATGTTGAAATAAATTTTCAGCAATCTGAGCAGCCTCGGCAACCCCAATATGTACCACCACCCCCATACTATGATAATCAGAAACTGCAAGAGTTCGCCGCCGAAGAAGCATATTGGGCAAGACGCATTGAAAACTTAAAGCGAGCTCATGAGAAAATTAACAGCGGCATGCATATAGAATACCAGAAAACTTTAAAGGAAGCTAATGAATTGTTTGATCTTGTACATGCAGATAAAGTTGTTACAAAACTAGCACCATGTCAGGAAGAAAAAGCAAAGGTAATATTCCATGTTTCAATTACATTTTAAAGCATCCTGCAATTTAATATTCAAAAGAATAATAATAGGATTTGAAAATCTGTACCAAAATAATATGGTTCTGAAAAGTATATGTGCATAAAAAGATAGTAGTAACAAGAATATATGCAGAATATTCTCAAAATACACAAGTTTTGCTGATATAACGGGTACAATGCCTTTAGTAATGTATTGATGAGAAAGTCATATATGTATAGAAATAAAAGATTATTGCAGTTGATATGTAAGATTTAAAAAAATCTAAGATTTTCAGATATAAGTATTGTTTTTGATATATTTATAACTACATAATCCTGATTTTTTAATTCCTTTACAGCAACAATGATCACTTTTATTAATACCATGTATCACCATATCTGTAGCTGTAAAAATACCATAATATTATTAAAACTCAATTTCATTATTGCAATTCAAAAATTTTCCATAACTGTACAAGCTAATTATATATTTTTCGTATTTCCAGGTGTTAGACTGCTACAGCTCAAACCCAAACAAATCATTGTTGTGTTCTGTGCTAGTGAATCAATTCAATGACTGTGTGTGCCGAAGTAGAATCACTGCCGTCTCAGCTTCCTCCTGAACTAAATACTATGAGCAGACATCAAATAACATAATATTTATTCAAATAGCCAGTTGGCTCCTCTGTAGATTTACTAAATATTGCTGTATGAATAAATTGTTAATCTAATATTTGTTTTAACTAATTTTTCGTATATTTTATATTTCCCTTCATATATAAGTATTAATTTTCAGTATAATATGAAATGAAACAAATTTAGTCCTAAATTCATTTATTTTATCTGGATATGTTAAAAAAGTCTTGATAATTGTCACCATATTGTAATTTATAACCATGGTAACACTGTCAATGCCAATTACCCAAAACAATAAGGCTATGTGAAAGTAGTCTTTTATAATATTAAATATTCGTTCATCTACTTATATCAATCCAACAAAAAATGGTCAACCAAGAAAAGGAACCTGAAAAACAAGAAGAGAAAAAGAGAAGGGTTCCATTATACCCTGGTTTTCCAGAATTAGCCAGATCCGATGTCAGCATTTATCCTTCATACTCCAGATTAGCTTTGGCTTAGTGAGTTATTATATTTGAAAATATAATATATGTATTTAAAAAGCTTTATATTATCGAATAACAAAATAAAACGGTGAAATTTTTACAGTCGCGTTGTTTGTCGTCATCGTTACCATTGGGCTAAAGTTGCACAACGTCGTCAATTCATGAATGAACTACATAGCTTCGAACGTTTGCAGCCGAACGCTCTCGACGGTGTGAGAGTTCATAGGGAGTTCTCTCAAGGAATCCTGTCCCATAAGATACCTTCGAGAAGATATATGCAGAAACTCACCCCCGACCCATTGAATACTCATCAGAGAATGAGAGTTGAAGAGATTATTAGCGGACGGGTTAATTTTAGTCAAAAATAGATTCTTTTTATTAAATTTTATGCACAATCAATATGATTTTGTATGTAAAGTAAATCAAATAACATAGTTATTCTCAAAAGTAGATATGTTATGGATTTAGTCACTGGAATACTTTAATAAGTTACGTCTTAGAATGGTTCCCAGGACATAAAATATCTTCACTTTGTTAACTTCAGAGGCCAAACTAAATCAACTATAAACATTTACCTAACTTGTAATTCTAATTGAAATGCATTCAACTGATGACTGCTTTATATATAGAGCTCAGGCAAAATGTTAATAGTGTCTGGATCATCTCTTGTAACAACTTTCTTATATAATACCTAGCTTAGAAAGAAATCTTAAATAAAATTTTTGTATTGTCTTCTCTCTTATGTTAGTAACAATTATAAAATATATAAACTTATAACAGATAATGTGGCTTGAAGTTATATAGAGTAATGTGACAAAACATACAAAAGAAACCAATTCATTAATTAACTCTTAATTTATTTGACTATTTTAGACTACAATCATATAGAAATAGAATTGTTGAATAGTTTATATCAAGTTATTCAATATTATGACACTCTTTTTATAATAATTTAGATAAAACTAAAAGTGCTCCTAACTATCTAATAGAGACATAAAGGTAACTAAAATGAAACTTTCATAGCACTTGGTTATTAAATAAAATAATATTTACTTTTGGGTAACACAATAATAAAATATTCAGCTGGGTGAAAAATTTTTTATTTGTAAAACTTATGTTTAAGCACTTTCTTTCTCCATGGCTTTTCGCTTCTTTATCTTTTTACTTTTTTCAATATTATTCTGCAGATAGTTAGCTTCCTTCTTAGCCTGTGATATTTCAGCTCTGAGTCTTTGTTTCATAGCTGCCCTCTCATAGGCCAGTCTTTCACTCAAATGGATCCATTTAAATCTAGGAATATATTTTATATTCCATATCATATCATAATAACGCGATCTCTTTCTGGTGCCGATTTTTGTGTTGTTTAAATTTGCAGCCACACTTTTAGCTATTCTCTTCTTTTCAAATTCTACCCATCCCTCTGTGAAAAGATTTGGTACTCGTTTTCTTTTCTCTCCTGGTTCTGAAATACGTAAAATTATCATTATAAAATTTTTTAGTGAAGCGAAACAAAAGTCCGAAAATTACTTACTTGCACTTGATTGTAAATAGATCCTTCCAACATCACCGAATTGGCTAAATATTTCTCTAATTTTTGCAACATTCATATAAGGTGGAATGGTAGATAGGTAAATAATTCCGCGTTTTTTAGGCTTTTTCTTATTTACCACTCTTTTAGGTTGTGATTCGTCCTCACTTTGTTCCGCTGTTTCACAATCTGATCCATTTTCCGGAACTCTGTCCATATCTAGCGATGGCATTACCTAGCTAACAACAGCTCCTTGTATTATACAAGCTATTGTTATATTTCTATTGGATATTAATGGAGGTTTCAAAACAAGTCGGTGGTTTTCAGTATCATGTGTACAACGTGAAATTGACTTATAACTTTGACAGTCTGGTGAATTTGACAACTGAGATAACGTTTTGATAATTTTGTTTGAGCCGTGTCTACACTATACTATACAAACGTGGTACTTAATCTCAAAACTTATATTAAACACTAAAACTTACTGCTTCGAATCAAACATTAAATTCAACCCATGACTGTATATTAATTTTATAAAAAAACAACGCAGGTATACTCAAATAGTGACATAACGCGCTGTGATAATGTAAAACTCCTTTTTATACTTTATAAATAATTATTATATTTCAAGAAATGGCATTAACATCATTCAGGTTGTTTATTTATTTTAATGTATTTCGTTTTGAGTGACGTCATTAAACGTCAATTTATATTTGTTGTGTCACAATTCACAAAAATACATCGCACTGCCAAGAAAAAAAAGAGCGCGGGAATTGAAACGTCGACGCGGGCTTTTTGAAAATTTTAATTATTTTAAATAGTTTTATACTATAATTTTCAAATTTTTGTTTAGTTTATTGTAAAGAAGTAAAACTTAGTCTGTATACATATAAGTGTTTATGTGGAGAGATGGTGAAAAAACGTAAAAAGAAGGATTCGGGTGAGTTCTTGAATTTCAGCACAAGCAGCGATTCCGATTGCGAGGATTCGCCAGTATTGCAGGATGCAAACGCCTTCGCTCCCTTTAGGGTCGCTGATTATTGTCGGCGATACCCTGAGGATGCGGAAGCCAAGTCTGAATTCATAGTATTTGTCGAAAGTACTAATGATGTCCCACTCGGTAATAGGGACATGATGTCGCTTAGTACTAGTTTTATACGCTCTGTGAAAGGTATACAATATTTAAAAAATATATATATAAGGTCGGTGTTGTTTTCCAACGTGCGAATTTGGCAAATGCCTTTTTAGAAAATACTACATATCTAAAGGAACAACGACTTAAAGCTTCAATACCAGCAGGGGCTACCGAACTATCGGGAGTTATCTCTTCGGTTCCCACTCATCTATCCAATCACAAAATATATAAATCAATATCAACAACAAAAAAAGTCATTTCTGTTGGACGCATAATGCGTAAAGTAAAAGGAGAAAATAACACCTTCACACTGCAACCTACTCAGAGCGTAGTAATAACTTTTGCGTCTGCTACGTCACTGCCGGACTATGTTCACATTAAGATGTGGCGCCTGCCTGTCTCCACATATGTCCCACCTATAAAACAGTGTTTTAAATGTTTACCCTTTGATCATCTGGCTAAGTTTTGTAAAAATTCACCGCGATGCTCCATGTGCACAGAGGGGCATTCTTTCAAAGAATGCAAGGTTAACTTTGAAAAAGCTAAGTGCATTAATTGTAATGGAAATCACATTGTCATCTCTAGCCAGTGCCCTATAAGGCAAAAGAAAATCGCAAACAGTAAACCCAAGTCATACGCTGATACGTTAAAAAATTCATTAAATTTTCCCTCCCTTAATAAAAAATTAAATACCTAAGAAGTAATCCCAGCAATACTATCAAATTCTGAAGCAATGACCCTATTAACAGAATCTATAGTAAAAGTTGTTACTCTAAATAAAACTCAAAATATAAGTATTAGTTCACAATTTATTAGCTCAGCTATTAAAGAAACCATCCAGGATATAAATAGCAAATCGTCACATTCAACCACCAAATCTTAAATATTGTACAGTGGAACGCTCCAAGTCTGTTAAGTAACAGACTTGAGTTTCAAAATTTTCTATACCAAAATAATATACATGTAGCTCTTATTTCAGAAACTTGGCTCAAGCCTAACATTCAATTTAATTTACGGGGTTATACCATTATTAGGAATGACTGCGGTAATGATCATAATGGCATAGCAATATTAATTAAAAATGGTATACATTTCTCTAAACTAGATACTTTTTATGATGATTCGTTACAAAATGTAGTAATTGTTATTAAACTGAAACATAAATGCATTTCTTTGGTTAGTTTTTACAGTCCTGGTAATAGTTCTCCTGCTTTTGAAAACCAAAAGTTCGATCGTTTATTGTACAGTATTCCAAAACCGTTTATAATTGCAGGCGATTTTAACGCCCATCACACTTTGTGGGGTTGCAGTCACATAGATTCTCTGGGCAAAGCTATTATGGATTCCATGGATGACCATGACTTAATACTTTTAAATAATGGTCAACCAACAACGATAGGCTCTCATATTTGGAAACCAAACAGTCTATATTTAACTATGGTGTCTTCTTCTTTATTTCTTTCTTGTGACTGGCAAGTTCATCAGGACTCTTTAGGCAGTTATCATCTGCCAACTATCACAAAATTTACTCTCGTAAGAGATCAACATGAGCCCTCTATTTCCTTGAACAACATTCCTTTTCACAGCAATCTGAAATTAGTAAATTGGGATAGGTATGAACAAATTGTTAATAAAATGTTAATGAACTTTAAAGTTGACAATAGTGATCTCCTTGACTCATACTGAAAGTTTTGTGCAATTATTCTAGTGGAAATCAAATTCTCCGGGCCCAGCTTAAACCATAACACAACTGATAGTAATAATAACCGTCCTAGAAAAAGGTGTCAAGTACCTTGGTGGAATGATAAATGTTCAAAAGTAGTAGAAGACTGCAAGAACGCCTACATTAATTTCAAAACTAGTCTTAATAGTAAAAATTACATTAATTTCAAACGCGCACAATCCTTTAAAAAAACCCACTTTAAAAGAAGAACGTTGTAAAAGTTGGTCTGAATTCTGCTCATCAACAAATCGTTGGACATCTATAAATCGCATTTGAACTAAAATAAGTAAATTTAAAAAAAGCTTTCCGAGTTCTAACTGACCTCTCCGAGTTCTAGCTCTTATTTTCTGACCTCAATTGGGTTCAAACATTTTTATATAAATACACACCGGATACTGTTCCACAACAGATAAGTATAAGTAATGTTCTTGGAGTAAATAGTGATAATTCATACATGATCGGTTGTTTTACTATGCAAGAGTTTAGCTTTTAATCTGCTTTAGCCTCAAGAAAAGATTCTTCATGTGGCCTGGATTGGCTTTCCTACAAAATGTTTAAACTTTTAAATGTTCAAACTCTATCTATTTTTTTAAGTCTATTAAATAGTTTATGGTCGTCTTCTATTATCCCAGAGGATTGGAAAACTGACTGTTTGGTACGAATATTAAAACCTGGCAAAGACTTTAATTTGGCTGATTCTTATCGTCCTATTAAAAAAGTAAAGTTGTTGTCTTTTCAAAAAATGTAATTAGAAATAGGAATGTAAATATTTTGTTCAATAATAATGTAATGTCTGTAAAGAGCTCTGTAAAGTTTTTAGGTGTTATTTTTACAAACAATTTTAAGACATGGCTATATGTTCTTTGTTCTCTTTGCCTGTTCTGAACGGAACGAACATAACCAAAAAAATTATATAAACTGTCAAAGTAATCTGACACTTCTGACAGTAAAATTCGTAGGTTAGAATTATATTTACATGAAGAAAATAATAAAAAACTTAAGAAAATAATAAATAATCTAAGAAAATGTTGAACATTCTAAGGAATACCTTGAGGCTTTCTATAAACAATCTAGTTCGACCTTTTAATACAACAGCACCTATAGCTACTGAAAAATTTGACCATAAAAGAATTCCCGCAGACGACGAAGGAGTGCAGGGAGAGAAGATTATTGATATAGATTCAGTTTTACAGACGTAAGTGTCAATTTATGAGAGACATATGTATATTAATTGACATAGAAACAGTTTGTACATTATATTTGTATTCATTTCATTACTTATTGTTGCAGAAAACAAAACTTATTCCCTACAGCTGATTCTGATAATCTTCTTTTCGATGGGGTACCGTACAAAGATCTGGCAATATGTAACATCAGAGTGAGTCACAATAACACCATCTTCACAATTACTGATGCTGAAGGGAAAGTTAAGCTTTTAAGATCCTGTGGTATCGAAGGTTTTAAGAACACTAAGAAAGGGACCAACATTGCTGCTCAGACGACTGCTATTAATATAGCCAGTGTATGTTAAGTTCATTATTACATATATATATAACTATTTACTTAACTTTGTATATTAAATATACTCTTCATTATTGTTAAATAATTTACACTGTTTTAGAAAGCGATTGAAAAGGGGTTTAGAACAATGAGAGTTCGAGTGAGAGGCCTCGGACCCGGAAGATTGGTATGTATATAATCTTAGGTTAACTGTTTTTATTGTATATAACTGAAAGAAGTTGTATATATGAAACAACTATCATAGACATATTCTATGTAGTAAATCTTTACAACATTCTTTTTTAATCTTAATTATGGTAAAGAAGTCAAAGCTTTACTTAATTTTTATTTCAATTTCCAGTCAGCGGTTAAAGGATTACAGATGGGAGGTCTGCAAATAGTTTCTGTGACAGACAATACAAGAGTATCGTGGAATCCACCGCGACCAAGGAAGGCTAAACGATTGTAGATTAAATATAATTGTATCATTATCTTTTAGTTATATAGAAAATAAAATATTAAATAAAAACGACTGTTTGTTTCAAATGATATAATTTACTATTAGTACATAGAGTAATGTTAAAATCCATATTTAGACTGTGTTTGTCTCCTTGACATTCTGTTGTGGGCCCATTGGTTTTGAAGCTCTTGTTCATTGGCTTTAGCCTAAAAATAAATTAAGAATAAATATGTAGAACTTATAAAGCAGTATAATGAGATCAAAGACTCGCAAGTATTCATTTAAATTAAACTAATATCTGGGAATTACCAAGCATTGTACTATTATTTTTAAAAAACTACATACATCCCATGTTTCAGTTACTTTCCAGTTAACATGATCATTTACAGACAAGATAGTTTAGTAAAAATAATTAAATAGCACTTAATAATCCGAAAATATTAGTTTCATTTATATCAAGCAATATCTATAAATAAATAATATATGTTTTTGTTACCTGGTGTGCCAAATAAGTGATTTGATGTTTTCTCTTCTGCTGGCTGGTCGGTCCGTTGCCAGTTTTCCTACTCGATGATTGTATCTTACTCGTGTCCTTCATCAAACCTTCCATCAACATGGCCCTCGCTTCATCAAGTATTTCTTGTTGATTTATATCTACTATCTGTATTTCCTCTCGTTTTCTCTTACCTCGAGCACCGGTCAGTTTTAATATCTAAAATTTGTAAATGTATATAAGATATCATATTTTAGACTAAACATTATTCAAACTAATGTTATAAATTACTAAATATATAATTAAAAACTCACTGCTTCCTCGTTAAGGATCTCATTAGTATTACTTTCTATGCTTTTTGTCGGCTCTGAAGTTGCATCATCGACATAGTTCATAGGATTATCAAGATCTATATCTGGTTGTAATTCCACATGTGTGTCTTTCTTAAAGTAGGACTCCAAACTCCTTGGTTGCTTAGTGGATGTTTTCTCGACGGGTTTAACATCAATATCTAATGGAGCGTCGGGAGGTAAGTCAACAGATTTATGAATAGAAAAGAAATCATTTTGCACATCTTCATCGTTGTCACTTTCATCGGAATATTCATTAACCAGAGATGAATTTGACTCTGTCTTTAACTTTGCTGGGGTCGGAAGTTGTTTTTTAACATTATTTGTTTTTGTGTTTTGTGAAACAATATTAGGAATTAATGATTTTGTTGTGCTCGTAAATTTGTTTCTCGGTTGCGGCAGTATACTGAGTAGACCAGACTTTTTCTGGAAAAAAAAAAGTGCAACATTTATTTAAAAGAATGAAAATTTACATATACATTCTTACAGATTAGAATTAAGAATTACAATATCATTCAGTAGAATATTTGTAGAAGAATTTGAAAAGACTGATAGATATCTAAGTATATAGGAACAAACCAAGCTACAGTTTTATATTTCATGTTATATACATAATACATACTTTTAAACTGTCTTACCTCACCCATACATTTCGTTTTGGAAGTTGGTACTGTATTTTGAACATCTTTGAACTGAAATAAAGAATAAAATAAAATTATTGACTATATCCACATTTAAATATTACCTAAGTATATGTTACCCACATCACTCAACAAAGGTATTGTTATCCTTGTTTTAGGTTTCACGATATCTGGCTGGGGATCCTTTTTGTGTAAAAATTCGTCATCTTCCTCTATTATGCTCTTAGTGTCTTTTACTGGTTTTGGAAGTTGATTAAACAGATTTGTACTACTTTCAGGTTCAGCTAACTCGGGCTTAGTAACTGCGTCTATAAAATAAACATATATTGTAGATATATCTTTTTTTATTTATTATGGATTTTTTATGGTTCAATGTGAGATTTACCATCTTCTTTTTTGAGCTGCTTAAACGGTATGTTATTTTCTTCCGCGTCGTCCTCATATTCACTAGAGTCACTATTTTCGTAAGCAACTAAAGCCATAATACTTTTTATACGCTAAGTCTTTAAGGATAACTTATTATTTCCCAGTTATTAACATTAACACACAAAAGGTAAAATGAAACGACGTTACAGTTTCAACAGAGTATTTAATACAATAATAATATGTTGTTTCTACTTTCTTTTTATGTGATCTTAGTTTTAAAGTTTCTTATACATTGAACTGTCATCTGTCTATCTCTATCTGTTAAGCTTTTGACATTACAGAATTACAAAAATTTTCGACGGATACCTACGCTCAGCTTAAGGTTAAATTATAATGTTTTGAAAAAATGTAATGTAAAAAGTTGTTTAATAAAATTATTTATATTTTCTAATTCAAAATTTTAGTTTAAAAACTCTTATAGAATTTTAAAAGAAGGCTACGATGTATTTTCCTTATTTCAGTAATAATACGTAAAAATTAAAGATGTTGTTTAATTGTATATGTTACAGTTAGATGATTTCCAATGTTATTTTACCAAAATACTTGTATAATAATGATGAATATTTAAAAATTATAAGTATAACGAAATATCGTAACTCAAAACTTGTTTATCAGAACTTATGATATGAAAAGAACAAGTTTCATCTAAAGAATTTAACGAAGAGAAGTGATTTCTATACATTTACAAATTGCAAGATTTATAAAAAAAATATAGCTCTACTCATTTATATACTTTAAATAAAAACGAATGTTTGCTGCACAGATAATTAAAATTTTTAAAGAACTAACTAATTAAAATATGTAAAACGATGCTAATAGCCAATAATACTTCTCATAGTAAAAATATGTCAAACGTCAATGATGATTGAAATTCAAACGTCAATTTTAGGAACGAATTGGAAAATTGTTTAGCAGAGAATATTTTAATATTTTATATAAAATACCGGCTCATTTTGCTGATTTAATTGAAGTGAGTTCTAAAATTATTTATTGTAGAAAATTGTTAACCACAAAGAGATATTATGCTTTCTTTATTACAGTTAAATTTAAGACGATCTGGAATAATCCTAAACGTATTGTTTCAGGTATTTTATAAGGAAACGTAATCTTTTTGTAGATAAATATGCCTAAAAAGAATTTTGGTGAGAATAGTAAAGCTGTGGCCGCTCGACAGCGCAAAGAAAATGCGAAACTTGAAAAAGATCAGAAATTAAAGAAACAGGTTGAAGACGCCGAATGGGAGGATAATGACGAAAAACTTAAAAAGAAACAGCAGAAAAAGGTTTCGTATTATATCTAGGCCATAATTATAATAATTAATTCATGATTTGATGATTATATTTAAAATCGTAAATAGTTACATTGATAGCAGCCATCTACTAGCTCAGCTTACTATTTCGGTACCCAATAAAATTCCTCGTCAACGCATATTAAAAACTTTTTACCATCCAAGAGCTCGAACAAATCTAGGTGCGCATTCTCCACTTGCTAGCATGTGCAACCTTTACAATTTACTAAATAAAGAGAACAGATTTGGACATGTTTCACGATTCATATTCAAAATTCAGACATACCTTGCATACATTTTTCTAAAATTCTAAGTTTTCACTTTCAATTTATGTGTTGTTTTTATTAATTAGTGTCGTTTTTGTTTTTTTTTGTAGAAGTAATTTAATTTAATTAGATTAAGGTGTTGTTGTTGTTAAAAACTTTTTAGACAATGCTGTGAATAACTGTAATAGGTGTACATATGAAGACCTATACTTTTGACTATATTTTTGTGTAAATGTTGCATATGTGTACTGCTGGTGTTCCTAAGTAAAATAAAAATAATAATAATAATAAGCATTGTTTATATAATTGCATAATTAAGTTAATTACATGCTGGTTATTACAAATCTAAATAATCGCCATATTTTTTTGTCATTAGGATGAGCAAGAAAAAAAGCGACTAGAGCAGCTTCAGAAAAAGGCAGAGGCTAAAGCTTTGCTTGAGAAGGAAATGGAGTCAATAAAGAGCAAGGTGGCCGCTCCTCCGCCACAGAAGATAACACGAGCACAGATCTCACAGATGAAGGAGAGAGTTGTTAAGGCAGAACCTGAAAAACCTGTCGTGAGTATTGTTTCATTATATATATGTTTCATACCTATATTTAGCATATTAGTATGTTTTTCAGTCTTTTTTTTTTTAATTTACAAAACTAACTTACAACTAGTGCATACAAAATAAAATCTAAGCTAAACATAGTGTCATTAAGTTGCAGTCTTCTGGATGTAAACCTAGCATGCTTTAAGAAACATATACCTTGCTTATTTAACAAGAACAGTACTTGTGTAATTATTGACTAGTTAATTATTTGATTATTAAAACTTCACTGTTAGAAAATTGTAAACAATTCGTTTTAACTGCAGTGTACTATGAAATACTTTTCCACTATTTAGTCTTTCATAGAAAATCCAGAAAATATGATGTGTTTCAGTGTAAACATATATTTAAAAGTAGTTCAATAATTTTGTACAAAACTTTTCAGCCATCTAAAGTCGTGGTTGAAGATCCTCTTTTAGAAGAAAATCTAAACAGGCTGCAAATAGAAGGAGAAGTAGCTCAATCAGTTGATGAAGCATTGGCTATACTCAGGTATCTGCTCCGGGTATATTGAAATTTAATATTTCATTTGAAACCATTTATAATGCTTTGTTTTTAAATTTTAGTGATAAGTCTGATGTGGATAAACATCCTGAGAAAAGACTGAAAGCTGCTTACACTGCTTTTGAAGAAATCAATTTGCCGAGGCTCAAGGCCGAGAATCCAACACTTAGATTGTCACAACTCAAACAAATGCTCAGGAAAGAATGGCTCAAATCACCACAGAATCCTCTTAATCAAGTCTAGATACATTTTGAATATGAACTTAATCTCAGTGTTAACACATGGAAGAAAGAACGGAAACTTTTTGAATATAACATATTTATTAAACAGTTGTAAGTCACGAAAGTAAATGTAAATATGTCAAATAAATGTTCTTAAACTATTCTGGTTCATTGCTGTACTGTAAGGGGATTCCTTTCCGACCTTCTTCAACGTTTTTCACATCGGTCTCTCCTAATTTCTGTTCCAATCCCTTCCACGATCTGTCTTGCAGGTTCTGACCGATGCTCTCTAAAGCCCAGTTTTGTTTCTCAGCCACTTCCATGCCGCCCTCTTCGTTGCTTTGTATTTTAGTTTCCCTTATTTTGCCTGTTATAAGGCTGATATCAGTTTCTTGTTTAATGTGATCTATTTCTAAGTGATGGCGTTTCCCCGGCAAGAGATCATCATAATCTGTGACGTGATAGTTGTAGTATTGTTCCCTATTAGAATTCAGTGCGACTTCTAATTCAAATGGATATATTATAGGTCTATAGAAGTCTCGATTGTTGTACAAGTCATTCTCCGGGCATGCTATCATAACATATATATCGATCTGAAAGAGTACATAATTAATATTAATTTATTTATTACCTACTTAGTCGTCAAAATAATGATGCATTTATTTACCTCTGGAAAATTCGCCAATTTAGCTACATTCGGCTTCCCCACTGATACTATGTAACTTTTCTTTCCATTAATTTTACATATTTGCTTCATTCTTTTTATTATTTGCTTCGTCTGTTCACCGGCCAGTTTACACACTAGTATGCCAATCACATTTGCATCTTTGCATTTCTCTATCAAAAATCTTCTTCTTCTAAACCAAATTGTTTCTTCTAGATGTTCAAGTTTTTTTTCATCTGGGTCCAGTAAGAACCATTTCAATGCTGTAAATAGAGATCTTTAGTCATTATCTATTAATATACATTTTACCTAAAACAACCCAAAAGACATACCTGGAACTGAAATACTAAAATTAAACACTGTCTGTCCCTTTGATCCAATATATATACATATACAATCTCTTAAACTTTCCATAGTGAATTCATCTCCAGCCTCATTTTTAACAGTTCTTCCCAAAAATCTATTCAGGCATTCATTCATTTCTAAGTGACCCATCAAAGCTTGTGGATAATGTCGGAACCACATTGCCATGATGTTATCTGAATTGAAGAATAAATAAAACTATTACATTAAAAAATTTATCAATATCTTTGATCTTAGAACTAATTAAACAAAGTTAAATCACCTTTACAGTGTTCATATTCTGCATCGTAAAATAAACAGAGTTTGGTATCATCCGGTTTGAAATGACCTTGTAAAAACAATTCTATGGCATCAATGCTTAAGTCCTTCTTTGGCAAAACTGTGTACACGGGGATGTTTGTCTTTGTGAAGCACGAGTGGCCGAAATGAATCACTGCATCACTCTGAACATGCATAGCGGCCACCGAGTCAACGCAACAACTAAACAAAGTGTTAAATATTTATAAATAAGCTGGATTTTATTTGTTCATTTATGAATAAGTGTGGTTTTGATTGGAAATGAATAAGAAAATCAAAACATATATTAAGAAAAACTAATTTTTGTTTATCAATGATTTGATAAACTAATGATAAAAATAATCATAAAACCAAAAAATTATTAAACTTTGCCCTGCAATTTCTATTTAATTTATTAATACTGCCATATTTTATTATATTCTGGGCAATGGTATAAGTATAAAATAATATTTAAACGTACCTAGCATAAGACGTGTCACCAAGAATGTATAAATCTACATTGATATTTTTTTTAATTTCTTGATAAATAGCAGCACTAACCCCAATAAGTTCATCAGGAAATTGTAAGCACACCTGAAACATTTTAATGTTTGAATAATGATTTATTGAAAAGAAACTATTTAGAAATCATTAATATGGAAGGTTAAAGTATAATAAAATCTCTTAAATCTCAATATTTATTTACTTTAGAAAAGTTGTGTTCCTTAATCCAATTACAAATTTCTGTAATATTATAGCGCTGTATTAAGTTATCAAATTCTATTTCGGATTTAGACACCTCCAACTCCCTTTCTATGCAGATTTTACCATCTGTTGTAAAATTAGACATTTTTAAAAGTATTATGTATTTAAGGCAGTATAACTAAAAACACACGTCTCTGTGTATACATATTCACATTCACAAACGTAAGTTGTCAACTTGACACTAATTACTGAAGTTAACTATAGATTATAAAGTATAATTTGTAGATAAGAAAAAAATGTGATAAATGGAAAGATCATATATAAGTTTATATATAAAACTATTTGCTTTTTCTTAAATGAAATAATTCAAGTTATTAAAATTTTATATATTTTTTTGAATCCAGTACCGACAACACGCCGACAGTTCCCGAACAAACCCAAGCGCATTTAATATCACAATGTTAATTTCTTCTCATTGAAGCACACAGCGGATAGTGTTTTGACGTTTAACTGATAATATATCTTTATTATCGTCAATCCCTACTAATATTATAAATGCGAAAGTAACTCTGTCTGTCTGTCTGTTACGCTTTCATTCCTAAACCATTGAATTGATTTTAATGAAATTTGGTTCAGAGATAGAGTTGATCTTGAGAAAGACCATAGGATAGTTTTTATCACAGACTTTTGAAAGTTTCTCTTGGAAACTCGATATAACCGAACTCCAAGCCGGCGAAGCTGCGGGCGGAAAGCTGGTATATCAATAAATGTATCAAAATTGACCCGGCTCAAAAGTTATCGTTCTTGATTCATACCGTTATATTGTTCTAATAATACAAAAACAACCCCGAAAAACTATTTTTTACCGTTCCTAAAGATGTTAAACGTCGTAATACTCCTCCGGTGGCTTCCGGTGACTTCCGGTGTTAAAAAACCATTCAAAATCTATTCCCCCAAGCTTCCTCCCCCCCCCCCCTTATTGTTTTACCTGGCAGTTTCCTACCTATAGGCAGGGTCTGCCTTACATGTTGTGAATAGTTTTTGGCTATTTGTTTTTACGACCGGTCGCCTGCCTAACATCAACCCACTTTGAGAATCAGCATAAATCAGTCATGTCTAAATACTCTTAGAAAGTACCTAAGATTCGGAAAATTCACGTTGGTACTTGCCCAGGCGCCCTTATGCATGAGAGGCGGGCCTTTTTAACCACTAGGCTACCACTGACTTGGAGGGCCCCTCCCCCGAATTGTTTAGAGTAAATTCAGAGACGTATTTTTTACATTATGTAAATGTATATGTAAACATAATTAGTCACTTAAACAAAATGTTTTTTTTTATATAAACTTACACAATTATTTTATATAAGTGAACTTACTAACATAACTTGTAATGTGTCAGTTTTAGTAGTATTCATCTAATACTAATATTATAAAGCTGAAGAGTTTGTTTGTTTGTTTGTTTGTTTGAAAGCGCTAATCTCCGAAACTACTGGTTCGAATTGAATAATTCTTTTTGTGTTGGATAGTCCAGTTATCGAGGAAGGCTGTGGGCTATATAACATCACGCTACGACCAATAGGAGCAAAGATATAGTGGTAAATGTGTAAAAAACGGGAGAAATTATTTCATCTTTGAAGCCTTCCGTTGCTTGCGCCGTGAAAACGGTTCAAGATGCACAAAAAATATGTTTTAAAGAATAATAGCTCTTTCAATGATCTAAAAAACAGTCCGCGACAGTATATGTCTATCTTTTAAGATTAACTCACAAAAACCGTTTTTATGGTACCCAATTTTGTCGAAATAATTTGTTTAAGTTGTATCAAAATAATAATATTAATCTTTATTCATATAAACAAATAAATATGTTGTTGGTTAAGAGTAATTCATTATTAATAAAAAAAACCATAGGTTTCATCCTGAAAATTCTACGGGAACTCGACCATTCCGAAAACCCCGCAAGAAAGGGAACTATGTGGGAAGAACCAAAAATTTGTCGGAAGTAACTATTCCACGCGGACGAAGCCGCGGCAAAAGCTAGTTTTTCATATGACTCTAATAATGACCAAAAATAAAATAAACTCTAATAAAGTTCAAATCTTGTTAGCATAGAGAGCTCTGTAACTCAAAGAAGTATCGATTTTACATGAGTTAAACAAACAAATTTGAAATTAAGAAAATTTTCATTTTTACCCTAAAAAATACTGCCATCATTATCCCCTCCTTAAAATACAATTTCAATTTTTTTCACTCCAAATTTGCGGAAAAACCTCCAAGTTGACATCACTCATTATTTAGTGTACTTTTGACGTATCCAGAGCGATAAAATCATTTACAAAAAATATATACTTTTGGCATTTAGGATCTATATGACAATGACGTATATATAATTTGAGGTTATATTATGTTCACTAGTTCAGTTGAAACTATAAAAGTAAAAGAGTAAAGTGTAAACAATTATCACTCAAAATGTTTACCAGAAATTTAAGGGTCTTTTTTCGTCGTTATTCACAAACTTGCACCTTCAGAACTTCAGAATTGTCACCGGTTAGTGCATTTTAAGCTATACTTATCGTTTCCTTAATGTATGTATATTTATTCAATTATTTTTCTTGTAGGCACAACATAGTGAAAATCAAATAGGTATGTTTTATACAATAGATAAAAATCTATGCAAGCAACTGTTCGGACACGGTGGATTACCCAAAAGTTACATGAAGCAGACGAAAACTTTTACAGAAACTACTTTAATGGTCCGACTGCCAGCTCTTGATATAATGAACTGCATCAAGAACACGGACTTCGATAAACCAGTCGTCAGATATGTGCTATGTATCCTTTTGAAAATCAATATGAATTCGCCATCAGCCTAATATCATCAGCATAATAATTATCAGAGCCCACTGCCGAGTAAAGGCTTCTTTTCCCGTGGAGAAGGTTTGAGCATTAATCACTACGATTTCTCAAGACGGGTTGGTGATTTCAAACTTATAATTGTGAAATTATAAGTCCAGATTTTCTCATGATGTTTTGCTTCACCATCAACATAAATTATTGAACATCATTACTATTCAAAGTATTTCTTGTCTATAACAAATTACCAAAAAAAATTGTGTAACACATATTTTAATTCAATAAATTCCTATAAAAGTATTCAGATGGTGAAAAAGGTTCGGGCAAGTCACTCACGATGGCCCACCTGTTACACTATGCCCATGAACAAGAATTTCTTATAGTTCATGTTCCTTGGGGTATGTTATACCAAAACACATATAAGTAGTTACACTGTACTGTACTATTATAAATAACCATACATTTTTAATATGATCACTCAATACATCCTTGTATATATAAAGAAAGTTGTGTTAGTTACACTATTTATAACTTAAAGGATATGGCTGAAGCTTGGTTGGGACTAGGTTAGAACCAGTAGATGGACATAGGATATTTCATTCTGTTTGATCAAAAAAGAAGAAAAAATTAATAAATTCCAATATCTGGTTATTTATGTCATCAAGGGCAGAATAGAGTTCTCTTGGTCAGCATATACATATACCTATTATTACCTATATGTCGCGGGGCGAAACTAGTACATTTATAACAAGCCTGTATTCCATTTCTTGCAATTTTATTTACATAAGTTCAAATAAAAATTTTATATGATATATATATTGTAGTATCGGAGTGGTTAAGAAGAGTACCACGTCACAAAGAGATGGCTAACTCACCGACAAGAGAGGGCTTTGTAGACCTACCATTGGACGCTGCAGCTTGGCTTCTACATTTTAAGACACAGAACCAGACATTACTGAAAAATCCAGATGTGAGTTTGAATATCTCAATTACTCAATACTTTTAATAACTTTGTTGTTGGAATTTGTTTTAAAATTTCATATAAATGAATTATTTTTCAGCTTAAAATATCCAAAGAGTATACTTGGAGTAAAAGAGAGTCGACGGCTGAAGGGGCTCCTTTATTAGAATTAGTTGAGCTGGGCATCGCTAGAGTTAAATATGCATGTGACGTTATTGATGCACTTGTATATGAGATTAAATTGCTATCAAACAATAAACGGTGAGTCTTGTGACATCTAATATTTACTGCTTTTTTTCATATATTTCTAAAAAGGTTTAATATAATTTATTAACACACTTAATTGATTAAAGTCAATATTAAAGGTACTTTTTTATTTGTTAAATATTCTATATTTGTGCCATAGCACTACAGCTATAACTACTTAAAGAAATGTATAAACTTGTGTTTTAAAGGTGTGCAGTATAAATGGGATTGAATAATTTCTTATATTTATACACTACATGATTTTTTTTAGTAAATGTTTTTATTAGGCTGTGGATACAAGTCCTTTTGAGCCTGCTAAATAGAATGTTTACAATCTTTGTTACCATAATTATAGTTAATAATGATTTCCTTATTAAAAGAGTATGTTTTTTCAGCTGTAAAACATTTGTAGCTATAGATGGGTTTAATACTTTCTTCTATCCTTTAACGAGACTGAGAACACCCACCAAGAGAACCGTGGCACCCGAAGAAGTTAGTTTAACCACATCCTTCTTGACATTGACCAAAAATGACTGGGTGAGTAACAATTTAGAGTAAATTGTCTTCTTCCTCTACCTGGCAATTTTACAGCTATAGCCAGGGTCTGCCTTACATGTTGTGAATAGTTTTGGCTAATTGTTTTTAGGGCCGGCCACCTACCTGACATCAACCCTCTTTTGGGAATGCATTAATCAGTGATGTCTAAATACTCTTATAAAGTACATACGACTCGGAAAAATCACATTGGTACTTTCCCTGGCCAGGATCGAACCCGCGCTCTCATGCATGAGAGGCGGGCCTTTTAACCACTAGGCCACCACTGACTATTTTAGAGTAAATTGTATCTTAGTAAAAGTAAAATAGAATTTTCTGTTAAAGATTCCAGAATTTATAAACTTGTACGATAAGAACAGGCAGGCTTTAAAAAAAATACAATCAATATAAAGAGGTTTTATTTGAAAATTTGTTTTAATTGTAATTTGTAATGTTTCAGACTAATGGTGTTGTAGTGGTGACAGCCGACCAACTAGCGGTGCCCGAAGATCACCAAGAGAGCTATTTACCAAAATATCTTCTTTATAAAAAGGTTGCTAACATTATTATTAGATGAAATTTATATTTAAATTTTACAATATCACATTAAATATAGAATTAAATTATAGTAGTATATTACTCTAAATAATATTAAAGTACCCTTTTTTTAAATGACATTATAAAAAAAAATGGTGGTATAGATTGATTAAAAAATATCCCTTCATCAGTATTTTTCACGGGACTTGAACTTTGACCTCTGAAGAATCTCACTCATCAAACATTTCCTTCTATAACCGTTATACACATATTTGAATATTAACTAAAAGCTAAAATTTCTTTCAGGGTTTCGAACACTTGGACCCGTTTGTGCCCATTGAAGTCGGCAGATACAGTGAACGAGAATTCCTTACTTGTGCGAGTTACTACAGAGACAGGCTTTGGCTAAGAGGACCATCGGAGTTAGAAGATGAACTCAAGTTCACCAGCGCTTGTAATCCATATAAATTTATGGAGCTCTGTGCCCCGTTATAAATGTATAATGTATAGTTTGTTCTAATTAGACTGTAGTAAATATGATTTAATGAAAATTGATTTTTATTTACCACCAGTATGTGTATAAAAACTTTTTAGTCAAGAATGCTGAAGAGTAGTCATTAAAAAAATATATTTAATCTTCTAGAGATTCAATTATCTCATTTGAGTATTTATATCAATAAAACAATGAAATGATTTAATAATTTATTTCGACAGTATCTACATTGTTACACTTAAATTGAATTTAAACATCGTAGCCGACAAAGTGGCGTTTACCGATACATTCTCCAATATAGAACCAGAAAATTACTTCGGCGCCAACCAAAGTGTTCAGAGTCGCCTGCTTCACGGTTTGCTGTTTCCACGCACCAGATTTAGCGCTGCTGAGAAGCTTTGCAATACCAGCTTTGATCTGTGGGATCTCGCTTAACTTAGGGGGTGCTAATTCTACCTTGGCGTATTTCATGAAAATCGCAAACTTTGGCCTAGCCTGTGCGACTGCCGCTGAAAATTAATAAAATATAATAAGTCTCGTTTGCCCGTGATTACGGGTGCTGAAAAGTAGACAAAACGTCGGGAGTATGTAGGTTTTATCAAAAATAAAGTCACGTATTATATCCGAAAAATATTAGTTTCATTTAAATGAATAAGACTCGCGTAAATCTTATATCTCATTAAATATACGAAGGTTTTAACGAAGTTAGGCCCAAAACATGTTCATAAAAATAATCTTACTTTGAAATAACATAACCTTCCATCAATACATAAATTACATAACTATCGAAGTATTTGAATTTTATTGTTAATACTTACAACTGATTAACGCGGGTACTTTAGCTACAGCTGCAGCCATGATTTTGAATTTAAATTATCTTCGATAATAGAAACAGGTGCAGTTTTTATTTCTATTTCGATTTTAGAATCGAAAATTTTTGAGCCACAGGCAAAGCAAAGTAGAAATACCTGTCAGCTAACAATGACAAGTCACAAGAGTTAGAAAGATTAATATTACGTTCTTACGTCCTTGTGAATAAAACAGCAAAACATTTTTATAATTAATTAATTATTTATATTTATGTATATTTTTATTACATATAAAGTAATAATCGTTCAGACTAATGAGAACTCATTTTAATTAGGATTGTTTGGAATACACAATTTTTTTTTTATTTTCCATATCAAGAGATTTTTAAAAAGTACTCTGAGTGACTGTTTATAAATAGTAAATTCTATACTAATAGAAAAAGATCTATTGAATCAACACTTTATTTTTGTATATGATGTTATCAACTCATAATATTTAATATAGTAAATGAGTTTTTCGTAGTTTATAGCAACATTTTGCGGCTACGTCGATCAATTGTGTCAAAGACTGAGAACCGGCATTCATGTTATGTTATATTGAACAAGAAATATAATCTAGATATATGTATTAAGAGGAAAATAATAAGTCCCTCTAGTTATTGGATGAGGTTAATCTTCATCTTTATGCAATTAAATTAAATCCTAAAATGAATAAATTAGGTATGTTATTTTATCTTACTATTAGAGCCTATAAGAGCGTCAAGCGTGGCCGATACTAATACTTTTACGATAATGTAAATTATTAGCTTTTGGTAATGAACTATTTTCATCTCACCTATGGTTTTATTAAATTCCTCGTTTTGGATGTATTTCAGCTATTCCTGGTTTTATTTTTATTTAATTTTATAAGGCCACGTCATTCTTATGCATCTTTTATCGATAGTATTGTAATAAGTGCCTTAATGTTTCAGCGCAACTTTTTATAGTTTTAAGTTTATTAGCAGTCAGTAATGCTATATTACAAGGTATTATAAATGTTAAACAATTCCAATCCCTGTTAGAAGAGGGTATTAAAAGTAAAGACATCAGTACTTTGTACCACTCTATCAAGGGGCTGAAACAACTTAATGTGAAACTTCCTGACCTCTGTGAGGTAAGTTACGTATTGTAAATAAAATAATTTGTCCGATACATTAATATGAATAATTCCCTAAATAATATGAAAGTCATAAATAATCTTTTACAATTAACTTTTTTTTTTATTTCGACTGTGTAGTCATGTAGTGTATAGTGCTTGACTATCAATCACCCTTTGGTAGGTAATGAACGCACTATTTCAGAGTTAGCCTATTCATAATTTTGTAAAGTTACAGAATATACTTGCAATTAATATAACAATGCCTATTAGTGGAGGTAAAAAAATAAAAACTGCTTCTAAATAGGTCTAAATTAACTTAAATATTTCCTAAAAACATCTCACTGTAGTTTCCCTATCATTCCTCAATGTATTTAGATTAATGTTTTGGAATATTCATGCCTTTTTGTTATTTAAGGACATCAAAAATTCCAAATATGACATCAAGAACATAGAGCATGTATTCTATCTGACAAATGCTGCCGAACTAACCGGCTGTCAGAACTTCCTATCCCCCGAAGTGCTGGGTACTCCGGCAAAGGTGCTTGATAACAAAGATGTAACTATACCGGAGATTTATTATGCGGTATATTCCTTGAAAGCTATCGGCCGAGGCTCTGTGTACGACAGAGAGGATGGTTTGAAAAATTTGATTCAAATGCTGAAAAAGGATGACTCTCCGGCTAAGTGAGTATATTTATTCTAGTTCTTATTCTGTCTTTACATAAACAAGCTAAAATGCCCCCAAATTGAAGCCCCCAAATTATTTTTGATTTTTGTCTTTCTTTTATATGTATTAATAATGTGTTCAAAGAAAAATAATGATTATTTCATTTATAGCTATGGTTATGTATTTGGTCTCTGCGAGCACATGGGCTGTCAGGCTTGGACGGTAATGCATGCAGAAAATGCTCTGCTGGCCGCCGATGAAACTGATGGAAGAGCTTTACACTTTGAAGGAGGATTACCGGTTACGTCACTTGTATTAAGCACTATCATCAGGTCTGAACTAACATAATATTCTATTAAACAATATAACTCTTAGTAAGTTTTATAAAAATATTAGTTTATTGCAGTGTAATTAATTGGTATATATAATTCCAGGTCATTTAAATCTGTGAAGAAGCCCTCGCCTTTAACTCCGGACCAGAAACACAAGTTCGGAGCTTACTTGTTGTCTCGTCGCTCGGCCTCCGCCCCACGCACTGTTGCTTCTCTTATTGAAGCTGCAAAAATCCTTGCCGATGACCAGGTAAATGACTTACTAATATCTAACTTTATATGATAGTTTATATTGTTTTATTGTATTTTTGTTGTTAGTATTTTGTTTTGTTTATTTTTCTTTATTTCTTTACAGCCTACTCCCATATGCATTGTCTTCAAAGACAAGAAGTACATCACATCAGAGACGGATTCCATTGAGTTCTCGGTCACGGATTTAATCGGTAGAGCCATTCCTAATCTGAAACCTGATGAAGTAGTCGCTCAGTCTGGCACGAGGTTGGCTGATGACGTTGTTGTTCTATCAAAGCAGCCGCTGACACAGAAACCCAACGAACCAACGACATTCGTTTTAAATCTCAGCAAGATTAAATCCCAATACGGTCTTTACAAGATATCTCTCAGTACAGGAAGCAAGTCGGCTAACTTTAACATAGCTGTGCTCGGAGAAATACAAGTGTCGAGTGTTGAAATTGGAGTGGGGGATGTAGATGGCACCACCAGTCCTAAACTTACAACAGTTACTTACCCCAACAAGATGGCTGAAGTACTACAAGCTGATCACTTACAGAAGTAAGTAGAGAACCTAATTCAATACACTGTCAGAACTTTGTTGGTAAATTCTTTAATTCCTTTAATTATCTTAATAAATCATTTGCAGTAACTTCATATTTTTAAACTAGCAACTATTATTAAATTAAGAATTTTGTTTCATACATAGATAATGATAATATGTTATGATAAGGCTCAAAAGGACTCATATCCAGAGCCGTAAAAACATTTACAAAAAAAAAATAAGAATTTTGTACAAAACTGTTGTTGATTAACTACTTTTGAATTTAGAACTTTATACACAATTAAGTTCTGGAAGTAAAAGGTTCTGATTGTTATATATTTGTATATTCAGAGTGAGCGTGAAGTTCTCAATTCGTGACAAGTTCAACAAGCCGGCGCTGGTGCAGCAAGCCTTCTTACTGGTGGCTTCACTAGAGGACGAGCGAGAGGCCATCTATGTAGCGGAGCCCGACCACGCTAAGAACTATAAAGTTGAACTGGTACGAAAACTACTAACATATACATAATATACAATAATATTACATAAGAGGAATGTTCTATTACAGTATCAGTCGAAAATTGGATAATTACCTCAGTAGGTGTTTTACCTTTGTTATATGATGTGGAACGTGGGCGCCATGCATATTATGAAATAATATAAGCAATGTTCTCTAACTGTAAAACCCAAATAAGTGAATGGTTATCTGAGTATTTTTTATTTTTTTAAATTTAGAATGTGGGCGCCATGGGCAAGCACCTGGACTACGTGTCAGGCTCATACTCCGTGAGCGTGCTGGTCGGAGACAGCGCTGTAGCGGCGCCGCTGTCCTGGAGACTAGCTGATGTTAAACTTAGCTTCGGAAGAGACGCTATTGGTCAGTTAACAATACATATATATGTATACATATCTTTACTAAGAGTATAAATGTGGATTTGCAATCAGTAGAAGTGGGAGAGAATTATAACAGCTAAATTCTATATAATCTAATAAAAGACTTGAGCATGTATAGAACTCATATTAATTCATTCTTGGAATGTATTAAAGGCAGCCCTAGTAGGTTCATTTCAAATTTGGTTTAATAGAGAGAGGAGCTTGGACGGTGGGGATGAGTATTTAACGCGCGTTAGATAAGGAATTAAACCTACACCTGGGTCGCAAGTCCCAGGCATAGTTAAAGCTTACCCTACAACAATAAACCCGGCACTCGCACGATGAATTTATGATTGCTATGAGGTTGCGTCTCATACTACATATAAGTTTGACTATCGTATTTTTAGTGTATGTATCTATACAATAGATATAATACACTGTCTCACGTACCCCACTGGAGGCATGCGCTCGGCAGTCTAATGACTAGCGGGGAGTGGAACGGTGACGTGCGTCGCTCTAGGCGGGGTAGTAGTGAGCAGGGATCCTACAGTATTAATTGATTATATGTTTCTCTCCCCAGCGGAGCCCCGCGCCGCCCGTGTCCGCGGCCCGCTGCCCCCCATCTCGCACGTGTTCCGCGCGGCCGAGCCCCGCCCGCCGCGCGTCGTGTCGGACGTGTTCTCCCTGGCGTGCGCGGCGCCCCTGCTGCTGCTCCTCATACTGTGGGGCTCCCTCAGACTCAACTTCTCACTGTTCCCCTTCACACCAAGCGCTCTGCTGTTCCACGTTGCGCTCGGTGGTACGTATACAACACAACACAAATATTTATTACACTCAAAAGTAAAAAAAAAATAATGTACTGGTGGCCGTGAACAATTTTAACCGAGTGATAACTTATGACTCAATACCGTTTCTTCCTTAGTCTGGAAGAAACGAATATTTTTTCTTTAAAAAATACACTTACATTGAAATCTACATATATCTTTAACAAGGCATATTATACAGGGTGACTGGTGAATTACTATCAATATTTAAGGAGAATACTCGGTACATGATTCTCATTCGAATTATGTAAAAAAATAGGTACTTAATTTTTGACCAAATTTCCGTATAAATAAATAAAGTGTGGACACGTTCCAAGTGTTCCAAGTGTGGACGCGTGCGGCGGCGTGCTGATACAACACCACGGCGCCGCACGCGTGTGTGTGTGTGTGTGTGTATACCTAATCTGTAGGGTGTTCACACGATGCGTAATTAATTACATAACTTTTGGTTAACTTTACTTAGAAGTTTATTAATATTTATGTTATATTAATTTTTATTTTGTCATATATGATCGTCAAATATCACGTCCTCAAGTATCGATAGTAATTCACCAGTCACCCTGTATATTTGACAATATTTAGTATTTACCTAAGAATGTAGAGTAATGATGTTACCAATGAGTATATATAACTAATATTGTTTTTATCCAACGTTTCATCCACAGCGTCCCTGTCTCTATACGGTCTCTTATGGTTGAAGCTGAGTATGTTCGAGACTCTCCGCTACCTGCTGCCAGTCGCTGGACTCACCTTCCTGGCCGGACAGAGGCTGCTGAGACGTCTTGCAAGAGACAAAGCGGCTCGCTAACATATATAATATATAAATAATACATAATATACTATATAAACTATGTCTGTATACAGTCTGCTACTACCGATGGCTCAGTAAGATATTCACATTCAATTTGTATTGTATCAATTATCTATTTGTTTTTGTTTATTAAATTGTTGAATTTTTTATGTTAACTCAATTATTAACTCAAAGGTCATCTGTTTTTTCATATTTATTACATCGGGTATGTTTCTATTAGAATGCTTCTGTAAACTATGTTCCGAACACTTTATTTAAAAAAAATATTGATACTTTTATTATTAATAACTACTGTAAGTTTGTGAGGACACAAAGATAGAAATAAAAAATAATTACACGTATGTAATGAGTTTCATTTAATTTAAATATATGTTGATATTCTGAGAATGCTCTGTGTTTAGTATGAGGTAGCAAACCTCTATACCTGTACTGCAAACCTTATAGAGCTAACTCTAATAATCTAATGTTATTTATGGATTTAAAGCACTTATACCTTTTTTTCTAGACAAATATTAAAATTGGTCTGAGAATCTAAACACTTACACAAAAAATTGTCGCCTCGTTATTGACTATAGTGTTATAATAACAAGTCTATATATCGAAGGTTTTGGTGAAAAAATAGAGAGACTTTAAACCCACATCTCACCATAAATTGCTAAAAAAAATGGCAAGAAATTTAAAAAACTTTCAAAACAACCTTATCATGTGGACTCTCTGATATAATAACAACAAGCTAAGAAATGCGTGATAAAAATAATTCTGGATTTGTCTCATCTATACTGACTGGTGGAATTGATTTTTTTTATTATTATTTTTAGAATTCCCTGTAAGAGATATTGTAATATCTAAGTATTGAGAAGGTTAAGAGGCTTATGATTTTCCATTCATATAATTAAAGTATATTGTTATTTACGTAAAACGAATTAGCTTCGATTTCGATTCCGGCAATTGCAACACCTTTTATGGAGGCACAAGGAGCTGCTCGCACACAAAAAGTCAAAACAAGTCTCTTAAGATTCTTCTTAAGTTAAGGAGCACAATTACATCCACAAATCTTTCCCAAAACTTAGTACGCTTCCTTACTCATATCAACATGCTTGTACTTTTGTTTTATTGAATAGTTTTTAATTTTGTGTAAAAAACTAACTCATGTCAAGAATCCTATTGGCTATTGGTCGCCTTATATTTTTGTTGGTTAATGATAAACTTGCGCTCTAGATAATTTTTCAGTTTTAGTGATGTTTAGTAGTCATGCCACCCTATTGTCAATAGTGGTAACGGTACCAATAAAGCTCATAGTATAACTGGTTAAAATATTTACAAGTGAAAAAGTATTTTGAATTGCGGTTATATCTTAACCTATCTCGACTTTTCAGTTTGTCTTGCGATTGACATATTTCGGGTTGATTGACCTACAGGTCGGAACGATAAACCGAAAACAAAGATAGGGATTTGTTAAGTCACATGTAACTCGATATTCTCTATTGATATAATTAGTATATAAGTAATTTGACTCAAAATAGGTAAAAAATTGGTTGTTTGTAAAGTAGGTTTACGATCGAGATGTTTACGTGATAACGTCTTATTGGTGATATAAGTTTTTGGGAACTAAGGAATTAATGAAGATAACAATTTTTTCAAATTTTAAATTAGGTACATCTATCGTTTTATTCACATTTTTGATGACAAATTTCGGGTGTAAAATGACAAGTTTACTTATTTTATTTTTATTTACTTATTATACATTTTTCTTCATACATACATTCATACAAACATACTTTTATACATTTATACAAACATTTATGCATACATTCACACATACATAACATACAATACGATCAGTTACAATCTTCACGTAAAATTATCTCTTTCCAATCTGGGTAATTCTGTTCAGGATAGGACGATGATAGGAAAAGTAAGAAATAAAAGGAAGGTTTTCAGCTGTTATGTGCCTTGCAAAAGTCAGGTCGGTGGTTGTTCCTTTTAACGTAGTAGACTTTGAAACATCGGACAAGTTTTCAAGATTGAACGTTTCTTTCATGAATCTGAGGAATGAGTCATCTGTCTTAAGGTTTTTGTTGAAATCACCACACAGAAGAATGGGTATATTAGAATCAACTTGAAGGAACGGGGGCACGTACTGGGTGTTGTGAATGTACGGACCGAGTGCTTGCCAGAGTAACATGCCGACGTTTTGCGTACTAGCTCCTGCATGAACGTTTATAGCGCCGAGCACGAACTTGAAGGGTGTATCTGCAGTAAAGCACGTAACTTCAGTCAAGCACACATCTCCTGAGGTTTTGATGTGACGAGTTGAGTCTGTAATCGCAGTTTCAACCACTTCGGCTGTAGACGGCCATGATAATCTGCGATAGATTGCAACTCCTCCAGCTGCGTTGGTATCTGAATCAGTTCGATTATTCCTAGATATGCACTCATAATTGTTAATCGGAAGTGGTGGACAATTCTTTACAACCGAAAATCCTTCTCGTGGAACGATTTGATTCACGTCATCGTTATTTTCGGCACCTTCTGAAGACTGTTCGACAGACACTCTCCTTGCCTCAGTTTCCATGGGTTCTGTGCTGTTAGAATTTTGCAGAATCGTCATTGCTTCAAGCTCCTGTAGCACACTGTCGATGTTAAGATTTTTCTCGTATATCTGACTACGTTCCACGATGACATTCTTGTTGTCGTTGTATAATTGTAGAAATTTATTGCAATCAATAATTTCAGATAATTCATTGCGGAAGGGCAGATACAGCAGCACCATCTCACGTTGATAGTCGACAATTTCATGTTCTTCGTAATGCCTGTATCGTATGATCCGTCCCATTTGTCGTCTGCGATATTGTCTTGAATTCGTTTCTTTTTCGGTCTCTGGTTCCAAATTTTCATACTCATGCAGGTCCACGTCGTCTTTAGTGTCGATGAAATCTTGACATTTAGCATACCACGAAGCAAACTCGGCCAAATATACAGGTTCCAAGGAAGGAGGTCGTTCTTCATATCGCTGAATGATATTTTTGATCCATACATCTGTACTGTCAGCATCAATTCCTTCGCGATTCATTTGTACACGACGTTTGCGGCAACGTTGTCTCTCCGATGGCCATACTGTTGGTATGTACACTACTTGACGGCTTGTTTCGCTCATCGGTTGTCGTAATAAAAACCACGCTGCTTCTTGGGCCGACATTTCAACTGCATTTAGAAGTTTAATACTCAAAGCCTTCAATTGGCCCGTGTAGTCCCGGTCAGGATGCTCTTGCATCATTTTCGCCAGCTCTCGATTCAAGTTACCCATTCCGCGAGCCGATTTGCTAACGTATTCCACGACGTACTGCGCGCAGCTATAGTCATCTAAGATAAACTGGATGTCAATGTTGGAATTCATTTCACCAGCAAGGTAAGGGTTGAATGTGTTCGTCATCAGTTGGTCAAAGTTGCGTTTGAACAACAATGTTGGCCTGGACAGAGTTGAACGCACTACGTCGAGGTATGCATCGAACGTCAAACTATGATCCCTCAGAAAGTCGTCCATGCTAGCATATGTACGGTCGCTAAGGGAAGTTCTTAGCTCTTTACCCTTTTTCTGGAATGCAACGCGGCGTCCATCAGTTTTTGGCATTGGTACCAATACACGGGTAGTCAGCATTGGCCAGTACGGGATTCCAAATCTGCAAGTCGTTTCGCCTCGTTTCGTGCAGGTGAAAGTGTGCTTATGTATTTGGTTGGAGTAGATGGTATCGTTAGGCACATCTTCTTTTGCAACTGAACTTATTTTCTCCACAAGTTCGATGGTGTTGGGCATATTTTCTGAAACGGTTTCGATGGGGTCGTTGTTCAACCACAGTAAAATATGAGCGTGGGGACTTCCGCGATGCTGGAACTCAATGCGAAGAAAATAATCCTTAACAAAGTATTGGCCGAACGGATTATTATAATTCGACTTCGCTTTCAACATGTTCATCAGTGTACCAACAAGTTTGTGAAAATATATGCAGCACGTAACTGGATCGTCAGTCACTAAGCTGCACCGCTCTGATGTGTTTAGATCTTCAGCAACTTTGCCAGGATATTTGTTACTCAATTTGAGGAGTAAGTTCAGTAATGTCAACCAGCGTACTTCATTTGCACTTAGAGTGAGAAAGATGGTCGGCTTCCCAAGTTGACGGAGCATAGCAAAGAGATCCCGTTTGCGAGAGGCCCAGTACTGGACGGAGTTTGGCACTGATTTCATAAAGCCAAGGTTGGGTATAACAAATGCTTTAAGGAATTCTGGGTCTTCTAACATTCGTCGAGTTACGTTTTCTGTACCCGGCACTTTCCGGAACGTGCTGTAAATTCCATCCACCATGCGTAGACGTAAGATCTTCATAGCAATGTACAAGATCTTTTGAGGCCTGGCGCCGCGTCTGTCACTTCGTCTTATTTCACTGGTCACCATCATATAAGGTGTCACCGAAACTCCCATGTTGAAACGACGTGGTTCTCCGAAGTATATTGCAGGAAATGATAATTCTTCAGCATGACGGTCAGAAAAGATGTTGAGATGCGTTGCCCGATGTCCTGGTGCGATGTCAAGACAATCCTCTTCGTTCCACAATAGTGTGTGCTGTCTAGCAGCAAGAATTTCAGATTCAGGTGTATATTCAGCAGAAATTGCTTCGATGCGAGGACCAGGTTCATCCGGCAGGATTTCTTCTGATTTCACTGTAAGCTGTAGCTTCGACATATCTACTTTGATATCGTATAAACGATAAAGGCTCGACTTCTGAAGTACATCCAACCATTCCTTGATCGTACGTTCAGACGTGTATCCGCTAACGTAATTCGTTTTGTGCGCAAGATTCCGTTCTATGTTGACATTGATTACTTCGTCCTCATCCAGTTGCCGAGGTAAGCATTTCATCATTTCTTGCCCGTCGACTGGAACGTTGATCACTTGTCCAATGATCCCACATGAGAAGTCATGACGGAGTCGACGTACTTGCATAAATGGCAGACGTGGTGAGATCAACCGTTCACTGATTGGATCCAATGGCGGTAGACCTGGAGGTACCTCAGGATATGTGAAGCCGTTCATCTTCGCAAGACTCGGAAGCTTTCCTGTATTCAGCGAGCGTCTACAGTTGGCGCAAACCAATGTAAATTCCTGGGCGTGTACTTGCCGATTTTCCTTAACACACCAATCTGAGATTATCTGCATTTGTACAGCAGTGATGGCTTTAAGGTCATTTCTGAACCATAATCTATCGCAAACCGAACAAGTATGGCCAAAATCGTTATCCAGGAAAAGAGATTTGAATCGTTGTATTGACGAAGACCATTTTGTAGACCAGTTAGTTTGTCTTTGGTGCACTGCTGCTTGATTCGATGAAGTACTGGGTTGTGCAGCACTCCTAGCTCGTTCGGCTTGACGCTGTCGAGATGCACGTTTTCGCTGAGCGCTGGTTTGTACAATTTTAGTTGTCTCCACCGTGCCGCTGGCGAGAGCTAAATTTGCAGCTCTACGTAGATGGTACGCTTTGCGTTGTCTTTCAGCGGCTTTTCTTGCAAACGCCGCGGCCTGTTCTGGGGTTCTAATAGCTGCTACTCGTTTTCTGTACTCACGATGTCGCAGGGCATTCTTTTGGGCAGTGGTGGGTATTGCAGACGTTGACGGCAAAGCATCCTCGGTCTCCATCGGTGTACTGGATGTTGAAGGAATGTGCGCACAGGGATCCATCATGTTGAGCGTGGTGATATCTATGGAACACAAAATATTTTAATTCCAAATGAAATGAAGTCATTTGAAAGTTTTGTAAAATACACATTTCCTGTACTCACGGTTTCGCAAGGTATTAGATTCGGCGGGATTGGCTGAGTGTTGCACAGTGAGAGGTATTGCAGACGCCGAGGGCAAAACATCCTCAGTCTCCATCGGTGTACTAGACGTTGAAACAACGTGCGCTTGGGGATCCGTCGTATTGAACGTGGTGCTTTCTGTTAAACGAATTGAACTTAATTTTCTAAAGAAATATTATCAACTAGCTTTCGCCCGCGTAACGTTTATTCCTTCCCTCGGGAATAGTAATATTTCCCGGGATAAAAAGTCCCTATGTCCTTTTCTACACCCCAGACAACGTGTAGGCAAAATTTCATGATGATCCGTACAGTAGCTAAAGCGTGAAGGCGTAACAAACAAACAAACAAACAAACTCACTTTCGCATTTATAATATTAGTTAGGATTAAAATTTGTTTAAATAATTCTAATTCCGTTTAAATTATCAATAAATGATATTCAATTAATTAGAAATAAAATTTGAATTGAAATCAATACTAATTTTGAAAATTTGAATTTGTAATACGCGAGTTTACCAACTTGACACATGAGAATGATTTCATGCATTGTGATTGGTCGCTCGAATTGTAGGTTAGAATGCAGGGTTTTGACAAGTGAGAAATTTTAATTTGGTATTATAATTCCGTTTAAATTATCATTAAATGATATTCAATCAATTAGAAATAAAATCAATACTAATTTTAATTGTTTGAATTTTTATTACGCGCCTTAACCAACTTGACACATGAGAATTGTTTCTTGCATTGTGATTGGTCGCTCGAATTGTAGGTTAGAATGCAGGGTTTTGACAAGTGAGAGATTTTAATTTGGTATTATAATTCCGTTTAAATTATCATTAAATGATATTCAATCAATTATAAATAAAATTTGAATTGAAATCAATACTAATTTTAAATGTTTGAATTTGTATTACGCGCCTTAATCAACTTGACACATGAGAATGGTTTCTTGCATTGTGATTGGTCGCTCGAGTCGTAGGTTAGAATGCATTGTTTTGACAGGCGAGAGATTTTAATTCGATATTCTAAATTCTAATCATTCACACGACGCGACGCGCTCCTTTATCTATTTTTTCCGTATTATAATTATTTAGGGTATGAGTCCAACTATGTTTTTATTTAACACTACCACAATTCATTTTTATCATAACATAACCTCTAAATTTCGTTTGTTTACACGTGTCTTTTTCCATCTTTCATTACTTTTACAAGTTTATTCAAGAATGTTAATTGTTAGTAAGTAGGCTATTTTATTCACCTTTTTTTGTTGCAATTGTTGTAACACTTCACTTGAACTTCACATTTTGTTTCACTGTTAAACATTCAACGAAAACTTAACCGCACGAGAAAATCTCCATTCGTTTGTATGCCGCTAGAGTGAGAGAGACGGTCCACTCACTCGAACGCTATGCCTGCCTCCGCTCGTGAGGATTCCGCGTGACAAGTTTCATTGAATGACTGGCAGCGCTCGAGATGAGACGGGAGATCGGTCCGTCTCTCTATCGTTATACCTGCGATCGCGCTCGTGAGGTTTTGGTGTGACACAAGTTTCTGAACATGTCACCCGACTAAAATAATTTTAAAGACGTTATCACGTCAAAAAATCCGTTTTCACTGTATATTCTATTTTATTAATCGTCAAACCTAAGCTATTCGCCAATAGCGTCTTAATTTGTTTATCGTCACTTTTAGCTGTTTTCACCATGCAGTAAAGGAGATCATTCAGGTTTCATACATTTTTGGGCCTTTTTCTGAAAGTGCCGGCCAACAAAAAAAAATGGTACATATTGTTAGAACTAACCATTTGGAGCAATAATTAATATGGCGCAAAAGTTGTAGGATCCAAGATATAGAAGTTATACAAGTTCTATGATTCATCATTTTCGTACATTTATTTTTCTGAAAGTGCTAGGAAACATAAAATAATGATTGATATTGCTAGAGTTAAGCTTCTCAAGCATATTTTTATAGCGAGAAAGCCATAATCTGTTCTCTTGTACATGTTAGAAACTTGTCATTTTTATGTAATACTAGCGAACCCGACAGACGTTGTTCTGCCCAGTATCTGAACGCATCCAACACAATTTAGTTGTTGTTGGTTTTATTATTTCTCTAAACTAATATATATATATCGGGGTGTTATTTTTATATATTAAAACAACGTTATATAGCATTCTATGTATAACTAAAAATATATTTTAGGATAATATAAGTAAAACACAAATACTGATTCACGTATTTTTTAATTAATACAATTGAATACATTAGTATCAATCATAATATGACATAAAAACGACAGGTTTCTACCATGTACAAGAGAACAGATTATGGCTTTCTCGCTATAAAAATATGCTTAAGAAGCTTAACTCTAGCAATATCGATCATTATTTTGTTTCCTGGCACTTTCAGAAAAATAAATGTACGAAAAATTAATTAATTCTAGTCTAGTAGTATTCTTGTCTCTTTCTGTTATTATTTTTTTATTGTAACATTTGAATTATTTTTAAGTGGAAACTTTATTGGTTTTTGATCTAGAAATAATTATTTAATTTTATGTAATAATTCACTGTATGTTTCCCAAATATAAATAAAATAAAATGATGAATCATAGAACTTGTATAACTTCTATATCTTGGATCCTACAACTTTTGCGCCATATTAACTATTGCTCCAAATGGTTAGTTCTAACAATATGTACCATTTTTTTCTGTTGGCCGGCACTTTCAGAAAAAGGCCCAAAAAGAATGATCTTTTCGCACACATAAGTAGAATAATTCTACCGTACGTTTTGAGACAAACTCAATATTGTAATCAATATCAACTATCATTTTTATGGTACTTAAGTAGATATTGGAACTTCATATTGTTCTAAAAATAGAAAAATAGTTTTTTTACAATATTATAAGCCACGGGGCTTATACTAACCAAACTCTTTCGTGTTGATTTTACCTACATTGGCAGAATATGCTGTGCAGTCGTCATTACTGTACTTAATATAATATAATATAATATAATAAATTTTTAAGAAATAATAAAACAATATTGTTGCTTAAACATAATTTATTGCATGTCACAAAACTATAAAATTCAGTGTTAAGGTACAGCTCACTGGTTTATTATAAAAATTAGGAAATTATATTATTTATATCACTTCATTATCCTTAGTCTACACAATCATACAATAAAAATATATTACATATTACTCCTTATATGCTACAAGGTACATCAATTCCTTCTCAGAACCTGATAAGTACAGTCATAGACTTAGTCTGAAAAATAGAATTTTCTCACTAATACTGGGTCGGCCAGTAGATAGTATTGGAATGAGTTTTTGTTAAGATACATCTAAAACTCAGCATCTAAAGTGAACACGTTGTCATCAGGATTGGCCATCACTCCCCATTTTTGGTACTCTCCGACCTTCTTCTCAAAGAAGTTAGTCTTACCTTCTAATGAAATTAAATTCATGAAGTCAAACGGATTCTTTGTGTTGTAGTGCTGCGAAAAAATATATATGTCAAAAAATATAGATAATATAAGTATGACTATATAAGTATTGAATAAATACCTTCTCTCCAATCAATTCTATGAGAAGACGGTCGGCAACGAATTCAATATAATCGGACATCAGCTCACAGTTCATACCGAGGAGTCTCACTGGGAGTGCATCCGTGAGGAATTCCTGTTCAATAACTACAGCATCCTTAATAATCTTTAACACACAATCTTTGCTCGGCTTCTGCACTAAGTGTTTGAACATAAGACATGCGAAATCTGTATGGAGACCCTGGAATTATATATAATAAAATTATTATCTTATTGAAGTTCATTATTAGGGGTATGAATAATATATGAAACATATTGAGAACTCACCTCATCTCTAGAAATGAGTTCATTACTGAAAGTCAAACCGGGCATGAGACCTCTTTTCTTCATCCAAAAGATAGAAGCAAAGCTTCCAGAGAAGAAAATCCCTTCAACAGCAGCGAATGCGACAATGCGCTCACCAAAAGTGGCCGTCTTGCTGGCAATCCACTGTAGAGCCCAATCAGCCTTCTTCTTTACACACGGTAAAGTCTCAATGGCATTGAACAGGAAATCCCTAGAAATTATATACAACTGTGAAAACTATAATAATATTAAACTAATTCAGTTCTCTTAATTTTAATTGTTACCTTTCTTTAGGGTCCCTAATATATGTATCAATCAGAAGTGAATACATTTCAGAGTGAACATTTTCCATAGCAATTTGGAAACCATAGAAGCATCTTGCCTCGGTCACCTGAACTTCCTGGGAGAAGCGTTCAACGAGATTCTCATTTACTATACCATCTGATGCCGCAAAAAACGCCAATACATGCTTAATGAAGTGTCTTTCACAGTCTTTCAAACTTTCCCAGTCACTTAAATCCTGTAATAAAATATTTATACATAGTTAAATAATAATGTAGTAATGTTTAATGAATTATAATTTATATTGAAGATATTGTATAACTATTCTGTTAAATAAATTTCATAAGCGGAAAAATGAATGATAAATATTGTGCAATATTTTTTCAAAACGAGCAAATATTGCAAATTAAATAGTAATTCAACAGATCTTATATTGTATCTAATTATGTTCAGCAATTAAAGTTCTAAGCAATTAATTAGGCTAACCTTAGATAAGTCAACTTCTTCAACAGTCCAGAAGGAAGCCTCTGCCTTCTTGTACATTTGCCATATATCAGGATATTGGATGGGGAATATAACGAAACGACGTGGGTTTTCTCTCAGCAGGGGTTCTAATTGTGGGTCAAAAGCCGGCGTTTTGCTGTCTTTCTCAACTTCCATTTTTTCTAATTGAATATTTTCATCTCGGGAATTAAGAACTTTTTTAACAGGAGACTGCAAAACAAATCACGTTAATGCCACATTTAATAACCAATGAAATAGTAATAATGGTAATACCAACCTTAATATGAACATTGTTGATTCCATTAAACACATTTTCTTGATCATTACAGTAAGACATTATTTTAAATTTAGATATTAAAAACAGACACTGATTTTTATTACAAGTAGAGGATATTATTTAAAGTTATTAAAGAAAGTGGAGCAATTTTGGAGCGTTCTGATGTGTACTAGGTAACTATCAACTAAAATTAACTGTTGTTGATTGCAGATTGCTAGGTGTCGTACTTCGCAGTTCGCAGTTTATACAAGTCACAACAAGATTCAGAAGCAATATCATATTTATGGCGGGAAAATTATTTCTGTTCTGAAACTAGTATTTAAAAATTTTGTATATATACATTTTAATTTTAAAATATTCACTATAAAATATAATCTATCGTTTTACAATAATAAATAATACGTATAAAATAAGTCATAACTTAGTTTTGCTGAAACTATTAGATAATCGTTTAAAATGTTAGAAGTAATTATTTCTACAATAGAATTTCTGGTTTCAGAACAATTATTGATAATAATCTGCACCAATGGTGGAATAGAATTAAAAGCGCGAAAAATATTGTTTAATTTTTGATTCACTTCTTGTGTTAGAAGATGTAATTTCATTATATAGTTAACAGGAATAGTTTTTCTTTCCTTTTTTCCTAAATAGAGCAAAATACGATGAATTATTTACTTTCGCGGTAAATAAACAGATTTTAAAAGGTCAATTGATTGGACAAATTCTAACCAATAGGATATAAATAAAGTAGGTATTCAACCCGTTAGCCAATCAAAATTAAGTCCACTCTACACCTGTTGTTGACTCAGTGTTAACATTCGATTAAGCTATTTTGAAAATTGCACATACATATACTATTGTATCATTACTTTTTTATTAATTTAAATATACAAATTATTGCGTCTATTTAGAAGATTCTCCGAATAATTACTTTACTATTAGATTAACTGTTTTCCATAGTTCCTTTATCAAATTTAGATAATTTTGTTGTTGCTCTTAAATTTTCTATGTCATTAATAAAACATATTTTAGGAAACAGTAAGACCTGTGTCCTAACCATCGGATATAAAGAATTTTTTTAAAGACAGAGTTTATTCAAACATAACTTTATTTTTCTAGACATGTATAAAACAAAAAAGTGAAACCTATACAGAATCTTGTGATTGTAGTATATTAAAAAAATCTAAAATCAATTAAAAGCATATATTTTAAAAGCACGCTTAATAGATATAAAATATTGAGGTATTTTGGAAAAAATAAAAAAATATTATCGAAAGATAAAATATATATAATATAATGAGCTCTCCATATCGACGTTAAAATTGTTTTTCTTTAATTTGATAATTTAATATTACTATCATTCTAATTATTTTTATATTTGCAGCTTTGGTCCAATTCATACTTAAGTTGTACAATATTCTGTATATGTTATGGATCAAATTATAATGTAATATTGATTACTGAGGAAAGAAAACACTGGAATTAATTAAATTGATCAGTTGCTAGAATAATACAACAATGCATAAGTAATTATTTATTTATTACACTTGCGTAAGTGAATTTTTCAAGTAGGTAATAATACAAGTGACATTGACATTGACTTGAGACCGTGTGACGTCTGCTGCGTATAGCTAAATGCCGATTTCTTAGTTTTAATGCTTCATATTTAAGCAATAACTTGCAGTCTTAGTATATTTAGGAATTAAATAACATTAAAAAGCCGTCTTCATAATGTCCGACCATGACGACGACTATATGTGTGAAGAGGAGGAAGACTATGGCTTGGTAATGTTACTTTGTTTACACTTGCAGTTGCATTTTTCATAATATGTACTGTGTGCACATTCTCGCCAAAATATTATAAGACATACACGGTCTGGGTAAAGGCTAAAATTGTTGTCATAATATAACAAGCATGCCCTATATACGATACTTACTTAATATTATAGCAAACTCTTTGTTCATCTCAGATACTATTTTGATATCAATATTCCACATTAAATTGGTTGTTCAATTGTCATTGACACCTTTGTTGATGAAATGAGACTTTACATTTTCTTCATTTATTTATATCAAGTCTTAAACATAACACAATATCTATATTTATATTGGATAACTGAACAATTGAGATGTCATTCTGCTTTAAATCTGATTAGCTAGTGCTTAAAGTTATTTATCTTTAGTGAAATTAAAGGATTAATAATAACTATTTTTTTGTTTAACACAGGAATATTCGGAGGACAGTAATTCAGAACCCGATGTGGACCTTGAGAACCAGTATTACAACAGCAAAGCCCTGAAAGAAGATATGCCGTTAGCGGCTCTGTTGAGTTTTCAAAAAGTTCTAGAATTAGAGGGAGGAGATAAAGGAGAATGGGGGTTCAAGGCTCTCAAACAAATGATAAAAATAAATTTTAAACTGGTAACATTAGCATTTTAAATTATAAAATATGTTCCTTATTATGGAACTGATAAATAATAACTGATATATATATTTTTAATTACAGAGCAACTTCACGGAAATGATGGCAAGATATAAACAACTGCTCACATACATCAAGAGTGCGGTGACAAGAAATCACTCAGAGAAGTCCATCAATTCAATCTTAGATTATATTTCTACTTCTAGAAATGTATGTTGTACAAAAATTCTTATATTTAGAAGCTCATTATTACTGTTTCATCATCAGTTTATTTTTATATATTTGTTTTAGATGGAGCTCCTGCAGGACTTTTATGAAACAACTTTAGAAGCATTAAAAGATGCCAAAAACGACCGTCTATGGTTCAAAACAAATACCAAACTAGGCAAGCTGTACTATGACCGAGGAGATTTTAATAAATTAGCTAAGATATTGAAGCAATTACATCAGAGTTGCCAGGTTAGGAATTGTTCTGTATAAAATGTCATTTGTTTTTTTTATCTTCATATAATTTCATTATTATCTATACAAAATATTGTTTATCTGTACTCCCTGTATAATTGTTTTCAGACCGATGAGGGTGAAGATGATCTTAAGAAAGGCACCCAACTATTAGAAATATATGCGCTTGAAATACAAATGTATACAGCACAAAAAAATAATAAAAAATTAAAGGCACTTTATGAACAATCATTGCATATTAAGTCGGCAATACCACATCCACTCATAATGGGTGTTATAAGAGGTATGTATATATATTATTACAATATAGAAGAATTGTCATTTTGCCAACCAAATAAAACATCACAAGTTTACTGTTGTAAAACATAATTATTATATTTATTTCGATTTTTATAATCTGCTTTTTTAATTTAATTTTGCAATGGCAATAATTACTGTAAAATATAAAAACATTTTGTTGATAAATTAATTTATTAAACTATATTTAGTTATAGTAGTAAATATTTTGTATCTTTTTTTTAGAGTGTGGAGGTAAAATGCATCTCAGAGAGGGTGAGTTTGAGAAGGCCCATACAGATTTCTTTGAAGCTTTCAAGAACTATGATGAATCTGGCAGCCCTCGAAGAACGACCTGCCTTAAATATTTGGTACTAGCTAACATGTATGTATATTAAATACATATTTTAGGTACCAAAATGGCTTTCTGAGTGAGAAGTAATATGTGATATATTTATTTCAGGCTAATGAAGTCCGGCATCAATCCATTTGATTCTCAAGAAGCAAAACCCTATAAGAACGATCCAGAAATATTGGCAATGACCAACCTTGTGATGGCTTACCAAAATAATGATATAAATGATTTCGAGTCCATCCTAAAACATAATAGAAACAACATTATGGATGATCCCTTCATCAGGGAACATATTGAAGATCTCCTCAGAAATATTAGAACTCAAGTCCTTATTAAATTGATCGGTCCATACACTAGGATTCACATACCATTTATATCTAAGGAGCTCAACATTGATGAGAAAGAAGTTGAAAATTTATTAGTCACCTGTATTTTGGATAAGTGAGTTACATTTTATATTAAGTCTGAAGTAATTATCTATATTAATGCACATGCTTTCTTTAGGTCTCTTAATTATATGAAAGTGTTTACTAACTAATGAATTATTGGATTGGATTACTGTTTTTTATATGCATGTTTTTAAAACCAAAATTGCAATTATTCCAAATATTTAAGTAAATTCAACTGATATAATAAATACACATTTATTTTTTTATAAATAAATGTTGGTCTAAATCTTAAACTAATCTGATGAAAATCATTTTTTGTTAACATACTAGCTTATTTTCTTATTTTGACTCAGGACAAACCGAAAGTGAATTTAACATATATGTATATAGTTAATAGCAAATATTAGTTTATTCGAGTGTATATAGCAAGTATGTAGTTATGATTGAATTAATTCCTCAGTACCATAAGCGGTCGCATCGACCAAGTGAACAGTGTGTTGGAACTAGCTCGTGGTGCGAGGGACGCAGCTCGATACACAGCCCTGGACAAGTGGACCGCTCAGTTGGCAGCCCTGCACCTCGCCCTGGCTAACAAGATGGCCTGAACTTACCAACCACAGAGTAAACACACCTGGATCTACTTGCACAGATTAAATAAATAGTTGTCAACCATTGGAAGAAATTCATTTGTTGCCATAGTTGTAAAACACCATCTATCTATCACTTCATATGTGTTGAGCAGTAAGCTATGAGCTATTGCACTGATTTTAATATGTTTGATCGTCCCTTTTGTTTAATCTGTAATTTTATATATTACCAGTTACACCCTATGTGTAACAATCATTATTACCCATATAAATACATGTTTAAATTAATTTTTAATTCCTTAAAATAATTTGCAAGAAAATCCGCAGCCCACGCAGATATAATGAAAATATTTTAATGGCATCAAATACATGACCAAAATTTTATATCCCATTATGCTTAGTATTTTTTATGTGGGTGTAATGATTGCCAATATATCATGTGTCTAACTTGGTGTTATAACTTTGCAGAATGGATTGTGTCATTAAAAATATTATTTGTAATTACATTAATATAAATATGAAATGATTCTTTTGTTTTCAATTAATTCACTTTTTATGTCACAAAATATCAAAAATGTAGTATTCGAAACTCTTTTTATAGGCCTTTGTTAAAAAAACAAAATTTAAATTGTAAAATATCCTCAAGGGTAATATAAAAATAACAAAAACTACAGTTATTTAATATAAGAATTATTTATTTTGATTATATTTCCCTTATTCTATATTATAATATGTAGTAATGATACCATAAATGGACGGATCGATATATCACAGGTTAGTTATATAACTGTATATACATTGCCATATAATTTGAATTTAATCATATTAATATTTTTTAGATAACACGAGTAAAATATTAAAGGTATAAAATGGCACACTAGAAAAAAATATTAAAAAATAAGTACAAAAGAATATTGATATGTCAATGAACACAATTCATATGGAATAAAAAAATTACACCATAGACAACAATATTACAGATAAAACAGAATTTAATTACTTTGCACCGATTTACTGAGCACCAGATTTCTCTATGATATATAAAATTTTACAAAAATAGTTATATAAGCAGTATACAGTGAATGTGAATCGACTACATGTGATAACAATCACAAAAGTTATTACATCTAGTGTAAATGCATATAAAATATCAAATGTATGAAAAATATTCCAAATATAAATATTTAAATCACATTATTATCAACATCAAACATTCAGCCGGATCTCAAAATATATAAACTTTTTGAGATATACAACCTTTATGGTTAGCAAACCAAGGAGGTTTGTGCATGTCAGTGAGTTGTTTGACAAGCAAAGAGGTTTCATACACGTGTGTCAGATCTCATTGTGACTGTTTGTCTGCCAGCCAGGGTCTGAAGATGGGCAGCGTGGTGGGGTAGTGTGTAGGAGGGCGCTCAGCGTCGTCATCTCTGAACGGATATGTACCCAGTAGTACTGGAAGTTGGAGCTTCACTTCCTTTTCGAGACTCTTCGGTTCAAGGATGAACTTTAATTAAATGAGACATATCATTAATATTTAATAATAGATTACATATTATATGTAGAATCAGCTTGAAGAATATTACAGATAAAGATTTCTTAATATTACGAATTTAATATATTAATGACTGTACAGTGATAGTGTGCTCTGTCCGAGTTGACGATGAAATGATGATCTATTTAAAATTAGAACCTAATACGTAAAAAACTCAACTCTAACAATAAATATATTCTATACTAGCTTTCCGCCCGCAGCTTCGCCCGCGTGGAGTTCGGTTATATCGCGTTTCCAAGAGAACCTTTCAAAAGTCTGGGATAAAAACTATCCTATGTTCTTTCTCAAGGTCAACTCCATCTCTGTACCAAATTTCATTAAAATCAGTTCAGTGGTTTATGCGTGAAAGCGTAACAAACAGACTGCAAAGTTACTTTCGCGTTTATAATATTAGTAGGGATACATAATACATGTAACTATCTCTTTATATTATATCCTTTGACTTACAAACACGTCATACTGGACCGATATGAGGTGACATCCCCTTAGGTTGGTGGGTGGTAGCGGCGGTACGTACAGTACGTCCCGCCAGCGCTGCGCCTGGCCTCCTCGCACCCGCCCGTGTACCACGCGCGCCAACTCACGCACCTCGCGCGCCGCCACCTTACCGTGCGCCACGTACTGGATCGTCTGGAACAAAGATGAAAACCGTTCATGGTACAAGGATTAAAATATAATCCTTTATATTGGGTCATCTGTTTGTATTGGAAAATTTCTAAAGCGTATAAACCAATTTTTACTAGATATTCGCTTGCAGATAGATGAAATGGGAGGGACGAACTTAAGCTACTGTTATTTTAGGGACTTTATATATTTTTTATTAATATACATGTGTATGTCATAAGATTTAAATTCGATGCTGTCTATAGTTGAACAGTTTCAGCAGTTATGTGATTGCTTCGCTTACTAACATATATTTCGTCCATTCATCCAGAGGGTATCTATATGCTATATATGCTTTATCTTCCGTTTTCTAAAATACCTATTTACCTAACTCTTTGAGGTCCCTGACTACATCCTCGTTCCAATTCAAAAAACTATGAATGTCTTAGACAATATGAATAGTTTCGATGAAGGATAGACATACATTTTAAAAAGGTTCCGTAATTGTCTCTATTAAAGTAAATCCTTTTTTCACAACAATAAGAACTTCCCATTCCTTGACAAAATTGCGCTAAATATCCGATCATCATCATGCCATCCTGGACAGTTTATTCGCCTTCCGAGACCAATTTACGTCGTAGTTTAGTATAAGTAAAATATTCTTTAAATATAAGATCACGCTTTACAAGACCTGCATAAATCCACTCACACTGCACACACAGATACTTATTTTTGCTTCAGGCATACACAATGATGGTGCTAGCACTAGTCACAGTCACAGGGACACTTCGGTGCATCAGGAACTTCAATCTCCATAGAGATCTACCACTTTCTACAAAAGCTACAGACTTCAAGACGATTTCAAAGAGATTTTCCTATACTTCGGTACATTTGAATGTGATGGCTGTCTATTGTCCACCCCAAGTAGGCAATAGGGATTTTAGCGACGTACTTTTAGACGACAAAATATTGATATACAATAGAGACATAAATGCTCGTAACACACCATAGGTACGTTACTTTATGCGGTCCTATTTCAAACACTTTACGGCATGTGGTCACATCCCTAGATAACATCGTCTCTAAAACGATGTTCCAAGCAAAAGATCGCCGTGTTAGAAGCATCTTTTATATTTAGTAACCCTCGAGCTCTTCAGGGAAAAAATTCAAGAATTGGTCCATTACGAACCATCCACTCCCTCCGATGTCGTTTAAATCTAATGTTCAGAGATAACAACATACATTGCGAAAAAGAAAACAATATGAATATCTATATATCAGAAACATTATCCAATAAAAAAAATTCGGGGAAAGCTCAAAGGGGAATATTACAGCCTAAAAGTCAGAAATATTTCAATACCTATATCATTTTTACTCCACAGTATACTAATAGACGCTAACATTAACTGTTTAGTATGACGTCATAGTGTTATTTAGTCAGTTACCTCCGTCAAGGCCGCGCGGGTAGCCTTGATGAGTGTCCTCGATCTGTTATCAACGACAGCTGATAAGGCGACGCTCTCCCCGGGCACGTACGCGCCCCGGTCCAAGGCCACGCGACACTGAACCACCCCTCCACCCACACAGCCCACACCCAACTTGTGCTCCACGTTCAACTCGAACTCTTGCTGTGTAACATGGTAATAACTTGATATAAAATACCATAATTAAGTTTAATTTGAAACGTAAAAGTAATTCGTCATCAAAATCCGAGATATATTTTTACATATAGTTCATACTCAGATTTAACATTTGTTTAAAACATACTTTTCTATATTACATACAAGAATTATACTTATTTTTGATGCTCTCATTTTGTAAATATAAAGTGGTTAATATTTAAAATCTAAACGAAAACAACAAAATTTTTAATGAAACTAATATTTTTGGATTACTACGCGTTATTTTATTACATTTTAAAAAACTACATACTGCCAACTTTTCGGTTACTTTGCAGCAACCGCGATCGCGGACATATAAGATGTTTAACAAAAATTTACTCAGATAACATATGCAAGATATGTATATTAAAGTATGTCTCAAATGATCTTAATGCATTATTCTATGAGATTTTACATGGTCGACAATTTATGAAAAATTGCATGTGGCTGTTCTAAATATAAATAACATAATACATATATAAAAACTTGTCTTTTGTCAAAACCATAATGTTAGCTTCATTTTTAGATGTAAATGAAATTTGTATACTTTGAATTTAATTAGTATTCTCTGCACTGTAAATGTATGCGGACTAAATGTGTTATGGATGATTGAAGCAAAAGTAACAGAGACATTGTAATGGATTCTTTACAATAATTACATGCTTTGTGAAGCATAAAGAAGCCTTATATGGGAGAAAAAGTATCATTATTATACCAAAACCGACTTGTTGATTGATCTATATTATTACAATAACATAACATTTAAATAAAATATGCTATTTATACACAAGAAATTCTTTTAGTAAATCACACATAAAAGATTTTCTACTTATTTATGCCAATTATTATAAGGACCTAAAAAAGTATAAGTACTCACAGCTAGGATTGGCGGTTCAGAATTCAGGTCAATAGGATTCATGACTATAAAGACTTGCTGATTTTTATGTGTGAGACCGTTCGGTTCTCTTAGAGCCGCCTTGCAATAGTACTGGACCCATCCATGAGTACCGAGGAATGTGGATGGAAGGCCCATAGGAAGACCCAACTTAAACGGGAAGCTATGGATCCCCGGAGAGAGAACCGATGCTCCATGACCTGAAAAAATATTTTTTTGGATAAATAAATAAGTTTAAGTAATAATTTTTAATTATTATCAATATTACAATACCTGGTTCACCCAAAAGTCTCATTCTGAAGTCAATATAGTTTTCCTTGTCAAACAATCGCTCATGTCTGCCGGAGCCCACTCTTACCACACCTTCGCCGATCACATGGAAATGTAAACCTGGGAAATATATTGGTTATTCTATATATTTAGAATATATTGTAGCTAATAATCTATATATTATATGACTAGTAAACTTGAAGTTATAAATTGATTCTATTCTCTGACCTTTAACAGCCCACATAAATTTAAATGGTTTCACATAACTTATGGCAATGATTGTTTTAATCAAAGTAAAATTTAGATGGAAATTTTTGAATGCTTACCAAGTACTGGAGTGTCGTCTTGCAACTCCATTAAAACTTTTCCTGATAAGAATTGACCAGGAAAATATAAGAGCGACGTATTGTCGAAGACGATTAAAAATTTTAGTAGTTTTCGAGGCATTGTCGTATAAATAAAATAAAAATTGTCTACTAATGAAATAACTGAAAGATCTTGTATTTTAAGTTAATTTTATGACAAAACACAAAATTATTCGTAACAAGTTAGTTTCTTATTAGATATTAAAATTAAGGTTCGCAACAAACACAGTTTTTTTTTTGTTCGTATGTTAAGCAACAGAACTATCACGAGCACTTCTTTAAAGAGAACTTTTGTAATAACTTTATTTGAAAGAATACATTATGCTTAATGTAAGCACAATTTGTCGTAGGATGTAACTTAAGAGTAAGTTATAAGTTTGTGAAGGCCGACCATAAACTTGCTTTGCCTTTGTTTTTCTTATTTTATGTCACGAAAAACACTTAATCTTTCTATGAACAGTAAAAATAATAAATATTACGTGCATAACATATATTAAAAACGTTAAAAAAATAAGAATGTTTGTAAAACAATCACAGAAAAAGTTTTAATAATTTATTTTGTCATTGTTACTTCAAAGTTTCTAACTTGTCACTTGTGCAATAATGTTATGTCTTGTGAACTATGACGTAACCGAAAATACACAATGTCTTGAAAGTAAAAGTGGTCCCCGAACGTATTTTTCTTTTCAATTTATTTAAGCCTGCTGTAACAAATTCTAAATTTTAAGGTTAATATTATATATATACATTATTTAAGATAGTCAAGATTCTTAAAATAACTTTTTGTGGTAAATATTTAAATTATAAAGGCGTTATCATTACAAAAGACATATTTTTAATCTGTACAAATATTGTTTTCTGTGTAGTGTTAATACTTCACAGATGACAATAAAAATAATTAAAAGTCGGCGGTACAAAGTTAAATACATCAATTAATATAAACTTAAAAATTTACCAATTTATTACAAAGAATACGAAAATTAAACATTTAAAATGCCTAGTGAAATGATAACACTGCAGTTGGGGCAATGTGGGAATCAAAGTAAGATATTTTCGTCTTTATAAAATATTCCTTTATCGTTCAGTTAAATTTAAAAATATTGGTGTTTTAGTTGGATTTGAATTTTGGAAGCAGCTTTGCATAGAACATGGAATATCGCCGGAGGGAATTTTGGAAGAGTTTGCTTCAGCGGGCTCTGATCGAAAAGATGTGTTTTTCTACCAGGCAGATGATGATCATTACATCCCAAGAGCAGTTCTTTTGGACCTGGAACCTCGTGTTATTCACACTATCATGAACTCTCCTTATGCGAAAGTAAGATTTACGTTACTTACCTAAAAAATAAACACTGAAAAAATATTTTCTACATTATTGTTCTGAAAATGCAATGTTTTCTAATGTTTGACTCTATATTATTGTATTTAAGTGTTGTTAATATTAAATAATGATTTATTTTCAGCTTTACAATCCCGAAAACGTATATTTATCAAAGCATGGTGGTGGAGCGGGTAACAATTGGGCATCCGGCTTTGCTCAAGGAGAGAAGTTAAACGAGGAAGTATTTGATATAATTAACAGGGAAGCTGATGGGAGTGATAATCTAGAGGTAAAAGAGATTAATATTATTAATTTTTATATTATCATTAATAGGATAATTATATACAAACATTTTGTAATTAGTTATGTACATAATATTTAAATGAAACTAATATTTTTCAGATGTAGTATGCAACTTTAGTTTTAAAAATATTAGTTTCATTTATATGAATAAGCCTTGTGAAAATCTTAGATCTCATTATATGTATATAATTTTTAGCTAATTTTAAATTTAATGTATTTTAAGTTTATTTTCAATTTTAATTGTAAATTTTACATTGACATGTATAATGTTTCAGGGTTTTGTGTTGTGCCATTCTATAGCTGGTGGTACGGGGTCCGGTATGGGTTCCTACATCCTTGAACATCTCTCCGATAGATTTCCTAAGAAACTAGTGCAAACTTACAGTGTGTTCCCTAATTTGGATGAGATAAGGTAAAGATATATTTACTAATAAGGAATTTACTATTAAAGTGTGTTTTTTAAATTTCTTTCATATATACTATCTCATTCTTATGTGAATATCTAAAAATTTTACTATAACATTTTATTCTTGTTGAAGCTTTTTAAATAATTGTTAGGTTCTATCAACATTTTTGGGAAATAATTCTATTAATTAAATATTGCCAATACATACTTCAAAAGAGTAGGGTGTAATGCACCTCTAATAAATTAGAGCATAAAATTCTATGAAAATCATCATATAATATTGTATACAACATAATATATGTTAATAATGTATAATAAAATGGCTAAATCTGTTTCGAGTTATGTAACGAGGAATTGGTTACATATCTTACATATCCAATCATTATATTTCAGTGATGTAGTCGTCCAGCCTTACAATTCCCTGTTGACACTGAAGCGTCTCACAGAGAGTGCCGACTGTGTGATGGTGTTAGACAACACGGCTCTCAACAGAATAGCCAGTGATCGACTACACATACAGAATCCATCGTTTGCACAGATCAATACCTTGGTATCAACTATCATGAGCGCTAGTACTGCTACACTTAGGTCAGTACAGTTATAAATTATTTTAGAAATGTAGGTAATAATTGTTAAAAGATAAGGAGTCATCTAAGCGCACGGTAGTGCGCCGGCCAAGTTCCACAGGCCGGCGCATGCCGTGCACTATATTTACACGAACCGTTTCGACCCACTTTTGACCCCCCTGTAGCTCAGTGCCTATTGCAAGTACAGAAATAAAATTTTACCTACGTAATTATATACTAGGACTAAAGCAGTATGCCAAATTTCATAGATAAAGCTTCAGTAGATCCTGAAATATGACCCTGTGAAAATAGCTAATTTTGGCACTGACTCACTGACAGGTAATCAAAACCTCTAGGCCACTTCCCATTGTTTTAGCATTATGAAATTTGGTACACAGGTTGTGTGTTATATGTAGATTAACAAAAAATTAAGAAATTTAAGAAATCGGTCAAGCGTGAGTTGCCTCAATTCTAAATATCGAATTTTTATTAAATTCGACCCACTTTTGAGCCCCTGTAGCTCAGTGTGTATTGCAAGTACAGAGATAAAATTGTACCTACGTAATCATATACCAGTCTTAAAGCAGTATGCCAAATTTCATAGATAAAGCTTCAGTAAATCCTGAAATATGACCCTGTGAAAATAGCTAATTTTGGCACTGACTCACTGACAGGTAATCAAAACCTTTATATAGGCGCTCAGCTCAGCACAATAAAATACATAATAATGAAATATTAATAATTAATAAATTGAGTACATCTATCAATCGGTGATAAATGAAACTAAAAAATAAAAAATAAATATGTAGTTTAAAAAAAAACTAAAAAACACGCTCCAATGATGAAAGAAACCGTGTGGAAACTAATTTAACCTTTACAACCTTGGAAATCAATTTAATTTAAATTGTTTAAAATAAACAATAAATGGTATTATTTAAAAAAAAAGCGTGGGGCGCTTCTCAAGAACTGATATATGAAGCTCATCACGCTTTTTTTCACAAAAATACCATTTATTGTTTGTTAATTTATTTTTAAATTAATATTATTGTGAAAAAAGTGTGGGGCGCTTCTTAAGAACTGAGATATATATAAGGGATATAAAATATTGTCATGTATACATAATGCACACTGTATAACTTAATTAAATATTGCTTACCTAAAAAATCAGGTTTCTATTGTTATAAATTACTTTCGATAGATGGCGCTAGCGGTATAATTGAATCGCGATATTGTTTTGTCTGCAGTATATATGAATGAAAGTCGATAAGGAATCGATGGTCATTTCTTTCTATTTCTTTCTACACTTATGTCTTGATATCTTATATATGGTTACGATTACGATTAAATGGATCACTGATTTGACTTGCTAAAGGATTAATTTTGATATTGCTTATTGATTGATTACTTGTGTGTGTTAAAAGCACAAATTCACTATATTTCTTTTCTACTATTCATTTACCAACGATGGAAATTGTACATCTTTCGGTGGTTGGCGGAGATATACCACATAGGGTAATTCCTATGACATCAGATGGTAGCTGTATGTTTCATGATGTAAGTTATGCATTGTACGGCTGTATAGTACGATTGTATGTACGATTTCTTGAAAAAACGTATTGAAATCTCACCAAAAACATGCCTGTTAAAAAGGGGGCCAAGTTCCAATCGGCTAATTGTTTGCCTAAAAAAGGGGTGAAATCCAATCTAATGCCAAGTTTAGATGCACTTTGAAATCGATCATAATCATCTTCATCAACAGCATGATCCACTGCTAAACATTTGCCATTCCCAAGACTCGCCACCACACCCAGTCCTCTGCCTTCCACATCCAGCCACTACCCGCCACCTTATTCACGTCAACGGTCCATCTGGCCGAAATTCACTTTACCATACACCCAACTTAAAATATGGTATAGTTGTGAAAATACGTAGGTGCTTGGTTAAAAATATTTAAAATTATAATACTTCTAAATTTGAACTTGGCAGGTTAATTTTATTATTTAAATTAGATAATATTTAAATTATATAAATATAAATAATTATATAACTAAATAATAGATTAATGATACAATTAATTAAGTGTTACGTACAGCACAAAAACCTGCCAAGTTCAAATTGAGAAGTATTATAATTTTAGATATTTTTAACCAAGCACCTACGTATTTTCACAACTATACCATATTTTAAGTTGGGTGTATGGTAAAGTGAATTTCGGCCAGATGGACCGTTGACGTGAATAAGGTGGCGGGTAGTGGCTGGATGTGGAAGGCAGAGGACTGGGTGTGGTGGCGAGTCTTGGGAATGGCAAATGTTTACCAGTGGATCATGCTGTTGATGAAGATGATTATGATCGATTTCAAAGTGCATCTAAACTTGGCATTAGATTGGATTTCACCCCTTTTTTAGGCAAACAATTAGCCGATTGGAACTTGGCCCCCTTTTTAACAGGCATGTTTTTGGTGAGATTATATACAGGGTGACTGGTGAATTACTATCAATATTTTAGGAGAATACTCGGTCCATGATTCTCATTCGAATTATGTAAAAAAAATTGGTACTTAATTTTTGACAAAATTTCCGTATAAATAAATAAAGTGTTGACACGTTCCAAGTGTTCCAATTGTGGACGCGTGTGGCGGCGTGCTGATACAAAACCACGCCCCCGCCGCGTATGTGTGAGTGTGTGTGTATACCTAATCTGTAGGGTGTTCACACGATGCGTAATTAATTACATAACTTTTTGTTAACTTTACTTAGAAGTTTATTAATATTTATGTTATATTAATTTTTATTCTGTCATGTATGATCGTCAAATATCACGTCCTCAAGTATCGGTAGTAATTCACCAGTCACCCTGTATACTGCAAATGGCATATATTGTTGTATATATGAATTTAAATGAAACTAATATTTTTCGAATTAGGTTTAAAGAATTTATTCTCAAAAATACATAGTCACTTACATGAAAACATACATACAAAAGTGAAAATACAAAAGTAGTCGCCAGATTATTTGGAACTCAATTAAAGATAGTAAGATATTATTACAAGTGTTATATAGTTGGTATATCAATTATTTTCTAAAATATGTTGTGAAAGATGAGATTTAAATTCGTTAATTGAGCTTGCATTTCTTATAGTAGATGGTAATTTAATTTGTTGTAAAGTTGTGCTCATAATTTTTTTTTGTTTTTCATAAATGACAATTTAGAGTGTACAAATGTATTAACAATTTTTCTTATTAGAATGCAGGAATCGTATATATAAAGTTGTTTTAAATTCATAATCTTCGTTTCTTCAAAAATTTTAACTGTAGATGTAGATAATGGATATTTAAAGAGTATTTTTATTATTTTATTTTGTTTTCTTTGAAGTTCTTGTAATTTTGTATTATTAGCATTACCCCATACTTCAATTAAATATAACAATATAACAAAAAGGATTTAACTAAAGAGTTGTAATTATTATAGTGTAGTTTTTGTGGTATGCACCTAGAAATATTCTTTAGTGACCCAATTAAAGAGGACAGTTTTCCTTTAATATGGTCTATGTATTTGATTGTGAAAATTAAGGCTTTTTCTTAATACTTCGTGCGTTCAAGTATAAAAACGATAAACGCGACTTTTCAGTGTGTAATTCTTGATAGTCGTTAACTAGGTAATTTATAGTGTTAGTTTTATTTTTATCTAATGGTGGTGATTGGAGTTTTTTTGGAAGATTTTTCACGATGGTTGGTGCTCCGTTCACGTTTTTATAGTGATGTCGGTTTCTCCACTATTCATTCGTTGCTGCAGTTCCTCTTTAATATGTAAGTAGTATTTTTGCTGAGCCGGAGTCTGGTCGGAAAACCTTTTATGATTGGTGGGTAATTTATCCCGACTTTTGAGGAGTGATAATTCTGCCTCTGGCTTGTCAAAACATAATTTGATCCTACGGGCTTTTCCAGGACTATATTTACCAATGCGGAACATATTAACAGGCTTTGGAATATCTATATTTATCTGTCTTATAATTTTAAGTACTTCACTCTCATCTCGTAAATTTCTTTCTTGTATATTAGTGGAGTTATTTTCAGCTATTCCCATTATAATAATATTATTTTCCCTCTTTTTCCTATCTTGTACCTCTCTAATTATTTGTTCGCTTGTGTATATTTGTTTATTAGGAGATGCAGAGGCGGGACATATTTTTAATTCCTTAATATTAGTTTCTAGCAATTCAATTTTTTTGCTCATCGTTATTTAATTTTACTTCTAGTTCAGTTCATTGCGATTTTATGTTATTATGTTCTAATGACATTTTTGAAGTTGTCGATTTTATATCTTGGATTTGAGAGCAAATTTCTGCTATGTTACTGCTGAATATTTTTTTAATATCTTCATGTGAGGTCTTAAGATCTGCTATTTCATTTTTTACCGTTGCGATACGTTCGTTCATTTGACCCATAATTTGCGCGCTCGACCCAGTGACGTAATACGGGTTAACTTCGCATTAATTTAATTTCTTGAGAACACTGACAGTCATGATCGGCTGTTTGTTTTCGTTTACTAAAAGTTATCAGTGAGCCAGCACTATCCCCATGTAATTTTGATAGATCAGGCTGTGATCCACCGCCAGTGAAAGGCGGATGCGATTTTGTTGCACTCATTATTAATATCTCACGTTGCGACCGAGCAAAATAAGTATGTATTGTTATAATATAATATTGTCGGTGACAATGCAATATTCGATGTATTAACTTACTTGCAGCAGCGTATGCGCTCAACGCGGAGTCAGTGTGCGAGCGAGTTAAAAAATAGCAACCGTTCTGCTTTCGCGGGTGAGAGGCAGGTGGCCTCGCTCGCTTGCATAGGCGCACCGGCCTTATCTTCAATAATAACTCACTAGGAATGTTCACACAGCTATGAGTCTAGTTACTTTTCAAGCTATAAGGCCTCGGCCTCGAATTTTGCGGGCAGCGGAGCGGCGGCGGGGGCGGCAGGATCTTACGCGTATAATCAAATGGACCGACCCTCGAATACAGCGGTGCCCGCTGCCCGCTAGTTTGGAGAACAGGTATGTTTTGCCCGTGCCGCCGCCGCCGCTCCGCTGCCCGCAAAATTCGAGGCCGAGGCCTAAGTCAAAGTTTATTAGCACTAATCCACTGTTTTGCGTAAATAACAAAATACACGTCTACTCTTCACAACGATTCGACGACTATATTTTTTGATAAAAAACTACATACTCCCGACGTTCCGGCTACTTTTCAGCAAAACAGCAGCAAAGGGATCACGGGCAGACGAGACATTTTGTAGTATCCGAAAAATATTAGTTTCATTTAAATGAATAAAACTCGTGAAAATCTTACATCTCATTATGTATATGTGAATGTTTGTCTATACCTTCTAAACAGATAAGCCTTAATCAATTTTCGTTTTGCTGTAAGCATGTATAGTGTTAGTAAATATTGTATGTAGTACTATTTGTTATATAATTAAATTACTGTGTATATTCCAGGTACCCTTCGTACATGAATAATGACCTCATTAGTTTAGTGGCTCCCCTCATACCAACTCCTCGGCTCCACTTCCTCATGACAGGTTACACTCCGCTATCAGCCGACCATGATGTTAACGCTGTGAGTATATTATATAATAGAGGTAATATGTATGTTTGTTTATTACTATTAATCTCAAAAACTACTGTTTTAAAAGACAAAATATCAGATCTATAAATCTATGTTGTCCCTGGCTAAAATAAAATGGTCAATTTATAAAAATCTGTTAGTTACAATACTTATATGATTTCAATAAATTGTTATAAGTCTAAAAATGAAATTAGGGGCATTTCACGTGAAGCGGACAGGAAAAAAGAGTGAGGTTCGGAAAATCGATCATATTGGGACCATTTATACTTCTAGTAGGCATGAATGTAAACACGGAATATTTTTTTGGTATAATGTATATTTCACAAGTTATGGGTATCTACAGTATAAATGGTCCCAATATGATCGATTTTCCGAACCTCACTTTTTTTCCTGACCGTCACGTGAAATGCCCAATTAGTGAACGCAAAATTTATCCACAAAAAATGGAAGCGGGCAGTATGTGGTTCCAGCCGCGAGGCAAACTTATAGCTCTGTTATTCTCTGTGCTAAATAACCTTATTCACCAAAGTTATATTAACAGAATTATATATTTTTTTTCATAATTCCTAACTCCTCTACAAATTCAATACATATTGTTTTAGGCCCCAAAAATAAGGAAGACCACTGTATTGGATGTTATGCAGAGACTGCTGCAGCCTAAGAACATGATGGTGTCTCTCAGTCCCGACCGAGCCAACCAACACTGCTATATATCAATACTGAACATCATTCAGGTCACTATACCATGTACTCAATATTATACAGATTTAAGACCCTATAATGTATTAAATATATTTATATGGAAAACTTTTTATAGTAAACATCTCAAATTCGTCGTTAAATCATGAGACACTTGTTTTTGATTAATTTTTGTTAATTGCTTTTATTTGAAATTTAAATGAGTGATGTGGATCATTAATAATAGGTTTTTTCTTAAAATTACTTCATAGAAAAATTGGACATAGTTTTAAATACTATTTTAGTTAATTTGGTATGAAAAAAATTAACAGTTAGCTTCGTTTAGTTTTGTCTTATTTTATTGTTATATATGGATATATTAATCAGTATTAGTAAAAAATATATTTTCCAGGGTGAAGTAGACCCATCCCAAGTCCACAAGTCACTACAACGCATTCGAGAGAGGAAGTTAGCATCCTTCATACCGTGGGGCCCGGCGTCTATACAAGTGGCGTTGTCCCGGCGCTCCCCGCACGTCACCGCTGAACACAAAGTCTCTGGACTCCTACTGGCCAATCATACAAACATATCATCCGTGAGTAACAAATGTATCAGATTGATTAACATAATATATTCTTTCCAGTATGTAGCAGTGTGTATCATGGGTTGATAGGATTTTTTTCAAATTATGATGGTGGGTTTATGAGGCTTTTTCAGGGCTCTTAAGAAAAATAGTGGTCTTCATAACCATTGATAATATTTATCTCTCATACAACCGTATATTAATAATATTTATTTTCCAGCTGTTCGACCGGTGTCTCCAGCAGTTCGATAAGCTGAGGAAGCGTGAGGCGTTCTTGGAGGTGTTCCGTAAGGAGCCCATGTTCCATGAGTCTCTGGAGGAGTTTGACGCGTCTCGTGGCGTGGTTGACGACCTCGTGCATGAATACAGAGCCGCCGCTACACCCGACTACGTGCACTGGAATCCTGGTACAGAATAATATTATCTACTACAAACGAAACGGATATTTTTCGAATATACTACGCGTGCGTTATTTTTGTTAAAAACTATGTAACTCCCGACGTGAATTCACATCTCGTCTGCCCGTGATGACGGTTGTTGTAAAGTAAACGAAACATCTTTAGTATGTAGTTTTTTTACAAAAATAAAGCAAGAGTAGTATATACGAAAAATATTAGTTTCATTTAAATTAATAATCGCGAGTCATAGATCTCGTTACCAATACAATGATTTACTCTGTAATGTAAGTACTCTATGGAGTACTCAATCTCAATGTATGCATTGAGAACTTGTATAAGACAATTTTACATCACCACCCTTTAAAATTCATAAATCTTGGCATGTGACAGTGTAAACTTTAATTTGTGAATGTATGTTGTGAAATAATAGACATTTGTTGTAAAAATAATGGTGTATTGACATTATATTATGTTGTGATGAACTAACAGTATATATAAATAGTTTGCCTACAAGAAACCATTGGCTGATAAGGTGGCCATCATGTCATATAGAGAAGTGCTTGTTAAATTTTTTTTTGATACAATTATCCCATTTATACAGCCGATTTTATTTCACAGTTAATGGCTTATTTTTCTATCCATAAATAATTAATATAAACATCGCTTGCATTTTTTCTTTCATTACAGAGAGCAGTCAAATATAAGGAAAAATCTCTGAAGACCAGAAGTATTAAAAGACGAATTTTTAAGTAGTGTAAGGCATTCCAAGTCAAACCCGGAGGTTTTCAATCTCAGTTGTCCTAAAACGTGCCATTTTATAATCTCTTCAAGTTTTAACATTGTATTGTAATATACTAATCTTATTGTAAATAACATTGTGGTTAAAGTTTTTTTTTAAATCCAACATATTAATTTCAGTTTTTATTTGTGACAAACCTCTTTAGTTGTTCTGTAGTTTAATGAGCCTCTCATTTTTTAATTTTTAGTCTGTAAACTTATTAGGCGAGTGTTGTAAATATTGTGTACAAAAAAAAGAATAATTTGTTGAAAGTGTTGTGAAGATGTCGTGTAATATTAAAGTGATCAAAATTCAAAGGATTGTAATTAATAAACATAACTTTTAAGAAACATTTATTATTAAATAATGCTAAAATCACGACATACACTAGTTTTACGTTTTCCACCCAATTATGGTTTGTACATTGTATGAAATCAATACAAGCCGACAACATTGTTCATTAAAAACATAGTGATATTAAATTATATTGTAAACCAATCATTTTTTTAATAAAAAAATATTAATAAGCTGTGCTTCAATGACACTACCCAAATTTTTTTAGTACCAAATACAATTTATCAATAAAAATAAAAGCTTAGCTTAGCGATGATGTTTGAAATATAATATCGGGCTTATTCAGATATTTTTATAAAAAAATTGTATTAAAAAATTATAGTAATTCAGTATTTATTTCGTATCAAATTGTTAATTATTTAACATACACTGAAGTGGTGTTTCTTTTACACTATCTAATACCTACGAAGAATTGCGTTAAAGGATTTTTAAATTTAAAGACGATATAATATTTTATTATCTATTGTTATTAAATTTTAATGCCTTAAATAAAATATACATCACAATGAGTTTTACATAAAAAATATTAGTCTGGATGTATACAAACAACTGAAACCAGTATATAATAATCTTATACATATTAGATCGGTAGTTGGAACAAATATTTATATAAATGTGATACATAAAAGGAACAGACTATTTATACAACGCACTTCGACCCCATTCACACATCTAATATTATTTTACCTAATTTATTATACATATCATAACAGTTCTCTTACAAAAAGTTTTAGTAAAATATGAAACGATATTGAAATTGGTACAATTAAACGAAATATCCATAAAAATGTTATATAAACACATGAACACTATTTATTGAAAGACCACAGAATGGCATCTAAATAAGATATAGCAACAGTATGGTGCAAAACAAAGCAAGATTTAACCTCATACTTAGTTGAATATTGAAACCAAAATTACATGTCAGTCGGACCTCCAGGAAATGAGGTCTATACAAGGCATATTGGCTAAGAGGTCTGGCTTGATGGTTGGAACTTGGGTTGTATGATGGAAGTCTTCCTTAATGGCACGGTGTCGGGTGTGGGAATAGCATCGCCTGTAGGCAGCTTGGGAGCAGCCGGGGCTTTGAATGGAGCGGCCAGGTTGCTGGGACGTTGCTTCGCCATTTGGTAGTCACCGGAGTCAAAAAACTTTTGCTGAAAAAATTATTACAGGAATCATTAAAATATATATTACATTGTCATTTCTGTAAGAAATGTGATGAGGATGATTTAATTTTTCTAAGTAGGTGCAGACATGAATTAATTGAATTACAAAATTTATAGATTTGAAAATGGGGCCAAGAATGATTGATTGATTAATTAAAGAAAATTATAAATACATATCATGTAACACATGTAAAAATATTGTAATTACATAGAAATGGTCTTTAAATAACAATTATTTTGGTATAAATGGTTTACAAAAGTTTTGAAATAAAAAATTATTAAAGAATGTATATCTACTCTATTAGCATTACATACATAACTTTAAAAATTTAATTTTTCATTGCCTGATTTGAAATAAATTAATTTTAAATGTCACTTCAAATGGAGAATTGATGATATGCATATTAACATATAATTTTGACAATTATTAAGAAAACTAACAACAAATTGTCACATAATTTGAAATTAAGAATTTTCAAAAAAATTGAGGTTTTCAAAAAACCAAAATTTTTAATGAAATTACTTCATCATTGTGAACAAAACTACTGCTAAATTATGAAAAAAATCATGTCATGATACAATTAAGGTTATATATGTTGAAAAATGTATTGCTTGTATAAAAAATATATTTGTACATTATATTAACACATATAGTCATACAAATGTTAAACTTACAATGATTTGAGATATGAAGGACATATTCAATCACAAACAAAGTTACAAGGGATTTTCTTCATGTAATGACACAAAATCAATGTAATTTAGTTTACAAAGTAAAATTACATTTCATTCTAGTATTATTTTTATTCTGGGAATGATTTTATTCACATTTAATTTGTATGTAACATCTTTTCACTGGTAGAATACAATGACCACTATGGATAGTGAAAACATCTTTAGAAAATGTTGTGGGGTAATGGTTTAAAAACCATACAACTGTATGAATATAAGACAGACATACAGTAATAAAGGTTTGTATGACAAATTTAATTATAAGGTGTCAATAATTATGTTGTGTTTGTTATGTATTGAATAAGTGTTATTTAGTGGGCATGTATGATCCGATCTGTATACTTACACCCTTAGCAAGTCTCTTTTGCAGGAAAGCCGAGTGACCTCCAGGACCTCTGCCGAGCATTGCATTGGGAAACTTTGCCTTAAGTTTCGCTTCCTCCAACTTTTCAACTTCCTTTGCCTTAAAACAATAAATTTTAATAAAGCCACAATGTAAATTAAAGTTGTTTAGTACTATTCATCAATATTTTTATTATAGCTATTAAAATTATCTTATTAATAAATGAGGATATTATATATCAATTTCTTTTAATGAATATAAATCATATTATTTTTTGGTCATATTTAGTTTATATATCTAATAATAAATGTAATAATCAAAAACACGTAGAAAACTAAAATTCAATAATACAAAATGTATACGCTTGAATTATCGACAGTTACGATGACGGTTTCATAATAAACAAACTGGTTAGAGATAAGATACATTATTGAATAATCGTAACCTATATACAAAATGCATACTAAATAAATAAATCGCGGGATACTCACATCCTTCGGTACGTCGTTTTGTTCTGCGGTCGGAGATTCACTCATGATGATGACCTAAAACCATTTATATGTTAGTAAAAAAGTTTTACACCAGTTTATTGTTAACATTGTCACAAAACATTTGATAGAATCATACTCGTGTTTACCCTCACACTAATTGTGATAACATAATTAAATGATTACGTATTGAATATACTGTCTCGATCATGTAATAGTAATCATCGTTTAAATCTAAATAGAAAGAAAGATGGATGTCCATGAACGAAATTGGACAAAATAAAAACACATGCCCTTAATAATTAATTTGAAGTAAACAATTTTTTATTATGAATTTTCAAACATGTTTACCTTTTCAATTCCTTAATGGAGTGCCCAAAAAAGTTTTGCACCTATAAAAGATTTAAAAAACAATATTATAAGATATTGGATTCAAAATAATACAAACTTTCATTAGCTTCGAAATAACAAAAACCTTCACCTTTAAAATCTTGAATCTTTACAAATAAAAATGGCGTTTACATAAATGTTGCCAGTTGTCATATGAATTTCAACTGTAACTTCAGGTACATGACTAAAACAAAATATAAGCAAAAGATCTAGATCCCATAGTTCGAGTCTTGAATCTGTAAATTCTTTTAATATATTGTTAATTTGTATCGATTACGTCTCGTAACCACTTTATTTAACGTTAGGAAGGAAACGAGCAACAAGCAAGAATAATATATTGCAACATTTAGCAGAAAAGACAAACGATCCGTGCAATTATTTATTTTTTTGGGACGTTGGAGAAACCGGCCCGGGAAAGCACCTATGGTTACGTGGGACCCCTGAGTATAAAATGACCAGTCTACTCATTAACAAACAGTGTAAAACTGTGGTAACGATTTCACCCACCCCTCGGCTTTTCAATACTGGGTAGGTATGTGCAATGAATCCAACGCGAGTTGGATTTGAAGTAGAAGCTTCCAGAACCGTCCCAGTTTTGCATGGCACATCATCCATCGCCATGGGACGGGAGATTCCCCATGTTTGCTGTCCCGGCTTCTCAATAAGGATGAAGAAAGCGGTTGTTATCAACGACATTTACTCGTTCACCGGCACAGACAGGACAATTTGTTGAGGCGTGTCCTCGACGCAGAGATGTCCATCTCACAATGGAGTTGGCTTCCTCTGAGCCACAGGCTATAATAGCACAGTGAAACCCGTTCTTTTTGGCCTTTTGGTTGGTGTTTGCATTACACAAACAAGGAACGCGCCTCAACACGCCTCAACCATGGAATATACTAGATATAGATGAACCTCTGTGAATAAAGGGGAAAGCAGTTATTTAATAATTTAGTTCCTTGATTATGTTTTTTGTGTCATTTGAGATTTGATGTTTTGTCCATAGGAAGGTGAACCACTCCAGATTTTTTATTGGAATTTAAAAAGTAGTGAATATTTTAAAAGTAAAATGTGTCAAATATGTGCAGAACTCTTTTGGCAGAAGGAATGACGTATGGAATATAATGGCTTCCATGAAATATTGTGGAATTAAGAAGTAATAAATTTAAGAAGCAGTTTAAAAATTATGTACCTACAGACAAATAATTAGTGCCCAAATATAGTATATATAGTAATAGCTGGTTTCTAATTAAAACACTACACGTAAAATAATATAGATTTAAGTATTAGTATCACGACTTGATCGGGAACACGAGAACATTTTCAACTTAGAGATTTTTTTTTACAGAGAATGTATTTGAATTATTGGGAAGGGAGAATGAAATCCTGTAACTATTAAAATTGACGTTTTATTCATGGAGGAAAGTACACACAGCGTTTATGTGCAAGGTTAAAACTATTTGGATCTGTTATTCTAAAAAGTAATCCATAATGTGATCAGCTGCATTTATTTTATTACGTTCGTTGAATCACCTATAATTCTTTAATATACCATTAAAAACTTTTAACATCTTTAGGGCCATTAAAGTTTTTTGTTTATATTAATTACATAATCTGTACTAATCAGTTTGTGCAAAAATTTAATAACTATTGACTATTGTACGATCGAGAACTATTAATTTATTGCAATTTTCTATGAACGTCGTTAAAGTTTCTTTGTTGGCCTAAATATGAGTCGATACATTCTTCTTTCTAGAAAATAGCTTGTCAAATTGTTGTTTCTTTTGACGGGAACTTGATTCCTTATTCCTTATACAATATACATACATATATTATTCAATTTAATTTATAGGTGGTAGAGCCTAGCTGTAGTTTAGTTACTACAGCTCGAATATGGGCTGGCTCGACCGGGGAAGTACCATCCTCTCACAGAAGATCGGCATGAAGTAGTCAATAATGACTGCGTTTCGTCCGATGAGTGACAGAGCCGGTTGCCCTTTCTCTGTTCCCAACCTCTCCTTATATTTCCTTATTCCTACCCCTCCCTTTTCCACCAAAAGTAAGGTTGGCAACGCATCCGCAACATCTACGTTGTGGATGTCCATGGGTGACGGTCACTATAGACCATCAAGTGGGCCGTCTGCTCGTTTGCCACTTTTTACATACAAAAACATTTTTTGATCATACTATGTCATCAATACCCTTTACAACTGATCTTCTCACATCCTCGTATTGAACACAAACCTTGCATTTATTTAATTTGTCGGTATAGTTTGTTGTAGACTCGCTCAGAGGCGTAGCTTTCCTTGGCGGATAATTAATACTTAAAAACTTATTAGAGACTCTTCTCTTTTATTGCAGTTAAGTGGAAGAGCATTAAATGATATCCTTATTACTCAGACGAATTTAATTGTTTGATTGCCAGGGTGAAACTAACGATATAATTTGATTTTTCAAATGTGTATAATGTTTCTTTTTAATTTTTCAGAGAAATCTAAGGTACAATGTAGGATTTGAGGTGAGATTTTGGTTTATTCAATTTACTAGTTTTATCTTATTTTAGTAAGGTAAAGTAATGCAGTAGCCATGTCCCCGGGTTCACCTTTAACAAAAGTCCATTCACTATTGAGTTACATTATTGATTAAGAGCTTAGATATAGAAAATTAGAGTAATATTCAATTTAGCGTCTAGGAAACTTTATGTAGTCCATGTAAAAGCACACCTTAAAATCTAAATAATTAAAAAGACTGGTGAATTCTTTGTTCACGACGCACGTCCAACTATGAACATATTGTTCACAAAACGAATAATTAATGAATTGAGCGACACGAATGTAAATTAGATGAAGAAATATTGCTTGTTTATATAATCTTTTTATCAGTGCTGTGTCTTAAGAATGGCTTCGTGAGACGCGAATTTAATGCACATAATATTACAACTCAAAATCAATTGTTCCGAAGGTGTATTTCTTACACGATGTCTGGGTCGTGTTTTAAGGAACCTACTTTGAAGCGTTTTCGTACTACTAAAAGGTTGTTTTGATAATTCACTGGAATACAGGGATATTGTTTCGATGAATATCGAAAACGTTGTGATGAGTGTTCATCGGTAACTACATCGTTTGAGGGTCGTGGCAAAATTCATCAGCAAAAAATAAACCAAAATTTCGTCCAACAATAAAAAAAAGAATTACGGGGAACAATCCAGTAAGGGTATCACTTTTATCACTTAGGGCCGTGAAAAATACAAAGTTGTCGATTCACAGACCTATACTGACTACGCATATAAAATTTAGTAAAAACCGGTAAAGCCGTTTCGGAGGAGTACGGTAACTAACATTCTGAGATGGAAATTTTATATATCAGATGTATACACCTTTATTTGTAAGTTTATTAATAAGCCTTAATCTTTAGAGGGTTTTTTACAGAATAACCACAATATCTTTTCCAATAATCTTTATATATATAAAAATTTCGTGTCACGTATTTGCCCGCCATGGACTCCTAAACTACTAAACCGATTTTAAATTTGATTTGCATTCCGTGTGCATTTTGATTCAACTTGAAAGGTAGGATAGCTTACATCTCAATTCATAGTCACAATATTATTTTATTGCAAATTATTTGTCTATTAAAGAAAATTATTTGTCATTATTACAATTATCTGTTGACTGAGTTAAGTATTCAATATACAGGGTGACTGGTGAATTACTATCAATATTTAAGGAGCATACTCGGTACATGATTCTCATTCGAATTATGTAAAAAAAATAGGCACTTAATTTTTGACAAAATTTCCGTATAAATAAATAAAGTGTGTACACGTTCCAAATGTTCCAAGTGTGGACGCGCGCGGCGGCGTGCTGATACAACAACACGCCGCCGCGCGCGAGTGTGTGTGTGTGTGTATATCTAATCTGTAGGGTGTTCATACGATGCGTAATTAATTACATAACTTTTGGTTAACTTTACTTAAAAGTTTATTAATATTTATGTTATTTTAATTTTTATTTTGTCATATATGATCGTCAAATATGACGTCCTCAAATATCGATAGTAATTCACCAGTCACCCTGTATATTAAAAATACAAACGTCATATATGAGCAACTATTTAATAATAGCATAACCACCACGTGTTTCTGAGGCTAAGGTATAACCTAAATTTATTTATTAAAAAAACGTAACTGATTTTTCTTGATTATAGGGCGATACGAAGTTCGCCGGGTCTTCTAGTTTTAGTATATAAAATACGTATATATTTTCATCTGACCGGGGGCCCGTGGCATTTTGCCGACTTGCTACCCTGTACGCCAGTTATGCCACTGCACTCCCAGTTCTTTTATTTCATTGCAATAAGAGACGCAACTTCAAATAGAGTTTCACAAAGATGTCTCCATAGAAGAGTCTCTAAAGAAAAATAGAGTAAAGGTTCAACAATTACTAGATGCCAGAATGAATCTAAAGAGCTCCCTATACGCTAGCTCAATTGTTCTTAAGAAAAAGAAGGATAATTCCTATAGGTTTCTGTAGATATTAGGGTGTTCAATTTCAATATCACACGTGAATATTATTCCTTGTCTCAAATAGAGGAACAAATTTATATTTATAAAATATTCTGCTATCCCGTTTGCGAAAAGTTACTTGGTTCTTTCAGAGCTGCATCAATAGAGTTCTCAGTAAAGTACATGATTTTAGACGAAAGCTCTCAGCATTCAATTGATTCATCGAGCGGTTGTCGATTCCATCTCGTTGCAGGGAGAGAAGCTTCTATCTAAGATTTTCGGGAGTACCTATTCATTTAAATTAAAACGAATATTTTTCAGGTTGTTGCGCAACTGTGAGTGTCTTAACTCTTAAGTCGTTCTTGCTATGCGGGTAAGACACTGGTAGTTTGTGAGAGAGCATGTTTTACATCGGCCTCTAGATGGTCAGCATCACAAAGGTGTTGGGCTCTCTGTAACAAAGATTTGCCAACGGTATCTAACTGGATAGGGTGGTGGTGTGAGTTACCATTGCAATACCTATCCGTAAGTATGGGTTTCATATAAACTGTATTTCTCAAAGAATTGTCAGGATTCCTATTGAAAAGGAAAGCTAAAGAATTATTTGCACCTAATTCTATAGTAAACTGAATCTTGCTATTGATAGAATGAAGTTTGTACACTTTCTCAGTTTAGACTCTTATATTACGAAATCTAATCTTTATTTTAAGTCGAATCACTTAGACTAATGAAGATGAAATAATAAGAAACAAAATTAAAAGCCTTCTGACCTCCGAGTCCGTACCAACAACTTCCAGTTGAGCTAAATTCCGATGCTAGCCCAGAAGATGATGAAAAATATAAATGGTTTTGATTTGATGTTGTATAGTATTATGTAGAATAAAAGCGGTACATAAAATAGAGGCAGCCGATTATTTGTCCCGAAATCGGATGTCAGAAACGTCTCACGTCTACTGAAACTAAACGTCTACTCAGCGTAGAATAGGACTTCCAGTAGAACTTTCGTCCAAATTTCAAGTTTTCGCCAATAGTCTTCTGTATATATAAAAATGGATTGCTGTTCCTTAGTCTCGCTAAAACTCGAGAACAACTGAACCGATTTGGCTAATTTTAGTCTTGAAATACTCCTGGAAGTCCAGGGAAGGTTTAAAAGGTGAGAAAAATTTTAATAATTGTCGGGAAAACCCTAAAAACAGCCCTTTTCTATTTCCCATACAAACGTTTTTTTTGACATTACATTTGACAACTAACTAATATGTCAATCATTCTGTTTGATTGAAACAGGAAAAACCTGATTATTTATGGCCTCTAAGACGGAATAGAGTTCGCCTGGTCAGCTATACCTACATATATTACTCTTGACCAAACTAACGCGGACGAAGTCGCGGGCAAAAACTAGTATAATACTAATTTCCAGACATCGTAACTAGCGCTAGTAGTAAAAATGGCCAGATCGACCCACTCATGCTTACTTTTGAAATAATTCTTATTGTTTGTTGTAAACCAGGGCTGCCCAAGCCATGGCCCGCGCGGTTCGGGTTGTTGCGGCCCGCATAATCTTTTTTATCTATTCTTTGTTTAAAAACATCAATGAGCAAATTATTTTTATCGCTATACTTTACTTAAACATGCACGCTATACTTTACTTAAACATGCACGCTATACTTTACTTAAACATGCACGCTATACTTTACTTAAACATGCACGCTATACTTTACTTAAACATGCACGCTATACTTTACTTAAACATGCACGCTATACTTTACTTAAACATGCACGCTATACTTTACTTAAACATGCACGCTATACTTTACTTAAACATGCACTGCGCCTAGCTAATATTGAGGTTGATATTGACAAAATTATAAAAGACAAATTAATGGAAAAGTAGTAAATAAAATTACGATATTATTATTACGAGCATTTTATTTTTATAAATATTTTGCGGCCCACCAATGTATTTAATCAATTTTATTCGCCCTCGGTCCCATCTAGTTTGGACACCCCTGTTGTAAACGACCCTAATAAAACGGAGAATAATTACGTAGGTAAAATCTAACTTGCTTAAATAATTCTAAATCTACTGTGATATCCGAATATCATCCCAATAGATGTTCAGAACCCATTATGATTGTTTTGGAATGTCAAAGTTAATTATGACCATCAGGTTCTCTTGGATTTAGATACTACCGTATGACGTATCAAAGCACTAATTCATCAGCTAACATTCGAAAAACTACTAATATTGAAACTGATATAACAGTGGTTCGGAGAAAGTAAGACCTTCTAATGGTGTTCATTAAAAACCGTAAACTAAACTAAATATGAAGTTGAAAGTTATTGATTAGGTACCGCTGTGCACTTAATAATTTACATTTTGAGCTATCCAAGATTCTGAAACTCCTTAAAAATTGTGTCACGAGAAGTTTCTAGCAGTATCCCAGGAACATATCCACTTATATTGTTTTTGGTAAGAAGGCTGTATCGTCAAACTAATTGTTGCAATACACTCGTCTAATTTAACCGTTTAATCATAATTCAGTGTCCTAATAGAAATGATTAGTCTTTAGTCACAAGGAAAGGGTATGGAAGTCTCATCTCTTGGTGTAAGTTATGAAGAAAGAGTATTGGTGGAAAATATCGATTTTGACTTAAGTACCTAAGTTTTGTTTTGCTTGCTTTTAAGACTAAGTCAACATCATGGATCCAATTAAGTAATAAAAATAGAGTACAAGCAGGAACTCGAGTATGTTACACCCTGATACTTGGTCATGAAAACTCGAAAATCATTAAATAATACATTAAAATCATCAACACCATTTATTTAATACTCGCCATGACATCAAGTACATAAAATGTGATAAATTCCAATGCATATTTATTGCACAAGTGTCGACAACGTGGCACGGCCTCCGCTAACAATATGAGATCACACGCACTACAACAATACATATACATGTACCATACACTTAATATAAATTGATATAAAAATAGCTTACGACTACAAGAGAAGTATAGTTAAATTATTCCGATGTAACCAAGTCTTATTTATAAGGCGAGCCGCCTTGGGTTATAAGCGTAATCGTTGGACTTAATACTACATGTACAAATAGGCCGCGTCTCACACTCGCGCCACAAATATACACAACATAACATAATAAGATGTTCCACCAGCAACAGCGACACCTATCATCGCTTGTACGAAACTATGACAAATATAACTTGACCTGCCACACGGAACAGGGGCCAAAGGATTGGACGTCTTCGTCATAAAACAGCAGTCTATAATAAGTTCAAAGTAATAGTGTGAATATCGAGTCATATATAAAAGTCATTGGTTTGACGCTATACATCCTTTAGCCCCGGCTCCATGTGGTAATGTGATCAGTAGCAAACATATTGAGTTAACCGTGAAGCTCGCAAGTACAAGTCTTTGGCCGATATAGTTGTATTCTTGGGCCCGGCGCGGGCGGTTCAGTCTATATTTTATCTTACATTAAATAACAATTTTATTCTTATTTACATTCCACCTTTGCAGATCTTCGCCGGACGTATATATTACTCTGTTACATAACTCATACTTTTACTATAATTGATTTTTATTAAACTATAAGAATTTTTTTGATTTTATATATTTTTTTATTATTATTTATTAATTTAAATTGAAAGTTTATTTATTTAACTTATAATTAAATTATCATTTAGTTTCTATAAAACGGTGACGATTTTTTTTAAATGATTAACGATGTTAAACAAAAAATATTAATATTAATTTATATATAAATATATGTATTACAATAATAAATGCTGGAATGTTTTCTATGTATAACAGAACGTTGGTATAATGATATATGAGATGATAGTTGTAGCTTTGAAGTTGGCAGTATCGATTCCTCCTTTGTCACCAATTTTAATATTAATTAAAAAATATATATGTATATTTGGATTTACGTAACCGTATGAAAATTAAACTTACACGCAAGCTTCATGTTGGCATCACACTTCAACAATTATAATAATTATTTACATTACATTTATAATACATGTCACGGATTAACATTAGGGTATTTAAAAATTGTGCCATTCATAACACCCATACTGGGCTCGTGCCTAAGATTCATCAAATATACAAAATAAACAATTATACCACAGAATTAAACTAAAATATGTACGTGAAATATTTTCCGTATGTAGATAATTCAAAAATATCCTCATGGTGTGAGTGAACATGCAAAAATCAAACCTAGTATTGTTATATGTTAATAAGCGCCACACGAGTTATAAGTCACACGTGTTAGTTAGGCTTATTTTTGAATTATCTATAAAAATATGAACCCAAACCGATCAGTTTGTGAGAAATGATAGATAGAAATCTGGAAAACATCTCTGCAATAAGCATTGAATTAAAATATATATATAGAAAAACTATTACAAAAATCAATGAATATCTAAAACGTGTCCGTATGTACATTACATATGTTTAATATAAATTAAAAACGTGTATAAACACAACCCTATTTGGCAGTAAGCGGATAACATGAACTATCCTAGTTTGAATATTTAGCTAAGTTATAATACAGCACTAGTCATATACATATAGTAGACCCCGGAGTCACTCGCAGGTCCGTGTGGAGGGGGTCTTCGCGGCGGGCGTGTGGGGGCTCTTGTGGTCGGAGTGGGGCGGCGTGGGAGGGAAAGCGTGTAGTTCGGACTCCGCTGTTGTCTCTGGCTGCTCTGCCAGCTGTTGGTATACTTTGTCCTGTTGAGGAATATAATACAGTGGATTAATACTTATGTCGATTCTAAATTATACTAGATAACTGTAATATATGATATAGATTGAATGGTATAGGTAATCTCTCGTTGTTTAAAGCCTCGGAATATTTATGAAGCTTTTCTCTTATTTTAGTTTGTAATTACATATGAACAGAAACTTTCCCTACCTAATTTAACAATTCTTACAGTGTAACACTATATATTTATTTATTTGTATATCCTACTAATATTAAAATTGCGAAAGTTTGTGAGTGTGTGTATATGTTTGTTACTTCTTCACGCTCAAACGGCTGAACTGATTTTGATAAAATTTTATATACAGGAAGCTGACGTCCAGAAATAACACATAGGCTACTTTACATCCCGGAACTCCGCGGGTGACAGAGCGGGGCGCAGCTAGTAATATATATAGGGGTGTCACTCACAAACATGTCCAAGGAGACGTTGTGTGTCTGTATGCGGTGGCTCTCGTCCAGGTTGAGGTCGGGACAGATGAGCCTGAGGCCGGCGGCGCGCTGCACGTGGTCGCCGTCCCCGCCGCGGACACCCGCCACGCCGCCCGCCTCGCGCACGGCGGACACGAACGGTGACAGCCACGTGTAGCACGGCTCTAGGGACGACCAGCTGTAACCTGTACACGACACACACTATATAGTACCGAAACAGAATTAATCTTATTGGAGAATATTTTTAATGGCTATATGGTTATCGACCTTTGGCTTACTTTTTTTTCATTTGTGTAAACGATTTCCTCATAAAAATTTAAGATTAAACTCATGTCTTGTTTATTACATCTTATCTCATTAATCGCATTTTTAATGTAAATTATCTTGGTACTAACTTAATACATGTAGTAGTGACGTCACTCACCTGACACCCTCAACGCCAGGTCTACATTGAAGGCGTGCGCCACTGCTGCTGCGGCCACAGCGCTGGAGGCGTGCCTCGTGACGTCAGAGTGCAGCACCGCCAGGTCTACCAACTGTCCGCACGCTACTGACTCTAGCGACGAGTACTGAGGAAACACGAACGTGTATCCTCTTAAGGCGTTGATACCCAGGTCGCTTTCGCTGAGCAGCCTCCTCTTAGCGCTGCGGCCCTCGCTGGCCAGCTGCATGTATATATTGAGCCAGCTGTTGATGGTGATGGGCGTGATGCTCCAGGACAGTATCTTCAGTATGAGCAGCTCCTCTAACAGTATCTCGTCGGTGGTGCACGCGCCGTCCGTCACGTACGCGAACTCGCCGATCTTAGGCGGGTACACTTCTTCCACCTTCGCCGCTATGAATAAGCAGGTTATGCCTGGAATGTAAAGTACACATGAGCTATTACGAAATATTCAATACATTAAAGATTTTTGTTACTTTTCTTATATTTATTTATAGTAGAAGTTTTAGCATTGTAATATATGACTGACTGGAACTAATATACTTTCGGATTACTATGCGCATTTTTTTATTTTTAAAAACTACATTCACATCTCGTCTGCCCGTGATCACGGTTGCTGCGAAATAACCGAAACGTGGTGAGTATGTAATTTTAGTGTACGTAATAATCCCAAAATATTAGTATTATTTAAATGAATACTCGCGACACCTTAGATCTCATCATGTGTGACTGTATGGGAAGACATTTCCTTTTTTTTTGTAATGTATAATGCTGTTAGCCCTGCGGCTGTTACAGCGTCTCCGGTAGAGGGGAAGACATTTTCGTATGGTGAAGTCATTTAATAATCTAAACCACTACATATATCATGTAGTGCAGTGTGTAGTGTTATACCTATGAGCTGTAGTCTTCCTTTCTGTACGTCCTCTGTGTTTGAGAGGTACCGGTCCACGTAGTCCACGGTCAAGTGGAAGGTCTCTCGATGGAGCTTGTATACTTCACACACCTGGAGTGATAAAAAATTATATGTATTATGTATGATAATAATCAACAAAATTAATAACTTGACGATTTTGATGTTGAATTTTCATTTTGACTTATAGAAATGAATCGCCCGAATTGAGTTCGGTTATATCGCGTTTCCAAGAGAACCTTTCAAAAGTCTGGGATAAAAACTATCCTATGTTCTTTCTCAGGGTCAACTCTATCACTGTACCAAATTTCATTAAAATCAGTTCAGTGGTTTAGGCGTGAAAGCGTAACAGACAGACTTTCGTATTTATAATATTAGTAGGGATAGTAGTAAGTCCACAGGAATATATTGAAGAATTTTTAGTAATGTCCCTTCCTGACTATACTGAATTATAATTATATTACCCTTTCACCAAAATATCGAACATAAAAATGATTTAACACTACGTATTTACCACGAATAACGTCAATTTATAATTTATATCATATGAACATGTAGATTATTGTACCCTTCTAAAAAACTATGTACAAGAGAAAAATCCTGTTGGACATTTGATAAGCTATTTTTGATTTCTATACAATAATAATAATAATTCTATATAATAATAATTTCTGTATAACAATAGTCTGTTTAATAAATTCTTATGTGTTGTACTAAATAAGTTAAATGAATGTTTATTTGAGCCATAAAGTTTCAATCGGCGATAGTCACACGGATGCGGTACATAACTTTATCATTAAAAATATAATGTCATTTAATATATATTTCTACAATCTACAATATTATATAAATTTTGGTAAGATTGATGTTTTGTTATATATATGTATAGGTATATATTATACTCAAAATATTTGTGAAACTATTTTCTCGTAGCACTCAGCCCTACGGTGCAAAGGTTACGATCGTAGCTGTTTCGTAGCATTGAAATAAATATATTTATATCTGATCAAAAATATTTCAATTAATTAAGAATTATTTTTTTTCGTATTTTTGATGCCGTAAGGATTTTGAATATGTTCGGAATTTTTATAAATTACTTATTATATGTCATTAACATTAAAGAAAAGAAATTAGCCCCTTTCATTCCGACATACATATAAAATTCTTAAGTCTCCAAAACAAGTTAGAAAACCCATACATTTATCTTCAGATACAAATCCTATAAGATAATTTCAATAAATAATTATATGACATAAATGTATGCAACCATAAATAAGTCAATTTGTTAAACTATCTATAAAACGAAAATAGCTTTATCTCTCTGACAAATTTATATATTAAAATGAACAACTAGAAATTGAGCAGATTGACAAAATAATTTAACTAAACGCAAAAGAAGTCACACACTAGGCTTGTATTAAGTATTTACATTATAAGCACGCAATGTCATTTGATATGAATATATTTGAGGTGCCGTTATGATATTAAATACCGATCAGGAGACCGATTAACACTAATCCAAATATATAATATTTGATTAATTTTTAAATACATGTGTGAGGGTCTCGAACTAAAACTAGACACTTAGTCCTTGTTTAAATCGTCATACTTCATACGAGGCGTTTCACGTTTTCCATACAATAATCGAAGTTTATACTGTATTACAGGAGTTCAAATAACGTACATGCGCCCTAGTTAGAAGTAGTTCAAAGAAAGGACTATGGGTGGATCCTGTGTTGTTATTCGAAGCTGTAAATGATTCTGGAGTATGTACGAGCATAAGGCAATGCTTACTTTGGAAGAGCCTGTTGCCTGTTTTGTTTACATGTATAACTTTTTGTTGTACTACGAAGTGGACATTAAAATAATAGCGATAAGTCATTTTATGGCAGGGGAATGGAATGAACGAAAATACGGTGTATGTACTATGTACCTAACAACGCACTGCCATTTAAAAGAATAATATGATTATGACTTTGGTTTGTAACTTGATGGGATTTACATTCAAAACTGACTTCGAAAGCTTTATCTATCATGCTGTCTATACATGGAAGATGAGAACAGGATTTCTATGAGTAATTGTAAACTAGACCATATTATGTAGCTCAAGGATCGATGTGGAGCCATAGGAAGGTATCAGTGTTCATTTTATTCCCGCTTTATAAACTATGCAGACTGTAAGCTTATTGGTCACTTTGATGCAGTAACTATAGTGCCTTACCTATGTATTTCTTAAGTCTTAATTCAGATATGTTACTCATATAATAAATTAATTTTATGTACAGGATGTTTTAATTACTCCACCTAACTTCTATTCTCATAGGTGCTACTATTCGTTTGAGGTTTTAATTTCTACCTAGTACCTATTCAATACTTGTATAGATCGCTGGTCAGGTAACGTGAAATTTGTGAGACGCGGTCTAATAAAAATTGGAAAGGCTTTAATTATAGAATTGTAGGTGCATCGATTTAAGAAGGAAAAACCTTTCTTTGACTGAGCGTTCAGTACGAATATACTACGATTTTTATCGCCTTCAATAAATTTATACAATACTATGAATTTAGTTTTGAGGAGAAACAGAAAAACAAAAGTCATTAGCTAATACGTTACAAAGAGAACTCAATATTAATACATATCTAAGTACGTAAAAACAAAGTCATCTTTATTTATATCAAAGTTTAATAAAATTCAAGGTGCCTGTATGAAATTAAACAATTTTTTTTAAACGTATTCAAACCGCCAAATGTTATTCGGGAGGCGTGAATAACAAATGGGTTTAACAAATACATATAGAGATTGTTCCCCGACCTTGTACACAAACTTTACGATAAATTGGAACTTTGACATCCTTGGATGCTTTAAAACAGATAATTAGTGCACACTTGGTACTGATAATAAGAAAATATATTCTTTAATGCACTACACAACTTTTAGACGAGATTTTAGTCGTTCTAAACACAAAATTCGGGTGTAAAAATTAACTAAGATACACCGATAACTACGTTACGTATGAAAATTCAAATTTGTGGTAAGGTTCGTGACGCAAACCTAACTAGCGACCAGGACACGACTGGATTCCACGCTTGTATGTAATATAATCAGTCTTTGGGGCGCGCATACATTTTTATTATTAATAACAATACCACGCTCACAACGCTGCCATTCTCCGTGGGTGGTAGAACACTTATTGAAAACGAATAGAAAATTATATACACGTATGATATCTAATAATAATTAGAAAAAATATATATTAATACGGACGATTCTATAATTAGAATACTCGCTAGCGACGACTTAAAGAAATGTTATTTAGAGAAAGCACTTTAGAAATTACGAGTGCTGTACCATTAAATAAATATTATATGTATCAAACGTTGATATCGATTTTGAGGACAAATCGATTGCGGATCGAAGGCTTACACGATGACGTCACTAATTCAAGACACATGTTTTTAATAACTGTACTTACAAAAATGACATCGTATTTTAATATAAAATCAAAAAATCTAATTTATTTTTCAATTCCGATATTAAATGTTCAGATGATGTCCCACGTGTTTCGTTTATTTCAAAAATATTATATAGAATTTAAGCATATATTTGTATGGTTTTGATTAACAGAAATATTTAGTTTGTAACATTGTAGATACGTGTTCTAATTGGAACGCAAAAGTACTGCTTAACTTGTAAGCATACTGACACTCATAGCTTGAACTTAAAACAGCTGACTTCATAAAAATAATCTTTAGAACGTGTTACAACGTACATGTATCGAATATAAAATATAAGCAGATATATTCTTAAAAAAAATCTCATACAAATTAACGGACTTAAAAACCGATAAGATATAAAAGAAGCAAAAGTAAAAAACAATGCAATAATAGTACAGCGTTAAATGTCGGCTGTTAGAGTTCAATGACCGGCGAAAAAACGGGTCAATGCCTCGAAAACAGTACCCTACATGTAAAAACTGCAATGAAAGCAAAATTCTGTTGAATATAAATTCCGACTTACCAGCTAGTCTATAAGGCAGCATGAAAACAAATCAGTATATAAAGATATTGTTATTGATAACAGGCTGTTATATCTCAGAGATGTCCTTGAAAGGTCAAGCTCGGGAGCTAATAAGATATAGATCATATCCTACCTCATTCAACCAGTCCAGTAAAATGGCTCTCATTCTCGGCTGGAGGTTGGGGTGGTTGTCAAACATGTTGGGGTTCTTCATCATAGTAGACCTGGCGTCAACCTCACACATACTCTTCCATACATCACTGGGATCAGCCCAGGACAGCCCAGGCAGAGGACATTTACGCTTCGGTGGACTAGGATACACCTTGCTTGTGCTACAAAAGAAGTGAACAACATACTCATACTAACTGACTATATGTGACAATTCTGTTGACTCAATTAAGAATTAATTAAAAAGCAAATCTAAGCAGGTCATGATCTTGCATTATGGCATGAACATAATAATATTTGTTATTTAATTACCTAGGTCTTTTATTAGAGTGTGGTGTGCATTCCCCTCTAGCAACATTCTCAAGAGGACTTAAAACGCAATTGGGTAGCTCAGGTATACTCGGTGGGCTTAGGAAACTATCAGCACTATAATCTAAGTCTGTGAACACACTCCTCGGCTGCTCTGGGCCTTCATCATCACTCGAACATGAAGATGATTCAACAACTGTGTGGGGTGGCAGTTCACATACATCTTCTTCTAGCTTCGATGTTATTTTTATAGGTGGCATATTCTCTACCTATAATGACACAACATTTGAGAAATTATGACAATCAATTGTTGATATCACTATCTTTGAAGTATCAACTACCTCATCATCTGTTGAATTTCTTTTCCTCTTCAAGCATGTCCTCTTCTCGTTGGCCTCACAGGAGGATCTAAAATGATTTAGGCTTATAGTAGTCATGATACCAAGGTCAGTATTATACAAGAGTGTAATCAGCTGTACATACCCTGTTTGTGCCATATTGAGGGGAACAAGTCAGGTATCACAGTCTCCACTATCTACAACATGGTACTTATTAGAAATGTATCATATTAAATATAGTAAAACTATAAGTGCATTGCTAGTATTTGGCCAAAATTACCGCATGTCATGATCAAACCGCAAATAGGGTTATGTCAATTGACAACCATATTAGAAAGAATTATGTTATATTTGAAAGAAATTCTATAAAACTAGAATCGTCTTTTCTATCTACAAAGCACTAAGCAGCATCAGATTCAGCTTTAAAGTAATAGTTTTATACTAATAGACATACGGCGTGCCCCCTGCAGGTTGGCGGGAGAAAATTTTTCGGATGTTATTTTAGGGCAGTTATAGTGTTCAAATTTGAAAATTTTCTTGTTTAATGTTCAGTAGAGTACGTGATTTATCATAAAAAGTAATGAAATAGTGAAAAAATATTAATCAGCTGGCATAAAAAATGCCACGAATCCGTCACAATCGCGCGCGAAATCCTCCCGTCAGCGCCATTAGACACGTCGCTAGCTTGGGTTTCTCAGTCCTACCACTTATGGAAATTGTTAAAAATAGCACATTCTCACGATTATATTTTCACTATCAATAACTAAGACGAATATGTAACTCAATAACAACTTTTAAGCTCATTATAAGACTCGACCGTTGATAGCGTAACTGACTTAACTTATCGTCTTAGGAAGATTTATAACCTAATTATAGACAAAAGCAAAGAATTGATTTCCAATTTATTTATCGTTTGTAGTTGATAAGATCTCCTGCATACTAATTAGGCCAAAAAATCATACCTGATCATTCACAAATTAATCCAAATTCAGTGTAACAAAATTTCTTCCAACACCATATACAAGAATTTAACTTTGGACACAATAACACCGTTATTTTGGCTTATTAATCACTGAACTTTATAGATTTACATAAATATTGTAATAAAACTGTTATTTAAGATCAAATATCTTATTTTCAGCTTTCCACGGCTCAATAACGCCCGGCTTTCCGCGCGAAAATGTCGCGGTAAAACATCGGTGCACTGCAAGCTAACGGACAGATAACTTCACGATTGTTTCTTCTGAAAACGTTTGTCATTAGATATGCCATTCCATTTTACGCATACTAATATATTTATGACAAATACTTATAGGACGTAAAATAAAATAATATTTTTATAATATTATTAAAACATTATGAACATAAGAAATAATAAAGATGTATAATATAAAAAATGTAAATTTTTAATGTGTGTATTTTTTATGGTGAGAAAAAATATTATGTAAATGTTTTAGACAAAACCAAGTTCATTTCATAATAGTGACAAGACGTCGTAATGTAATAGATCAAATATTTTAATATATATTCTTTAAAATACTGACCTAAAATTTATAGATATGACATAAAACGGAGTAGAAAAACGTAACGCAACCTCATTGGTTGGGGAGAGCAACGTTTACAGCCCTGTTATATGTAGTTTAAAAGTTGGTATAACTGTTAGCACAAACTTCACTTTGCTTTACAGCTGGGCGCCAGCTGATAGGATTTCAGTGAGAAAAGTCAATAATACTCTGAAATCATTAAAGTTAAGAAAACATTTCTATTTGTGTTCCTCTGGGTATAATGTGTCAAACTGGTGAATTTTAATTCGGTTGGTGAAAATGACACAACAAAATATCGCGGTAAAACTCTGTGGCGTTCTACAATCCAATAACGAGCAAGGTAAATAGTAAATGTGGTAATGTGTTTACATTACATTATTTTTTTATCCAAGTACCTTTCTATAGCAATAAGGTTAACATTGAAAATTACGTCACTATATTTCCAGAAGTAACAGCACGAGAATGGCGGTTGGTGGGTCAAGAACAAGATGGTTCCCAAATATTAACCTGGCACTCCACAGTCGAAGACAAAGAAGTCATGAATGTCGGAGTTTACATCAACAAAACAAAGACGTTGACAACCCTACACACTTTTGAGGACAAATTAAACATAATACAGGCTTCTGTAAACTCATCTCACAGTCTACTTGTGTATGTTGTGAAAACTATACCAACGGATGATGATGAACAAAAAGAACCCACTTACTCACCATATCTGGTGTCCCTATTACCAGATAAAGTGAATTTACCAGAGGAAGTGGAGCAGGCATCGACAAAACAGATCATGTTGCAGTTTGTGTATGGAAAAAGCAATAAGTACAGCCCTGGCATAAGAAATGATAGATTCTTGCTGTTCAAACATTTGGAATGTAAATAATTTAAGATATTTAACATTTATATTATCAATTTAAAAGATATTTTTAGTAAGAAAATATTATTTTAAGCATATGTAACATGTAAGGTTTTATGAAGAACATTTTAATATGACTTTCAGATATCAAAATCTACCGATCACCATTGTTTCTCAATGAGTGTGACGATGGGTCGGAGAAGTGGGGTTTTGATGGTATATACCCTGAACCTGAAACCATAGTCAATGTGTTCTCCTGGGCGCAATGGGATTGTGTTAATCAGGTTTGATTTGAAAAAAATTAATAATGTTATTGTATAGAAAACTGACTCTTACTTGTCAAATATTATTTTAAAAGTATGAAATCAATTTTATTATATTTACTGTAGATAGGGAATTTTAACACAATACAGGGTTCACCCTGTTATATATTAATTGGAACTTTGATCATACTATCTAATAAAATAGCATATTGACCCGTACTTAAGGGTTGTTATTAATTATATCTTGTACTGTACTTGTTAATTGTTACAAAAGTACTTTTTCTTTTTGTATTATATACCATAATTTGATTAGTCTTTTCATTAGATATTTCATCAAATTCAGATGAAGCTAAATCTTATTATTTTGATATATTTCCTTATGTAAAAAAAATAAAAGACAGACAATATTAATTCTACTATATAATATGTTATTTAAACTGTTAATTGCTTGAAATAATTATATTAGATATTGCCACAGTAATTTTTGAGATAAAAAGATACTGTTTGTTATTTGTTATGGGAAATTTTCCCAGGAATTATATATATATTATTTATATTTCAGGTAGTATTCTATATCCACTACCGTTCCCCGTGTCCTGGCTTTGCTGAGGAGGAAGCTCGCTCACCGGAGTTGACTCCAACACTATCTGCCCTTCAGTTACATGCTGATCTGCCTCACGAGACTGTTGTGAGTGCATTGTATAAACATAGCATACTTAAAGACTTAGTTTTTCGACTATTCCGTGTATATGCCAATAGTATCTATTAAATATTGTATATAATAATTGAAAAGATACCAATATTTTAGGATCTTAATCCATTAAGTAAAAATAATTATATTTATTTACAGAGCACTTAATAATTTATATCTATATCAAATTCTTTATATTGTATACTTCTAATGCATAATAAGTTTCTATTGAGACCGAGGTTACAAAGATTTTTAAGCTCATTAAGGATCATAACACTTTCACATGACATCACATAAGCACTGTGACCCCAGCTTAAAAGGTCACTCGGGCTTGAAGTTAAATCTTTGAAGTTAATGCAAAATAAAATTGCTATTTTAATTACTATTTTATTAAAAACATGTTTTGTTAATTAATTTTTAAGAGATTATAAGTAATTAGTTAAGCAGTCATTAGTATAATGACGAAAGCAAAAGTACTAATCACGAAATTTGTTGACTGTCAGTTTTAAAATAACTAGGTTTCTAAAACGATAATTATAAATGAACACTAAGTTGAATTTGCACGTTAAAATAATGCACAATATTTTGTCCACTTCTAATTTACGTATGTATCATATTTTTGAAATTAATTAGGAAAGCAAATTATTTAGGTATATATTTTTCTTTGTTTTATATTTTTCTGCCTTCCACGTATTGACTTAATTCAGCCAATGGACTTATTATACTCATGAATGTATAGAATAATATCAACTTAAAAAAAATTTGGCCTACACCATAACGACATGACTACCGCAGACTTTGACGTATTGAGTTTTGAAGACAAATGGGATTACATTTTTTATTCAATCGATACAGCCACAAAGACAGCGGGTAAACATACAATGAATTTCTTTTTGGAGGTTTTATATGTTTTTTTTTACCTAATCGAGATTTATATTATCTTTAGACTAGTATTTTTTTTAATTTGAACGCATCTCTTCCGTTCCGTTTATAAAATTATTATGATATAAGTACATTATACCGAATAAGTTTAAAAATTAACGACGTAATTCAATTAAATTTTTCCGTTAACATACAATAACTATTTAAGAATGATAAAATATAGTGTAGGAGTTATTATTATTTCTGACTGTAAGTCAAAAAACAATATCTCCTAGTCACGTGGAGCATGACCGTATTTTTATTCTAAGTTTGTATCGTCACAGTACATACTAAACTTCTCAAGTTTTAATTAACTAACCTCAGTTGCTACTATGAATGAAATACTGTAAACGCTCCGTATGTAGTATTACGATGTTAACTTGGACTGAACTTACTGATCAGGTTTTTTTTAATACAACAAAGTATAAAACACAATTAATATCACTATACACTTCATGGCTAACTGAACAATGCGACCTTAGAGATTAGCCTTACCGCTAAATGCATTACTTTGAATCCGTACAACACTTGGAGTATCTGATAACAATATGACTACACTATGGACTTATCGAGCCTTCAATAAATGTGCATACACATTTCTATACAAATAAATATATACTAATGTTGTAGTTACAAGTTTTAAGGCACAAATCTAGTAAGGATTAAAAATTTGTCTTTAGACTCAACGCTCGTTTGATTTAATTTGATGTGTTTGTTGTATTATGGCCACGTATGTTTTGACATGCTAGTTTTTACTGAGTGTAATTTAATAATTATTAACATAAGCTCATTGAAGTACGGATGTCATAAAAACGTGAAACTGTACGTCTAACTTCAACTTAACTCGTATATATTTAAACCACATTAAATATAAAATTATAACAATTTTTATCAAACTACTCCTTTGGTTGTCATTGAAGCTAGTCAAGCTCTATTGTGTGTTCTGAAACATCTTTAGTGTCTATATTATAAGAAGAGTTTGTTACTGAGATAGTACATTCAAAAGCTATGACGTTACCAGCTAACATTGGTTGGAAGGGCAGTCCAGCACAATCCAGTCGAAAAAAAAATATACTGATTTTATAAGGGGATTGTAACAACACATTTTAAAATATATCACTATCCGCTACAAGTGAGACTCTCATTTTTATAGGAAACAGTATATTTAACTTTGAAATGTGTCTCGACCGTTAGTATCGCCGAAATTTACAAGATTATGGAAACACATCAGTTCACCTGCGTCCACCATTAACTTAACCATGATGTATTATTCATCCTGCCGCCTGCGGGTGTAAAATATTGTTTATGGGAATGATTCCGTTGATTATGTAAATTGTTTTACATTTATTATTCCGGTGAAGAAAAACATATTGTTGAATAAATTTAATGGTAAATTCATTTGTATACTCGATTTGTTTGAGTGATATATTTTGGCATTGTTTAAGGTGGCGTTAAATGATTGTCGAATGTACGTTAATTAAAAATCTTTTTACGTCATCTGCAGTGGTTTAAAGTTTCTGGATGTTTGATTGTGTCATTCTATAAGAACTAAAGACAGCTACACCTATTCAAGAGATTCAAATTATTGCCCGAATTCAGATTAGTTAGCCAGTATTTATAACATTCAAATACAGGTTGATACTTAAAAGTTGCCATTACAAAATTACAATACATATTTCAGTATTATAAAATATTTTCATGACTAATTTTATAAATAATTGTAAGGATTATATTATACTAGCTTTTTCCGCGGCTTCGTCCGCGTGGAATAGTTACTTCCGACAGATTTTTGGTTCTTCCCACATAGTTCCCTTTCTTGCGGGGTTTTCGGAATGGTCGAGTTCCCGTAGAATTTTCAGGATGAAACCTATGTTTTTTTTAATTAATAATGAAGTACTCTTAACCAACAACATATTTATTTGTTTATATGAATAAAGATTAATATTATTATTTTGATACAACTTAAACAAATTATTTCGACCAAGTTAGGTACCATAAAAACGGTTTTTGTGAGTTAATCTTAAAAGATAGACATATACTGTCGCGGACTGTTTTTTAGATCATTAAAAGAGCTATTATTCTTTAATACATATTTTTTGTGTATCTTGAACCGTTTTCACGGCGCACGCAACGGAAGGCTTCAAAGATGAAATAATTTCTCCCGTTTTTTACACATTTAGCACTATATCTTTGCTCCTATTGGTCTTAGCGTGATGTTATATAGCCCACAGCCTTCCTCGATAACTGGACTATCCAACACAAAAAGAATTATTCAATTCGAATCAGTAGTATCGGAGATTAGCGCTTTCAAACAAACAAACAAACTCTTCAGCTTTATAATATTAGTATAGATTATATGATAATTAGTACGTCACAGTTGGCGCCACTTGTACCATTATATCTATCATATTAATATCTTTCTAGCTGAACATACCTCTGAGTCTGCCTCATGTAGCCGGTGCTCACGGCGCCGCTGCAGCTTGTGGCTCATACGAAGACGACCCTGTGCCTCTAAGGGTTCACGACTGTAGTCTAGACTTGTACATCATATGCGACCAGCGAGGGATGCTCTGCGTGTGCCATCACTATCTATACAAGGTACGGACCTTGTATTTATTGTCAACATTATTTGCCTACATGAGTACTGTTTCTATGATCTTAGATGTAAAGTAGTTAATTTGTTTTAACATTAGACAAGACGTCTTACTACAACTATTACCCTTCACTCTTCTATCATACAATTTGTAATAAATGCTATGCACTTATCATGTTTTTGTTAATTAAGTAATTCATAAAAGTATGTTTAATGAATATTACGTATTTATATAATGACAATTTAATAATGAGTTACTTTATGTTCGCTCAATAGATGTTAATAAACAGGCTATTATTCTTGGCGTGTTATTAATTAGAGCAATCAATTAATTGCTATTATCGATACTAATTAAGTAATTATGATTTTAATGGGTTGGAAAAAATACTTAAGAAGATTTCATTCCTCGATTTTTATACAGCAAGGCCTGTTTTATTTCGATATAATTCTGCCCCTTATTAAAGCACAATCTACTCGGTTGTAAACTAACTTTATCAGGCCAAGAGTCTCTCTAGCACTCGTGTACGACGCATTTAAAACTACTTTTAGGGGATTTTACTAGTGGAAGTGAAAAAATGTAAACTGTATTTCAGTTAATAATGATCAGTTTTAATAATTAATATTTTGAAGTAATAATAATGTTTACTCCTTTCCCTCACCATTTCAACTCGTGAACTTTTTCATCTAATGTCCTTATGAATAATACTACTTAAAAACAATTAAATTGACAATAATATTGCAAAATATTCAAATTTTAAACAAGTAATGACGAAAAGGTTGCGAGCTAAGGTATATAATATAATTGTCTTTAATTTGATAGCCTCTCGATGATTCAACGAGTTCTCTGGTGTTGGACGACGTGGATCTCAAAGACTCCGGTGTTAATTTCGCTTATTCCGTGACCCTGCTGCATCACGGCTGCGTGGTTCACAGCGTGGTGCCCGACCTGCCCTGGTCGCTCGCCAAGTCCCTGAGACCTTCGTACACCCTGTATAATGGTAGGCTGATGCTAACAAACAATCATTAGTACCTGAAGTATACATATGGGTTTTGTTTACAGTAATCTGTTCGTTTCAGACAATCACCTGCTCGTCCACATACCGATGTTGTTCACACATCTAATAGACATCAGTCTCCATCATGAGCCGTGTTGCCACATAGTAGTGCCAATGGAGCCCAGCGAGAGTGGACCCAGCCTCGCGCCTTTACTGGGCTGGGGACCTCACGCGATGGTGGATCTGAATACACTGGACGTTATAACTATGGGTGTGACGGACAAGGACCTGGCCAGCACCTTCAAGAGCGATACCGCTGATGAGAACAAACTGGCCATCATGCATTATTTGATACAACACGAAGGAAACACTGACTTAGCGGAGGAGGTATTGTTATAAAACTTTTATATAATAATAAACAAAAATTCCATAAGTAGTGTAAGTTACTCCCTATAAAATAAGCTATCTGCCAGTGAAAATTCTATCAAAATCCTTCCAGTGGTTTAAGAGATTAGCAAGTACAAACAGTCAATATAATGTATTGTCAGTTGGACCTTGAAAACTTATCCCCCCACCCTTCTCCACGTCTCATATTCAATATGTCTCATTCCCCCCAGTTGTTGTCGTGGGTGTGTTCCCTGGGTCCGGGCGGTTGTTCCCAGCTCGTGATGCAGGAGTACCTGGTGTCATCGACCTTCGCCGCCACTCGTCGTTCCCTGTCCGCCTCAGCCATGTCGCTGCTGAACGCTCTACCATTCACGCTTCACCTCAAATTCGCCGATGTTAAAGTATGTATGAGAATCGTGTTATTCGATGTTATAATAATAAGTTTTATTCTACAGCCACGGGCAAAAGTATTAGGCACCCTACAGTAAGACAAGTTTTAGGGTGTTTTAGCATAGCGAGTGTAAATAAAACTGCATTTATGATTACAATGGTTTATTTTAAGAAAATAATTAATATTTTGTAGGTCCACCTTTTGACTTAATAACCGCAGCCACTCTTTTTGGCATTGACTCTACCAGCCTGAAACATTCTTCTCTTGATATATTTTTCCATTCCTGCTGTAACGCGGCCAATAGAGCTTGTTTATTGCTAATCGAGTGCCTGCGGATATTTTTCTTTAAAATGGACCAAATATGCTCAATCGGGTTGAGGTCTGGTGATTGTGGTGGCCAGTCCAAAAGATCAATATGATTTTCAGCAAACCACTTCATGGTATGCGCGGACTTGTGGCAAGTGGCGTTGTCTTGCTGAAATTTCAGGCCATCGGTGTTTGTATCACCGAAAATTTGCGTTATCGACGTTGCTAGTGCTGTTTCCAGAACTTCAGTGTATTTAACACTATTCATTCGTCCCTCACACAACACCATTTCGCCCACTCCGTCGGCAGCCATGCAGCCCCAGATCATTATTGAGCCTCCACCATGCTTAACAGTGGGAACCACACATTCTGGGTTGTATTCTTCGCCAACCCTTCGCCTAACATAAGTCACACCGGGTGTTCCAAATACCTATGCCAAACGAAAAAAAACACATTTATTTTCAAAGTTATTATTTTTCTTGCAGTACGTTATTTTAAAAACATTTATGTGTTTTAATATTGTACATAAAATAAATAACAATACCTCAAAGTTAGATTCGTCTGACCACAGTACGTTGGACCAATCTTCCACTGACCAATCTCTATGTTTGAGTGCCCACTCCAACCGATTTTTCTTATTGTGTTCTGACAGCCACGGCTTCTTCCTTGCTTTACATCCTTTTAATCCAGCTTTAAGAAGTCTTCTTCTCACAGTATAAACACTCACTGAGCTGCCTTTTGCCTCAGATAATGCTGCAGCGAGCTCTAAAGCAGTTTTTTTTTCCTGTTTTGTAGAGACTGCCTAATCAACAATCGATCTTCCCGTTCAGTAGTAACTTTTCTTCTGCCTGTTCTTGGTCTATTTTCATGGGTGCCAGTCTCTTTGAAGCGATTTATAGCATATTGAACTGCACATCGCGAGCACTTCACTTCTCGGGCTATTTTAACCTGAGACATGCCTTGTTCATGTAAAATCTTAATTCTAAGACGCTGTTCAGCACTAAGTTCAGATTTTTTCGGCATGATTAACACGTTAAATGTTTGTCTTTAGAATTGTGATAGGAATAGTTGCGTAGAAGACGTGTATGTTCACTGCAAGCACTGATAACACACTATAACCCGAAACGCAAAAAAAGCAAATTCGAAGAAACACCGCTTAGGAGCACACCTGGATGTCATAAATATTTTCTTTTATCTTAATTTGGTTAAAAATTGCCGCTAATACAATAGCTAAACCATAAAACACACACTTGACCGCAATATAATGAGATAGTGACTAACAATAGGGGTGCCTAATACTTTTGCACGCAGCTGTATAATAAAATTTAAGACTGTCGCGAATAGTTATTAGTCTAAACTAATATTTTCCGTGATCACGGTTGCTGCAAAGTAACTGAAACGTCGGGAGTATATAGTTTTTTTAAAATAATAAAGTACGCGTAGTAATCCAAATAGTTTGATTTAAGTTTTCTTCTGCTGTGGCTAATAATAATTAATCTGTTATCTGAACTTTAAAAAGTTTCTAATTGATATAGAATGATTTCATATACAATGTGGATATGATAACAGGATGAATGAAATAACCTTCATTGTTAGTACTTAAGAGTGTTTTGTGAGTATTAATTCAGTCGTGACATTGACATAATAAAATAATTTCAAACGAATTTAATAATACGAAAAATGTGAAAAAATTTAACAACATATGTAAATAGGGTCACTGACCTGTGATAGAGTGGAAACAGAATTCTGTCCCGTGACACGTTTTTCGCACCATTAAGGTAATATTGATGGACCACCGTCATATAAGATTAATATCGTAATCTGACATGCGGGAGTCATTTACTGTAATTCAGGATTTTTTCTTTAAAGAGCGTTATTTTTGAGGAAAAATCACATAAAACATTAATAAAAGTAGGTCTGTTGATGTGTTGATTCTGGAGTGTGTTAAAAAATTATGTTAGACATATAACACATGCTGGCAAGGTGAACAACTCATATTATACTAGCTGGCCCGGCAAAAGTTGTTTTGCCATATAAAAAATAGGGGTCGGTGATAAAAAAAATAAACATTATGGGTTGTATGTGTTTTTAATGCTAAATTATAAAAAAATAAAAACAAAAATTTTCGCCCGAAAATAAAAATCAAAAAAAAATTAAGGGTGAACAACCCTTATGACTTAGGGGTATGAAAAATAGATGCTGGCCGATTCTCAGACCTACTCAATCTGCTTACAAAATATCATGAGAATCGGTTAAGCCGTTTCGGAGGAGTTCTCCGTCTAACACCGCGACACGAGAATTTTATATATAAGATAAAGATCTGAGTACCACGTTTTATCTGGTGTGTGATCAGCGTCTTATATAATTCCCTGAGTTATCCAGTAGTCCGTATATCATTCTAGGTGCGTGGCCAGCGCGTGTGTGTGTCCGTGTGTCCTCTGTGGCGCGGCGGGGCGGCGGCCGTGGTGCTGTCCCCCCGCCAGCGAGTGTGTCAGTTCTCAGAGGACGCGTGGACCCGTCTGTGGTCGGCGCTGACCACTCAACCCACCACAGCCAAGAGACTCCGGGTAGAACACGTGCGGGAGAGACTTGCACTCACCATGCACTGCTATCAGGTAAGTTTAAAGAATTTATACTCAAAAATACATAGTCACTTACATGAGAACATACATACAAAAGTGAATATACAAAAGTAGTCGCCAGATTATTTGGAACTTACTTAAAGATAGTAAGATATTTTTTTTTTTTGCAGCTCCCTCTGACACGGTCAGAGACTTTGTTTACGTTTGTTTGCTACTCTTTAATTCAAGTTCTCGCATTCATTAGGGCCTTTCATTCCTTATACTTGTTCTTTTTATCATTTATCCCTTTCATACTTCTGACCAGTGTGCCTATCTAAGTAAGATATGTATTATTACAAGTGTGTTACATCGTTGGAATATCAATTATTTTCTAAAATATGTTGTGAAAGTTGAGATTTAAATTCGTTAATTGAGCTTGCATTTCTTATAGTAGACGGTAATTTAATTTGTTGTAAAGTTGTGCTCCCTCAGATGTGATCCTTTTTTGCAAATTTTGTCCTAGTCTTTGGGAGAACTAGTAAGCTAGATCGACGCGTACTGACTTGTTTCATGACAGATTGACAGACAGACTGACAGGTATGGACATTGAAGAGAATTTTTCCTTGACTGCACCAACAGCATCTTAAATATGATATAATGTAGTAAGCTTGATTGTAATATAAATAATTGCTGCGCCATCTCTAGTGAGATGCAGTAGCAATGACAATATTAACATAGTTCTATAAGTTTTTAATTGTTACTAACAAATTTTTGAGTGGTTATTATTTGATTTTCGATTATACAGGGTGACTGGTGAATTACTATCAATATTTGAGGAGAATACTCGGTACATGATTCTCATTCGAATTATGTAAAAAAAATAGGTACTTAATTTTTGAACAAATTTCCGTATAAATAAATAAAGTGTGGACACGTCCCAAGTGTTCCAAGTGTGGACGCGTGCGGCGGCGTGCTGATACAACACCACGCCGCCACACGCGTGTGTGTGTGTCTGTGTATACGTATACCTAATCTGTAGGGTGTTCACACGATGCGTAATTAATTACATAACTTTTGGTTAACTTTACTTAGAAGTTTATTAATATTTATGTTATATTAATTTTTATTCTGTCATATATGATCGTCAAATATCACGTCCTCAAGTATCGATAGTAATTCACCAGTCACCCTGTATAAATAAATAAATGAATTAAGTCCAATGATACTATCGACAAAATAAATAAGCCACATTATGTTTTGAAACTGGGCAGTCGTGTGGTTCCTTTTGAAATATCATAATTCACATTTTTATTTGGCATATTTAATTTTTTTATACAAAAGTAAACAGAAGGGATCAAAACACGTACAATTTTCTGTTGAGTGTAACATAATTTATATATACTGCAATATTGTTAAATTGTTGCAAATAAATTTTAAAACAGAAGAATTAGATCAATGTCATGATTAAATATCTCGAGCCTTCTACAACAGTCCTCGAGATTTTTAAAAACTGGATATTATATGAAAGCTATGATTGTACCTAAATACTAATATAAGATAGGTACATATAGTGATACTTTAAATAATACGTTGAAGATTATTTATATCTTTAAATATTTATACATATATAAATTCTTCGTTTCCTAAATCCAACCATACGTCCATTTAGGCTAAGTAGCGCGCAAAAACCAGTCAGTACTAATAGTTGTATATAACATTTCGTTTCAGCCCGAAGCCCTATCTCGCTGCAGCACACCCATGTCACCGACGGGGTCTCTGCCCCCTCGCCGGCCGTCCTTGGTGTGTCAGGACGCTCTGCCCTTCGTTGAGCTCGATGTGTGCACGACCAGCAAGCAGGAACACGTCATCGCTGCGGTATATATACTAAATTTACCCTTACATACCTCACAATAAGTCATGGTGCGACTTTGAAATCGTTAAATACATAACTAAAAGTTATTATTCATACTTCACAATACATATAATCTTCGCCTCAACGGTAACAGTGTTACTTCGTTTCTTATTATGTTTTGACGTCTTAAGCTAGACCGTCAAGTTGTTGTCATTATAGTATGATTGGAAATAAAACGACAAACCAGACCTAAGAAGTAACTAAGGACTAATTACCTTCCTAGAACACCGCTCGAATCAACCTAAATTCCAGATCGTTAGTTTCTACCTTTAAGTCCATTTCGTATATATCGCGACTACCTCTCGATCGAACGTTGATTTTGTACGCAAGTTTGGTGAATATCCAAATGTAGAGGTCATTGACATGTTCGCGGTGAATGTCAATGATTATCTTCTAAAAGGAGTTTCTAGTCATCGAATCAATCGTGGTGTACCAATGATGTGACGAGTCCACGTTATCGATGTAGAACCTCCGCGCGGTGAGCGTGCACCTGATGTCGGAGAGTGCGTCCAGCGGCCCCGGGTCACTGGAGAGCGGTGTGCACGCGCTGGCCACCCGGTGGTCGGCAGCCCAGCTGGACGCGGCGCGCGCCCTGTGCCGGTCTGTGGTCCGCGCGGCCGCCGCCGTCCCACTGCCGCACCAGCCGCGCGGTTTCCCGTTTATGTATGATCGCGTGTGCTGTTTTTTTTTGGTCGCCTGTATGCACTATCGTTTTTGTTGTGTTATCTTTGGTCGGCTGTATGCACTTTTGGTTTTTGTTGTGTGTTTTTTTTTTGTCTGCTGTATGCGCTATGATCGGTTTTTTGTTCGTTCGATTCCAGCTTTTTTGTGGTGTTTATGCTATTGTTTTTTTTTGGCTTTTTTACTCATAATGTGTTGATTGAATTTATTTTTTAAGTATTATTTAATGTATATTTTGTAAATTTACCTTTTCTTCCAGCGATGAGCTCGATCCAACGCACGCCTTGATCCTGTTCAAGTTGTTGGAGCAGTACTACGTGGCCATCGACTCGATCGCCTTTCCCCTGCCTCAAGGCTTCAGTTCGTTCTTCACGTACCTCGGGTACCGCACGCTTCCTTTCCACGCATTCGTGCAGTACGTGCATAGAAATGTATTCGAGTTGCAGATCGACGTACTCAAAGCAATTATAGCGAGTAAGTGATAAATACTGTAATTATTAGATTATTAATATAACAAAGGGCAAACAAGGACAAAGGCAAACGAGTACACGGACTAACTGATGGAGGTAGTACCTGACTCTCTCGCATCGGACGAACCGCGGCCATTAAAGGCTACTTCACGCTGATCTTCTGTGAGAGGGTGGTAGTTCCCAGGTCGAGCCAGCTCACTTTCGAGCTGCAGTTACTTGACCACAGCTAGGCTCTATCACCTACAAATAACTTGTAATTATCAATTATTGGTGTACCGAAACGTTCATTGAAGAGACGACCAAGAATATATTACATATGTATAAATACGCGCAGAAGGAGGTTGTCTAAGTTTTCAATGTACAATAAGTACAGTTAGTACTTAACAGTTCTATTATCACATTTTATCTTAGGTTACTCCCATCGCCGTATTAAAACTAAAACACACTACACATATTGACATGGGACATTTTGACTATTAGACAAACTTTTATGCTGAATATAATTCTTAAAAAACACTCACAAACAGTTTATCAACGAATAGTAGAAAAGGATAAACATAGTAAAGGCACTGTCTGCCGGACTGAAGCCTTCCACTTAAAGCTTTCCCATAGATTTTATTGCTTTCTGGTAACACTAGTTCTGTATAATAAGTTAAATAAAGATTTACGAATATATTCATTAAATAAATCGGCTTGCAAACAAAAAGTAGATGAATGGTTAAAAACATTGGACTATGAAGATACCGAAAATCTCTTAATTTTTGTTTTATAACCCTATTCTTCAACAGTGATGGATTATCACACTAATTGCATCACTTATTACAAGTAGGCACTCACATTAATACACATAACACTCACATACATACACACACACACAAACACACACACACACACATACACTCTAGCACAATAAAATAATCTCTCCAACATATATACAACACTTTAAAGTAAAGAGCTCACTTTGTTAATATGGCGGTGTGGAGACCTGTAATACAGATACTACATATTATACCCATCACGGGCTCCAGTCTCTCACTAATGTATATTTATATAAGATGATGTGTATCAAGTATTTTATGAAGAGAGAATAAATGACATTATTATTATTAAGTCTACACAGTTCACCCCAATAGTTGATACGTTCCCAGGTAAAGACGACTCCAACAAGCGTACAGTGAACAACAAGCTGCGTCTCATACAGCTGGTGGGCGAGGGTCGCGGTCGTCGCGCGCTCGCTTCGTGGCCACACCGCGCGGCGCTGGTGCTGCGGGCCAGGGACCACGCGGCCGCCCTACTCAGCGGGGTGACGGCTCCCACACGCGACCACGCGCCGCACAGACCGGTCAAGGATACTGGTGAGATATACAGGGAACATGTGTCACATATACGTAGGTACCTTACGAAAGAAAGAGTCCTAATGAAGTTCGCCGCTCCTACATATTCCGTCCTTTCATATTCTTACAGTATGTAAATTTAATACGAATTAATTTATCAAAATGCAAACGTTTATGATTATTTATTTTTATTTCGCTTTTATGTTAGAACGCTTTGAAAGTATGGAATCAATAAAGAATTCACAAATGTTTTTTCCCCCTCGCTATCGATTAATTATTATCTGATATAATTAAACAGAGAGAAAATGATAGTTTCATTTAAATTTTCACACATCAGATAGAAATGGTCATATCGAGAACAAAATTAAGATAAATAAATAACCGAATCATAGGGTATTGAAGTTACAGAAAACGTTTTCAAGTCCGGAATACTAAAATAAGAAACCTCTAGCTTTGATTTTCTCTTTATTTTACTCCGATACAATGAGATACATATTTTAAAAAATCGCTTCAACATTTCAATTTACTTGTCTTTATTCTTCACACTTTAACTAGTGTATATCATAACAAAACTAATTATCATTTTAACTAAGATTTAATCATTATACCATCTCGGAGTATTATCCTATCACTTGGAAGAAAAATGTTTACATGAGAAAGTTCCTTCTACCACATCGATGGCGTTTCAAACCTCTTTTACTGAATCTATCTTATCTTAAATCTTCATTCCCAGGTATAGCTGCCCTTCCATCAGGTGAGCGTCTGTCTCCGCTGGACACGTTCCTGGATCTCCTTACAGCGAAGGCCAGTTTAAATGAGTTGGACTTCAACCTCATCATAGAAGCCACGTTAGCTTCTGTACAGGAGTCCATGTAAGAAATGTATCTTAAAGGATATTGAAAGGTTTTTTTCACTTATTTAAAAATAGCTATAATAACATATTACAGACAAATTAACTGTAAGCAATCTAGTAAGTAATCCAATTTTAATATGTTTACTTCTATACTTAATTAATAATTTATCACAATTGACATTCTACTTCTATTCTATTCTTTGAGTTATTGGCGTTTCCTTATATATTATTATAATCTCAAATATTATCATTAAACACATTTATATAAAGAGAGATTCGCGAATGAATAAGATGGATACTAAAAACCAAGAACTCAGTTACTGTTAAGATGTCATTCAATTTAGTCTTACAATAAATATAAGAGAACACTTAGCTGTGAAAATTAAGTTAGATGATTTCTTTGACTAGTTATGTGAGACAAGTTTGTGGTGCAATATTTCGTTTTTCTTTTAGTTTTTGGGTAGTTTTCTTATATTTTAATTTCTGTTGATCATATATTCAGAATTTCATTAGTATTAACACGATGGTGGCGAGTCCCTAGATTCTGTGAGAGGTTCTATCCTCTATTCCAGGAAAGGACACAATGTAGTAGATTTAAGATAATTCAGCTCATGTTGCAGCTATGATGGACATGATAGTATAATGTATAATGTAACGTTTATGGGTATAGTAAAAAATGTACCAGGGAAATGGTGATTAGAAAATGTGATCACATCCATAGTATTGCAGTCACTGATGGTTTTTGATTAGTTATCCGAGCACTTAGAATCAATAAAAAATATTCATGTGTCGAAAGCTCCCACATAAGGTTTATTGTTATTTTACTTCCCTCCCAGTCCAAACATATATTTTGCCTATAATACAATATAACAAATCCTCTAAATTTAGTCACATTTCTTCACAATCGCCTTCTAAATAGTGGTGTTTTAACGGCGAATAACCATATGCTGATATTGATTGTACTAGTGGGTCCTCATAATCTTAAATTTTTTTTGCTCCGGCATTCATCAAGTCACTATTATTACCCTGCAGAAATAGACAAAAGGTGAAACTAGTGACGTCCGAAGAAAATATTCCATGATATAAATCATGTGTCAGATTTTACCTAATGCGGAAACACTCTGTATATCTCGCTCTTCTCCTCCTTTCATTTCTTTCATGATCTCCAAGCCATAATCCAATAATCGTCTTTTTCAATCCTTATATAATCCAGTATCCTATCGTCATACTTATTTTTCTCAGAAAACTCCTTCACCTTCATTATTTGCTACACCCCTTGTATTGTATGTTGATTATATCATAAAGTTCTGTCGTTTTATGCGTACAGTTAGGTATTGAGCCGATACTCCTAGTTAATTACACAAATAGTACACCCTTTGTACTGCAAATGTCAGTGGTCGACAGTGACTACTCCAATCAGGTAGGCCGTCTGCATGTTGCAAACAATGTCAAATAATGTCCTATCCACACTAAGTTAAATCAATGAAACTATTTAAAAATGACAAAAATCCTTCAAAGGATTTATATCAGCAATCGGCAGAAGAATGATATTATTTTGATTATTAATAATTAACTGCCTTAAACCTGGTTTCAGCATCAGAATCCCAGGTTGTTAATGTTTCTGCTCCGGTTTGTCTGATGGATATACTGCTTCTGCTATTTTAATATTTAGAACAACTATTTTTAGTAGCTTCTTTTCCTCCCCTTAACTTTGCTATTTTTGTTGTTTCTATTAGACTTTAGAGCTTTTAATATCTCTTACCTCTCCGTCTACATTCTTTATTGATCCATATTTGGCTTCTAGTTTGACCTGGTGTGATTTTCCTTACTTGTTGCTCTTTCTCGTCTCTTTAAATTCCATTTACTCAATCCTTGGTCACTTTGCAGATTTTATTTGGATCAAAAAATCTTGAATTTCTTTTAATTAACTATGTCTACGTTCTTTAAACATATCTACTCGTCTAAAACGCTCTTATATCTTCCGCGATTAAATTTTTTCCTCTTTAAAATTCAGCTACAGGTAAAGTTCCTTCTACCTCGCGGTGGCATTTATTTTACAGAGAGTTGTAAGAAACGATCGAATGCAGAAATCACTTCTACAGTATCATGCGTCAGAAAGTTATAGTTTATTTCAATAGAAATGGGCAATCTTGTAAACAAACGTGATCAGCTGATATTGACAGACTTTTCTATGCCCCTGGTGATGTTAGTACTCTTCAAGATACTTTAATCTTAATCATTATATTAAAATATTAATATAAGAAATACATACACTAATTTGTTCATATTTTGTTAAGTTTTTGTTAGTGAGGCTTTTTAATACGTTTAGAATGCAAACGAGAACACAGAACAGTTGTTTCCATCCCAATAGCAGTAAAAATCCATTAACGACGATCGCGGATAACAAGAGGCTAATAATAACCTCCGTGGCTAAGTCGCATATCGTGCAGGCGGTGGAGGAGATAAGAGGGCTTTTGCGCTTCACGCGAAACTGGCCGCCCCCTCCCCCCTGCCGACTCAACGCACACGGCGCCTGACGCTATAACTTCATCGGTGCAGGAGCTCGCCCGATCAATAGCGAGCGTTCAAGCCGAGCTCAAGCCAGGCGTACACCCTCAACACATTTGCTGTCCAACCCAAACCCGTCCCAGTCAGAGATTAAACATATGCTCCGGCGAAGGTCTCGCCGGTCTCCAACAAAAAAATCAGGGCGGAGTTTGACACCCAGGCGCAGTGTGACGACGCCCTTATCAAGCTTCGTAATAAACCAGATGCGCCAGTGACAGCCGAACCAGCAAGAAAACTCAAACCGATGCTCTTGCTGAAGGGAGTCAGCTCCGACATAGCACAAGAAGATCTGTTAAGCACCCTCCTGCGCCAAAACCTGCAATTGCACACATACAGTGACACTGACATCACATACCGCTTCAAAAGAGGCAACAACCAAAGCACCCACCTCTACAACGCCGTCCTTGTGGCCAATCCAGCCATCTGGAAGTTAATAGTTGAGATAAGGAGAGTCTGCCTGGACTTCCAGAAGGTTCACGCGGAGAACTTCTCCCCATTCCTACAGTGATAAAGGTGCCTCAACTTCGGGCACGTTAAGAAACACTGCCGGACTGAGGCAACCCGATGCTCTCACTGCGCATCAGAATGCGTATCTGCACCCACACACAAACCAATGCCCAACCAAGGACACTCCCCACCCTCCTAAGTGCTACAACTGTACCCAACATAATCCCATTCAACAATAATCACCCCACCACACACAAGGCTACGACACAGACATGCCCCATTTTAAGAACAATCAAAACCAGAACACTCAATTCTCTCGATTATGGATCCACACAAAATTAAAATCATTCAGTGCAATCTAGAGAGGTCCAAACACGCTCGCAGTCTCAAAACATATCACAAACTTGTCAACATGTTAACACAAGCACCTTCCTTTACAACAAAGTTTCATCGACACATTGGAATCAGACATCCACGCACTGGACAGCTTGAGTCTCTTATCGACACCATCACCGAATATATACGCACCGCCTGCAGGGATTCTATGCCCTCATATTATATATTATTATCAGGGACACTACTAATTTTTCAAAGACAAATAGACTTTGATGAGTAAAAAATGAGCGTGTGAATTTGACAAATGCAATACATTTTCATGTTCAAAATAATTTTATAAAAAAAAAATAGATATTTGTTAATGAACTTGAGTGGAACTTGCTAGAACAAGTCTGTAGTTGAAATTTGCGTTCTTATTCTAGTTTTCCGGTGTTATTTTGAATTCCTGTTGATTGTCTATTTAGTATTTTGTGTATATATGTGTGTTTTATAAGAGGTAAGAATCTATTTAGTGTAGATATGTTCGGTCCCCCGACCCTGGGGGAGGTGATTGTTCCATCCAGGATTCCCTTGCCGCCCCGACTCCTATTGACCCGATCCCGATTTCCTCTTCAAGCAAAAGACAAAATGTATCAGATCCAAAATCTACCCACTTGTAGAAAAAGAATACCATTGCCCAGTCAGTCGGTTCGATCCAGTCAGTGTATACGGTGCCCGAGTATGAAGTGTCAAAAAAACGCTATTCAGATCAGGACGAAGCTACTTTCTTGATCCATGTAAGTAGTGAGTGTGAGCCTTCCTCTGGTACCTCCCTTCGTCCCATAAAGTTTGACCTCTTCTTACATCAAAACCACATCATGGACATATTTAAATCAGCAAATGCGGCTAATACCTTCCTGGATCACTCAAGTCTTGTTGCATTTAATACAATGCCATTATTCCTACATTTAATGTTACCTGTATGGATATAGTAAGAAATGTGTCAGTTGAGTGGTCTCTGGAGGAAGTAGTCACACCATTAGTTGTCCCGGAGCTGATAAGAGGTCGGCGCTTAAACAGAAAAACTGCAAACAGCAATACTACGGTTTGGACTTCTACCCCAACAGTAGTACTAACATTCAGTGGTCAAAAGCTCCCCGATAAGGTTTATTGTTATTTTACGTCGCTCCCAGTTCAAACGTATATTCTACCTACCATACAGTGCAACAATTGCTGCAGATTTGGACACATTGCTTCCCAATGTCGTTCCAGAGACCGCTACTTCATCTGTGCCCAGCCCCATACGGGTAGCAATTGCAGCAATCCATCTGCTCCCTCTGCCTCTTTATTATGCTCCTGCAATCATAAAGCCAAATGTCCTGAGCATGCTAGACAAAGAGCAATCAAATTAGTGATCTAGTGAATCTATAAGGAACCGCCACAAATTAAAGAAGAAGATAATTTTATAAAATAAACATTATAATGTTTAATGATCAAAAGATTGTTAAAAGCAGTGGTGGGTTCCTTTTATCTATGGCTGTCACTGGACGTGCTGTCACACTTGTGTATAATGTATAATAATTGGCTCTGTTAAAATATTGTCTCCTTTTACCTTTTCTTTTCTTATATGTATACTTTTCATACTTTTCGTCTACTTAGACTGTTAGTTTTAAGTTAGTATAAGGCTCATAAATCATGTATCATCCTCATCATCACCTTTTGCATTTGGGAGCTGGCGGACCGCTGTATCAAATCGTAAAAGTCCTCCAGCCCCTCGAGCTCTTCATCCTTTCACCACATAGTTTTTAGTCTTCTTTTAAACGTCTGTTACTTTCACCAACATATTTATGTTAACCTGTCTCCTTTATTTTCTTGTGTTGTTTTATTTATCCACTATGTGTAATTTATTTATCTTACCCTTAGTCAATATATTTAGTTTAAAAAAAAGTGGTGGGTTCATTGAGATGTGATTATTATCTGAACTCACATTCCATAGTACTTAATAACGGAGTAATCATGGTCAGTTGCTTTGTTTACAAGATAGCCAATTTCTCTTGAAAAAAAACTACATATAGAAAAAAACTACAGTTTTATTTAAATATTATAATATTATAGTAATAATATTAAACTATAGTTTTATTTAAATACAGCCACGGGCAAAAGTATTAGGCACCCTACAGTAAGACAAGTTTTAGGGTGTTTTAGCATAGCGAGGGTAAATAAAACTGCATTTATGATTACAATGGTTTATTTTAAGAAAAAAATTAACATTTTGTAGGTCCACCTTTTGACTTAATAACCGCAGCCACTTTTTTTGGCATTGACTCAACCAGCCTGAAACATTCTTCTCTTGATATATTTTTCCATTCCTGCTGTAACGCGGCCAATAGAGCTTGTTTAGTGCTAATCGAGTGCCTGCGGATATTTTTCTTTAAAATGGACCAAATATGCTCAATCGGGTTGAGGTCTGGTGATTGTGGTGGCCCGTCCAAAAGATCAATATGATTTTCAGCAAACCACTTCATGGTATGCGCGGACTTGTGGCAAGTGGCGTTGTCTTGTTAAAATTTCAGGCCATCGGTGTTTGTATCACCGAAAATTTGCGTTATCGACGTTGCTAGTGCTGTTTCCAGAACTTCAGTGTATTTAACACTATTCATTCGTCCCTCATACAACACCATTTCGCCCACTCCGTCGGCAGCCATGCAGCCCCAGATCATTATTGAGCCTCCACCATGCTTAACAGTGGGAACCACACATTCTGAGTTGTATTCTTCGCCAACCCTTCACCTAACATAAGTTACACCCGGTGTTCCAAACACCTATGCCAAACGAAAAAAACACATTTATTTTCAAAGTTATTATTTTTCTTGCAGTACGTTATTTTAAAAACATTTATGTGTTTTAATATTGTACATAAAATAAATAACAATACCTCAAAGTTAGATTCGTCTGAACACAGTATGTTGGACCAATCTTCAACTGACCAATCTCTATGTTTGAGTGCCCACTCCAACCGATTTTTCTTATTGTGTTCTGACAGCCACGGCTTCTTCCTTGCTTTACATCCTTTTAATCCAGCTTTAAGAAGTCTTCTTCTCACAGTATAAACACTCACTGAGCTGCCTTTTGCCTCAGATAATGCTGCAGCGAGCTCTAAAGCAGTTTTTTACCTGTTTTGTAGAGACTGCCTAATCAACAATCGATCTTCCCGTTCAGTAGTAACTTTTCTTCTGCCTGTTCTTGGTCTATTTTCATGGGTGCCAGTCTCTTTGAAGCGATTTATAGCATATTGAACTGCACATCGCGAGCACTTCACTTCTCGGGCTATTTTAACCTGAGACATGCCTTGTTCATGTAAAATCTTAATTCTTAGACGCTGTTCAGCACTAAGTTCAGATTTTTTCGGCATGATTAACACGTTAAATGTTAGTCTTTAGAATTGTGATAGGAATAGTTGCGTAGAAGACGTGTATGTTCACTGCAAGCACTGATAACACACTTATAACCCGAAACGCAAAAAAAGCAAATTCGAAGAAACACCGTTTAGGAGCACACCTGGATGTCATAAATATTTTCTTTTATCTTAATTTGGTTAAAAATTGCCGCTAATACAATAGCTAAACCATAAAACACACACTTGACCGCAATATAATGAGATAGTGACTAACAATAGGGGTGCCTAATACTTTTGCACGCAGCTGTATTATAACTGCGACAAATTTGAGTCACTCTTTTCTTGAGGGGTTTAAGGGTTCATTAACGAAGTGACGATACGTACTCCATATTCTTTGATCAACAAAAGTTGATAAAAGAATATGTCATACAGGTCACAGTTTTTTTTACCTTCTTGATGATATTTTTATACCTGGAACCATGTTTAAGAATACTTCTGACCGATATCCGTGTTTCTTTATCTAAGAAAGAAACTTTGGTAGCCAATTTTTAGATAATTCGTTAGCAAATGATAGTTTTTATTTCAATATTCAGACAGAAAATTTTTAGGAAACGCCGAGAACTCAAACAATAGAAATTAACTATTTATATTAACTTCCACATCACATCTAATAATGTACACGATAATAACGATTTTAGTGGTACTGTAACGTTTGATTCTTAGCCAAAACGATGTTATCTTGTGCATTTCTTTTAAACTTATCACATTCTATATTTTATAAGGTATTTCTAGAGATGTTTTGGCCCTTGGCCGGCTAACATTTTAAAAGATTTGGTTAAGTTTAAACTTACTAAAATTGTACTTAATTCAAAGATAAAATGTCTTTTATTTTATGTTTAATACTAATTGTAATGGTTCGTGAAATCGACCTATATTTGAATGTATTTTGGTGGCCATTATTAGAAATTTCCCAAATAAATTATATAGCACAACATTTCCATATCTATTCCTGATTATGTGGTAACTTGAAAATGATGCCAAATAAACTGATCTCATACATACAATTTACATTCCAGTACTTGTGAAATATGTTTATTTATACCATATATATTGTGTAAGTGTAGTTGAAATAAAACATTCCAATAATAATCATTCTTTTATTTATTTATCCTAAAGAAAGTAATTTTAAGTGTCATTATACATATTAATTATAGAATGGGTTGTACGTGACCCAATGAGCTCTTTGTTGATCTTTTTCACTCTTGTGTGATGTAAATATAGATTTGTATACTTCACTGCTTTGAGGATCTTTGGCGATGCTGTAATCTTTCTTGGTCTTTTTGTATGAGGGGTCCTGCTGTAGTTGGGTCGGATGTGCCCTTTTGGTGGAACCGAAGTGACCTCTCTGTTGTTTGTTGGGGTTAAACTTTGGTAATGCTAATGGAATCGTGTCTAATTCCTTTTTAACCTTAGCCTCATCTTGAGACGTTACATCTTTTGAGGTTGAGGTTGATGGTGCTTCTGATGATATAGCTGGTGAAGGAGGTTCAATTTTCACTTCCGTTTCTACTTTTCCTGTTTTAGGCTTCTTAGTTTTTCTATTAGAAACTCGTACTGCCATCTTTTCTTTTAACTGTTCAAGGTCTTCTTCAGATCCATTGAGCACAACCACATCATTGTCTGTGAATGGTTGTTGACACTGAGAAGAGAATATAAAAAGTATTTATAAATACAAATGTATATAAAATGAAAAAATGCACAAATTTATTTATTTTCAAGATGCAAAAGAGACTAAAATTACTATAGATTATTACCATATGACACAGGTTCTGTTTGACCTCCTTCAGAGCTCTTTCCGCCAGCACACAGCCACAGTTCCATAGGAACACGAATCTGAACTTGCCGCTCATTTCCAAGCCGCTGATGGGACAGATGTATGGTGAACTGTCTCCGACGGCACCCTCGGTGTGCTCTGTCTTCTTATATGCGGGGTTGTTGATGAGTTTCAGATTGCAGACATCCTATTATAAATAAATATTTGTTAAGTATGTGTTAACATACAGTTCATAAATGTATTTCACTGATTTGACTTGTTTATTATATTGATTAGAGATATTTTCATTTGCAACTTTTCATATGCTTTAGTTCTGAATACTATACAAGGTTATTTAAATACAAGCAATAAAAACGTTGGCTAGATCAATGTGCTAAGTTAAATTATATACTATAGTTTCACTTATATTTATCAAATGGATAGAAGTTGCACATTAGTTATGACTAATCATAATTGACATGCAACAAACTCTAAAGTTAAGTATAATATAAGAATATTTGATTGTTAATGTTACCTTCAAGTTTTTGATGTGACTGATACACTCTGGTTTAGATTCCTTGTCCAGCAAAGCCTCCAACACAGAGCTCTTACTGTAAAGTCGACCTAAGCCACAAGCAACTATTGGTTCTTGCAAGGGTTGTTGCGAAAGAGCGCAATTACGCCATTTGAAGGAGCGTTCAGCATCTTTATCTTTCTAAAAAGGAAGAATAACTAATTAAAATAATGAACTAAATATAATATTCAAGGAACTCATTATATAGAATTACTACTGTAATCATAATTACCTGTTCTGGTTTCTTTTTCAATCGTACGAGTTCGTCGCGGCGTGGTATAGTACCTCCATCACAACCCATGGTTTTTTATTTGTTCACCGTTTTAAAAGACTATATTAAATAGAAAAAACTACTAAACACAAACACAAATTACTGAGTTTGACAGATGTTGGCAGTGCGATTTTTTTTGTTATGTTCGTTCCGTTCAGAACAGGCAAGGAGAACAAAGCCTATACAGCCGTGTCTTTTATATTTTGTATCTTTAATTATTTTTAAATGTCTTAATATCCTTTTTATTCCAGACTCAAGTTTTTATATCAGGCCTAAGCCATGTCTTCTTTTAATTTTCTTCTTAAAACATTTTTTTAAATTTAAGGTCGAAGCAATGTCATCTTTTAACTTTTCTTCTTGAATCCTTTTTTAATTATAAGGCCGAAACCATGTCTTTATATAAAATATTTTTTTTTTTGTCAAATTCTTGTTTTTTTTTACATTCCGTCTTTTTCAATGTCAAGTCCTTGTAATGTCATTTTTAGTACAATAATTAATTTGTCAAAATCGATATAACAGTCAAATTCTGAAAATAGCTGGGAGCGCGGGATATCTTCAGCAGTTTTAAAAATACTTAAAAGTTGGTCTACAAGGACCATCCTTTGAATACTTAACTGTGGACAATCAAAAAATGTATGTTCGAGGGTTTCATCAGCACTATTGCAATATCTACAAGTTGAAGAGTCAAAAACACCAATCCTAAAAAGGTGAGCATCAAAACGACAATGTCCTAGACGCAAACGACAGATTGTGGTATAATACTTTCTATGGCTATAGTTACTACCCCGGGTAAACCAGGGAGAAGAGACCTTTTTCTTTATTGTAGCGAACCATTTTCCTTTTACCTTTACCACTTGATGCCACAAGTTGTAAAATTCCTTCTGTAACTTGAGTTTGAAGAGGGATAGAGCGTCTGAATAATGAATTGGGAAATTTAAAAAGTTATGACTTAATTGATTGTGGGCCGGATTTGTAATAAATTCAGCTAAATAGTCTGCTTGCTCATTACCATGCACACCAATGTGGGCTGGTGTCCAGAATTGGACTTTTAGAATTGCTTGTTTTGAGACAGCTGTATACACAGCTATGGATTCAGCGGAGTATATGCTTGTGAGTGGATTCAGCCTATGACTGAATCCACTTTTGGTCTGACTATCATAGACAGCTACAGGGACTGCTTCATTGTTCCTAGACCCATCTGTATATATCTGATGATATCCCTGCCACCTATCAAGTTCCTTATAAATGTCTTCCTTATACTTTAGAAGACTTTTGATTACAATTTTAATCTGAATAAATTTTGATTCATATAACCCAGAGTAACAAGGCCATACCATGCTAGAAAATATATTATGTTTATTAAAAATTTGTTCTGTTTCAGAAAAACCTTGAAACAAATATGAATTAATATTGGCAGTCCTGTTAATAGTGTCCCGTAGTTTAACAAGAAGTGTGTGATTACTGACGGAGAGCAACCTTGCAAAAAATTTTGATTGTAAGTATTTAAACCTAAGTGCTAATGGAGGTATATTACATTCCACCTGCATTGACACTATAGGAGTAGTTCGCATTGCACCCGTTATAATATGCAAACATTTATTCTGTATCTTTTCTAATTTATCTACTATAGTTCTTAACCCTGCAAAACAAAAAAAAGCATATTCAAATTGACTCCTTACTAATGATTTATACAATGTTAAAAGAATCCTTGGATCAGCACCCCAATGTGCCTGTTAAAGATTTTATAACATTACAAGCATTTAAAGCTTGAGATTCTAGAGTGTCAGCATACTTATTCCATCTAAAATTATTTGTAAAAATAATACCTAAAAACTTTACAGAGCTCTCTACAGACATTACATTATTATTGAACAAAATATTTACATTCCCATTTCTAATTACATTTTTTGAAAAGACAACAACTTTACTTTTTTCATTGCTGACCTCCAGCCCAAGGCTATCAAAATAGTTCTTTAGTCTTTGGAGAGCAACATTGAGGACTGATTGTACACGTAATAAATTAGTATCAGAGCAATAAACAACTAAATCATCTGCAGATTAGAAACTTCACACCCCAGAGTTAAATTTAGCTGATTTATGAATAGGATAAAAAGCAATGGGCTCAATACACCACCCTGTGAATGCACCCCTACAAGAATATCTTGGACCAAATAACTGATTGTTGACCTTAACAAACACCTTTCTGTAGTTCAAAAAATTAAAAATCCAATTTACAACTATTCCAGGTACTTGTAGCAATAATAATATTGAGGATAATTTGTTGAGATCTACATTATTGAAAGCCCCTACAATGTCAAGAAAAACACCAACTAGTACTTTATTCTCGGAACGAGCATCGTGGATATCCAGACAGAAATGACGTAGACTCTCACAAGCAGAACGGCCACAACGAAAGCCAAACTGATTGTAAGGTAAAAGATTATTACTTTCTATGTGAAAAATTAATCTCTGTTTTATTAATTGTTCGAAAATTTTTCCAACACATGAACTCAGTGTAATAGGACGATAAGAATCAGCCAAATTTAAGTCTTTGCTAGGTTTTAATATTCGTATCAAACAGTCAGTTTTCCAATCCTCTGGGATAAGAGAAGACGACCATAAACTATTTAATAGACTTAAAAAAATAGATAGAGTTTGAACATTTAAAAGTTTAAACATTTAGGAAAGCCAATCCAGGCCACATGAAGAATCTTTTCTTGAGGCTAAAGCAGATTTTTAACTCTTGCATAGTAAAACAACCGATCATGTATGAATTATCACTATTTACTCCAAGAACATTACTTATACTTATCTGTTGTGAAACAGTATCCGGTGTGTATTTATATAAAAATGTTTGAACCCAATTGAGGTCAGAAAATAAGTTAGAACTCGGAAAGCTTTTTTTAAATTTACTTATTTTAGTCCAAATGCGATTTATAAATGTCAAACGATTTATTGATGAGCAGAATTCAGACCAACTTTTACAACGTTCTTCTTTTAAAGTGCGTTTTTTAAAGGCTTGTGCGCGTTTGAAATTAATGTAATTTTTACTATTAAGACTAGTTTTGAAATTAATGTAGGCGTTCTTGCAGTCTTCTACTACTTTTGAACATTTATCATTCCACGAAGGTACTTGAAACCTTTTTCTAGGATGGTTATTATTACTATCAGTTGTGTTATGGTTTAAGCTGGGACCGGAGAATTTGATTTCCAATAGAATAATTGCACAAAACTTTCTGTATGAGTCAAGGAGATCACTATTGTCAACTTTAAAGTTCATTAACATTTTATTAACAATTTGTTCATACCTATCCCAATTTACTAATTTCAGATTGCTGTGAAAAGGAATATTGTTCAAGGAAATAAAGGGCTCATGTTGATCTCTTACGAGAGTAAATTTTGTGATAGTTGGCAGATGATAACTGCCTAAAGGGTCCTGATGAACTTGCCAGTCACAAGAAAGAAATAAAGAAGAAGACACCATAGTTAAATCTAGACTGTTTGGATTCCAAATATGAGAGCCTATAGTTGTTGGTTGACCATTATTCAAAAGTATTAAGTCATGGTCATCCATGGCATCCATAATAGCTCTGCCCCGAGAATCTATGCGACTGCAACCCCACAAAGTGTGATGGGCGTTAATATCGCCTGCAATTATAAACGGTTTTGGAATACTGTACAATAAACGATCGAACTTCGCCTTTTTAAAAGCAGGAGAACTATTACCAGGACTGTAAAAACTAACCAAAGAAATGCATTTATGTTTCAGTTTAATAACAATTACTACATTTTGTAACGAATCATCATAAAAAGTATCTAGTTTAGAGAAATGTATACCATTTTTAATTAATATTGCTATGCCATTATGATCATTAGCGCAGTCATTCCTAATAATGGTATAACCACGTAAATTAAATTGAATACATATTAGGCTTGAGCCAAGTTTCTGAAATAAGAGCTACATGTATATTATTTTGGTATAGAAAATTTTGAAACTCAAGTCTGTTACTTAACAGACTGAGCGTTCCACTGTACAATATTTAAGATTTGGTGGTTGAATGTGACGATTTGCTATTTTTATCCTGGATGGTTTCTTTAATAGCTGAGCTAATAAATTGTGAACTAATACTTATATTTTGAGTTTTATTTAGAGTAATAACTTTTACTATAGATTCTGTTAATAGGGTCATTGCTTCAGAATTTGATAGTATTGCTTGGATTACTTCTTCTGTATTTAATTTTTTATTAAGGGAGGGGAAATTTAATGAATTTTTTAACGTGTCAGTATATGACTTGGGTTTACTGTTTGCGATTTTTTTTGCCTTATAGGGCACTGGCTAGAGATCGCAATGTGATTGCCATTACAATTAATGCACTTAGCTTTTTCAAAGTTAACCTTGCATTCTTTAAAAGAATGCCCCTCTGTGCAATTCATCGCCGTCTCATCGGAGCATCGCGGTGAATTTTTACAAAATTTAAGCAGGTTAATTTAATAATATAAATAATAAATTGATATAAATATAAATAATGATACAATTAATTAAGTGTTACGTAAAGCACGAAAACCTGCCAAGTTCAAATTTAAAAGTATTATAATTTTAGATATTTTTAACCAAGCACCTACGTATTTTCACAACTATACCATATTTTAAGTTGGGTGTATGGTAAAGTGAATTTTGGCCAGATGGACCGTTGACGTGAATAAGGTGGCGGGTAGTGGCTGGATGTGGAAGGCAGAGGACTGGGTGTGGTGGCGAGTCTTGGGAATGGCAAATGTTTACCAGTGGATCATGCTGTTGATGAAGATGATTATGATCGATTTCAAAGTGCATCCAAACTTGGCATTAGATTGGATTTCACCCCTTTTTTAGGCAAACAATTAGCCGATTGGAACTTGGCCCCCTTTTTAACAGGCATGTTTTTGGTGAGATGTATATCATACGCTACTAATACCTAGTCAGTATACCTAAGTAATAGCAGTGACGTGCACAGAGATTTGCAGTAGGGTAAGCAGAATATATGTATATGAAAAATAAAATACCAATTTTCATAATTTCCTCCTCTAAAACATTGATAATAATTATATCTTTCTCAAATATTGTCTATTGATTTGAATTTTAAATGTAACTAGTATTTTAATTATTTTAAACGGACAGACGAAATCTGCCGTGATAACGATTGCTGCAAAGTAATCGAATCGTCGAAAGTATGTAGTTTTTAAACATAATAAAATACGCGAAGAAATCGGAAACTATTAGTTTCATTTAAACATTGATAATATTCGCACATAATGTTACAGCAGTCCAATAGAACGAACATCTATACACTATACGAATCTCTCAAATATCTCTGAGCCACGAAAGTACCTTAAAACGATTACGATCTGTTCATCACAGCTTTATAGAAGGTACTTAAATAGGAAAATGAAACATTCTTATTATTATCATTAGAAAACAAACAAACAAAATAACTTATTTGTGTGTACACAACCTGCTAACTAATTAAAACTATCATAATACTTTTTATTAAAACGAATAACATTACCTTTCTTTTAGTTCAATCTCAACTGGACACACACCTTCACTTTAGACTTATTTAATTTTATTATCAAACGACTAACTAATTTCTATAGTAACATATCGCAAGCACAGAGTTCACACCTACAATTTTAATAATTTTGTATAATTTTCCATAATTCGTTAATAAATAAATTCACTGTTTACTAATTAAAACTCATACACTTGCGCTTAGAAAGACATATGACATTATTCAATAATAATAAAATGGCGAAAAAAATATATGTATAAACATTTTAAACAATACAAAATAATAATTAATCAGTGCTTGTCGAACACTATGAATGTGTTAGTTTTACACACACATACAAACAAACATATCCTGCATACAGACACGAGATTTGTAGATCGTCCTTGAGAATTTTTGTATGGAAAATAAGCACATAGTGGTTGCGCATACCGCGGCTCTGGATGCATAGCGGCGCTAGCATTCAGTAGTGGCCGTTTGAAAATTTTTTGTTTTAACTACTTTATAGAAGGCACTTTTAACAAATCGTGAACCGAATGAAATTTTAAATGTCTGTAAACATATGTATTTCGTAATGTTTGACTAAAAGTACTTAGGTAAGAATTAAACAATATAGGTTTCGTTGTTATATGGGTAGAATATGCAGTGCTTATTTGCATCTATGGTGTGCAGGCCACTAGGTAATAGAGTACAAAAAACAGAAGCGCTACCTATTGAGAAGTATTATTAAAAAATCCTTACATCTTATTTAAATTATAAGCAAAATGATATTATACTTTATATTTCTAGTTTACTGGTGTCATATGATGATATCGTATTACATAAAGTATTAAATGACACTCATGATAAATATTGAATTCTTCAGAACATTATATATTTTTATTCAATACTAGCTGCCCGGCGGACTTCGTACCGCCCTATAATGAAGAAATATCTGTAACCTTTTTATCTGAATGAAGTTAATTTCCTTATTCCTCAATGGAGTTTGGCCTGGTTTCCAACCTGATAAACATTATTCGCTGTTTCCACTTTTACATACATATCAACAGCATATTGGTGACAGAGATGCTAACATATTCTTCTTGTGTATATTGTGTATAGTGTATCGTGTAAACTGCAAACTGTATCGTGTAAATTGCAAACTGTATCGTGTAAACTGCAAACTGTATCGTGTAAACGGCAAACTGTATCGTGTAAACGGCAAACTGTATCGTGTAAACTGCAAACTGTTTCGTGTAAACTGCAAACTGTATCGTGTATCGTGTAAACTGCAGACCGTAACGTGTATCGTGTAAACTGCAGACTGTATCGTGTATCGTGTAAACTGCAGTTTGTACAGTATATATACTACTGGAGTGTATATACTTCATACAAAAAGCTTCTAAAGAAGAGAAAGCTTGAAATATTACATCATCATTACAAAAAGTGCGCAAATTCATAAACACAAAAAATATTACATTTGAAAAACTGATTTTGCAGTGAATTCTCTTGTAAATTTAATAGTTTTGGCTAATTGTTTTTACGACTGGTCGCAGGTTTTCGTGCTGTACGTAACACTAATTAATTGTATCATTAATTTATTATGTATATAATTAAATTAAATTAAGCGCTCCACATTTTTTTCACAATAATATTAATTTAAAAATAAATTAACAAACAATAAATGGTATTTTTGTGAAAAAAAGCGTGGGGAGCTTCATATATCACTTCTTGAGAGGCGCCCCACGCTTTTTTTTCAATAATACTATTTATTGTTTATTTTAAGCAATTTAAATTAAATTGTTGTTCCAAGGTTGTAAAGGTTAAATTAGTTTCCAAGCGGTTTCTTTCATCATTGGAGCGTGTTTTTTAGTTTTTTTAAACTATATTTATTTTTTAGTTTCATTTATCACCGATTGATAGATGTACTCATATTATTAATTATTAATATTTCATTATTATGTATTTTATTGTGCTGAGCTGAGCGCCTATATATATATATCGGCGCTACCAGCTTTAATAACGGATGCGACTTGAAAATAATTTGAGGCTGTCATCAATTCTTATTAAACCTCATTAGTATTTATGATTATTGTTAAAAGTAAAACGAAATCAAAAGAGAATAGAACTATGTTTAAATCTTGTTATAAATATGACGTCGGGACGCACGACGGCGAACTCCAGATTTGAGAATTCAGAATTCAGAGTTCAGTGAGTGCGTATCATTGAAGTATGTGATTGTGAGGAACCTTCTAGAAATACAGGAGCATTAAGAACAATTGCAGTTTCATTTTAAAATATCATGCAACGCTCTAGAAGAAGTGACATTTGTAACGTCAGCGAGGCTGGCGTCCCTCTCTCTTTAAAATCAACGAATATGTAATAAATCCGATATATATATCTATAGATATTATTCTATAGTTTTTTCTAAAAAACTTTTTGTCGCCCGGATATTTTTTCGTCTGGTCTGGATATAATGCCGTCCCAATATTTTATCGTCCCGATATTCTTGCATTATTTTTATCTTCATATTCTTCTCCTCAAACTCTTTCATTTGATACCCATATCACAGCAGTGCATAAGAAGCGTGTTAAAAAAAAGGAGAGTTATATACATACAAACAAACAAACATACAAGTGATGCTAATATACAGCATGTAATAAAAATTCGATATTCGATTAAGCCAACTCACGCTTGACCGATTTCTTAAATTTTTTATTACATATTTTATACCCCCCCCCATTTCCACCGCTTCGTATTCTCATTGTATTCACTTGAGTTGGTTTTGTTTCGGAGTTATTTATCATTGTAATCTTTAAAGTTTTTTGTTGAAATTAAGTTATGTCAAAGACAATTTTATTCACAATAGACATTGCACGCACATGCGCATTTCAGCTACGCACAATCAACATCGCGACGAGATGCAGCGAAACGCTTTGTTAATTTTTAAGTTACCCAAATTTTTAAACACGATATATCTTTTGAATGGAGTATCCGATTAAAATAATTTAAACAGCAATATAAAGGTATTGAACTACTGTTAAATAAAAAGTAAGTTATTTAGATAAGTATAAATACCATGGTATGAATATCGACATCTTATTTTCGTTGCCGATTTAAATAGTTTATTAAACTATAAAAGTTTTTATATTGGCGTAACTATTATACTTATATATATACTACTATAATACGGTCAACAAAATCTTAGTACATTATTTTGCTCCATCATCAATAGTTATTGCAGCGCACGCGATTTAAGGTATTTCAATAGTGATTTTCATCGACCGTGGTTTATTTTATCGAAGTTTTCGCAAGATCCCTAACTTTTTTCAAAATAAAATATAGCCTATGTTACTTTGGAAAGATGTACAATCATAATGGTGAAAGAATTTTTAATATCGGTCCAGTAGTTTTTGAGCCTATTCGTAACAAATAAACAAACAAACAAACAAAAAAATATTACCTCTTTATAATATTAGTTTATTTGATAGTAGTCTATAATGCATCAACTGCTCACAAATAACGAGGAATATTTAATTACATAAAACACAAGGTTAAAATTATGATTATATGTTTACAATAAATATTACTCTTTACATTCCATAGGCTACAGAAGACCATTTGTATCTATCTCTATTTGTAACTATCTCAGTAAATTAAAGGATAAAATAATAACAGTTTTATAGTTAAGGTTATATTTATGAATAAAGATAAAGTAAATATTAAACTTTTCTGGATATTATTATTTTAACTGTAATAATTTTCTACAGGTAGATCCAATCATCTTATTACCTTATTTATTTTCCCCACTAACATATTATTCTTAACTGAAAAGAAATTGGATATATTTTTTTCACAACTTTTAAACGAGAAAATAAATTTCTTCATTATTTTCTCTTGTAATTAAACCATATAAAAAAATTCTTGTATCAATATTATCATTGATTACTTTAATTTATAAAGTAGGTGTAAAATTAAAGTAAATCATTGCTATTGTATGATAAGTAATTTGCATACATTGAGATGTATTTATAAGACAATATATCAAAATCTTACAACATTTAAGCCATATTCTTTAAAGTAGTAACATATTTAGGTGTAACTTAAGATATTCATAATTATACATTACCTGGTCGATTTAACAACAATAAAACAAAAACTGGAATAAATCAAATAATTTAATAACTTAATACATTGATTACACTTATAGTGCTACTATATTTAATGAAACTTATTTTTATATTGCAACACCGTCTGTGTGAATCCTCGCAGTCCCGCGGGAACGCCCGAGGCTAACAGATGCAAGTGACCGGCCTCCGCTAAGTAGTTTGCTTTGAGTAGTTCATTAGTAGCCCACGTAACTGAGTAGTGATTACCGTCTTCGCCTGTATTTCTTCTGATAATGTAGTTTATAATAAACGAATAAAGAGGACTGAAAACCATTTTAATAAACATCCCCTGATCTAAGAGTTCCCTGATCAAATCGTCGTCTATATTCTCATTTTTGATTATCTCCTGAAACAAAAAAATTGCTCTAAATTTGTTTTTTTTTTTTTTGTGTCTTAGATATTTATTTATGTTATACTAGCTTACTCGGCAGACTTCGTACTGCCTCAATCGATAAATAAATAATTTTTATTTATTTTTTTGGAGTTTGCCTTTAACCCATAAATATCAGTGTTTTGAAGTGCGACAGAATGATTGACATATTAGTTAGTCGTCAAATCTAATGTTAAAAAAAACGTTTGTATGGGAAATAGAAAAGGGCTGTTTTTAGGGTTTTCCCGGAAATGATTAAATTTTTTTCAGCTTTTAAACCTTCCCTGAACCTCCACGAACATTTCAAGACTAAGATAATATAAATCCGTTCAGCCGTTCTCGAGTTTTAGTGAGACTAAAGAACACAAATTCATTTATATATATAGATAGATATACCTTATGTTTGTCCACAAATTGTACTAATAGATCTACTGAGCATTCACATTTACTGAGCAGTATGACCCAGATGGTGTTGAGCGCTGCGCTCTCACAGGCCTCGTTGGCTATTATCTTCAGCTCCTGTGAATACATAATTTAAAAATTTAGGAATTTAGAAAAAGCTTTCATATACTATCGTCAGGAATAGTGCAAATCCGCGTAACTAGTAATTATCTAATCCCGCGTATCTACAATAGAAACATCAAACAGCTTTATAGAAGAATGTTAAAAGTATGTTTAGGTTTTTGGGTACGTGTGGTATATGAACATAGAATTTGAGTACTGATACAAGTTGCTCACAAGACGAATCGAGGACCTATGACAATATATATAAGAAAAGTTATTTATACTAAATTTAATTATATTGCAAGGAATTAATAATTTATTTTCCTTTTCTGGTTTTATCCATACTTAATGTTCAGTCTGCCAGTTTTTGTATAAACAAAGTCCATATAGAAATAGTTGAATTATATAATATATGATAATAACTAATTATATTCACCTCGTCAGTAATCATAGGCCTCCTCAGTAATAGTTGTAACAACAGTCGCGCCTCTCTCGGCGGCTCCAGGCAAAGTTTCTGTGCGAGCGAGCCTTGAGCACTCATACCGCCAGCACTGGAGATATGTCATTGTGTTATTTATAATATTTTTTCATTTTAATGTTTTTTTTGCTTAAATCTATGGACCTACTTGTAATCGTTCAGGTATTGATATAAAAGGGTAGATACTAATTGTGTTAGATAGACAATGTATGCTAAAAGTTTTTGGTACAGCCATAAATGAGATAGTTCTACAATTGTTTTTATATGTTTACTAGTTTTTGCCCGCGACTTCGTTCGCGTATGTCTCTGAATTAATATATGTATAGCTGATCGGCGAATTTTATTCCGCCCTAGAGGCCATAAATAACCAGATATTGGAATTTACTAAGTTCTCTTTTTTCTCCTGGGTTAATAATTCCTAACTCCTGAGTTAGAATATCTCCACCAATTTTCTACCATATCCGTACAGCAGTTCTTTAGTTATAATTGGTGTAACTAACACGACTTTCTTTTATATATACGACGTGTAACATAATTAACGCACACCCCGAAAGTAGTTTGTTCAGAATCGGAATCTGGATCGATTTTTATAGTTTTTTATGTAGGTTATTTTTTTTCTCAAATTTAGATAGAACTAAGTAAATTACAGTCATCCTACGCACGCAACACCAACAGCGAGAGTCAGCACACATCAAATACCTACGCACGTGTCCATTGACCTAGATCAGCTGATTTGACGCCACTCGACTTTTTTTTTGTGGGGGCAAATTAAATCGCTAGTTTATAACACAGAGACAACAAGTTTCGAGGAATTAAAAAATAAGATATTTTTAAAATAAGATATTAGATTTGTAAAAGTGAAAAGTAACACTGCATTATTATTTAAAATAAAACCACAATTGCGGAAACGGTCATAAAAGTGCATTGAACAAGGCGGTGCGAGTGCAAATTAAACTGTAAGTTTGTTTATGATCTTTAAATTATTGTTAATATTTTGATTCCCACCATTTAAACACGCCGACTTTGTCGTAGGTATTGTGGTGTCTAATCAAATCACGCGTTATCAGGTGTTTAACAAGTCTTATTTACAAATTTAATTTAACAAATCAGTCATTATAAAATATTGGCTTCACATTAAAAAGAAAATTCAATGTCGACAATCTTAAGCCTGATAAATCATAATGTAGTTATTTCGTATACTTATTATTACCTACTTCTTATCATTGTCAGACGGCACTCGGAGAGAGGGGCGCGGGCGCGGCGAGTACATTGTGTCTGTCTGTGTGTGCGTGTGCAGCGGAGTGTTGGTGAATAGCTGACCATATTATTTGCACGAAATTGGGATAACTAATTTCACAAATAAAAAATGCAAACGCACATATAAATAATATTTGGTGTATGCATTGCATTTATATTATTATATTCTAATTGGGGTGTTTGAGGGCGTGCGTTAATTACGTTACACGTTGTATAGTGTAGTATATACTCACAGTGGTGTCCTTGGCCAACAGGCCAGAGCATCAACCAGCGCCTTCTTCCTGGGCCAAGTGTCTCCCTCTGCCGACAGCGCCAGGTACACCTCCTCACGACCCTCCGCTGTCATCAACTTTTCCTCTGTGAACCATAATATATTGTTAGCCTCATAGCACTCTTCAAAAGACAATGTAAGACATATAGTCCTTATTATTATATAACTAGAGATATGTAGTATTAATTAGACTCTAGTATTAATTTAAATGAAATTAATATTTTTGGATTACTATGCATTATTTATTATTTTTAAATACATACTTCCGACGATTCGGTTCCTTTGTAGAAACCGTGATCACGGACAATTCAAAAACTATTTTATTTATTTATATTTTGTATTCTGAATAGAATAGTCTCAATTAACCGTCCAAGATATCCTCAAGACATCAAAAAGTGTCTTTTACTGCCACAAAGGAGTTATTTCAGTATATAGCATCAATAATGTGGTACCAGTGAGTTATTGTTACAAAGGAGTTATTTCAGTATACATCATCAACAATCTAGTTACCGGTCAGTTGCTTGGCATACTCCGAGTCGCTCCACTCGGTTCTGAACAGATCCACAGAGGAGCGCGCCACGTGTTCTAGGTCTGGTCGGTGCGTGAGTCTCGCTCGCCTGCTGATGGCCAGCACGCCCAGCAGCTTGTGCGGCTCCAGCTGCTGCTCGGCCGCGCGCTGCAGCACCTGCTGCACCAGCTCCTCGCTCACACGCACGCCCGCCTTGTGGTACTGGCACACGCGGCACACCACGCTCGACATGTCGCTGGAAATACCACGATTAGAGTGAGACGGTGATGAATTACTATGAGTGGGGGGTAGGTTCAATTAAATAAATAAGGGGGTAGGTGCAGAATGTAATAGCTGATAGAAATACGGTTGAAGTCTAGATGATATAGAGCGGTCAATTTTGTATTGAAAATAATAATTTACTATTAATATCTTAAGAACGGCTGAAAATTATTAGAAGGGTAGCTAAAACCACGAGGGACAGGATATTTTCACACTTTCGACCAAAAATAAAAAATAATAATAACTTAATAGAAATATACTAAATAGAAATAGAAAATATGCTGCTATTTACTGATTCTAAATCGAAAGAGTTTGCACAGTTAGCTATACATTTCGTAGCGAAGTCGCGGGTAAAAACTAATTATATATATAAGGGCTGAATATATCGATTATTTTTACATCGTATTCTTCAATAATGGACCAAGTCTCAAATAACCCGTCAGTCTCTATTGCTGGTGACCGACATTTAATCATCATAACATTTTCATTAGAGATTGCTCTTGACTTAATAATTTTCTTCAATGTTCCATTAAGTAAGATTCAAGATAGAGTATTATATATAACTAGCTTTCCGCCCGCAGCTTCGGCCGCGTGGAGTTCGGTTATATCGCGTTTCCAAGAGAACCTGTCAAAAGGCTGGATAAAAACTATCCTATGTTCTTTGTCAAGGTCAACTCTATCTCTGTACCAAATTTCATTAAAATCAGTTCAGTGGTTTAGACGTGAAAGCGTGACAGACAGACAGAGTTACTTTCGCAATTATAATATTAGTAGGGACTAGTAGGGATAAGACATACTCCTTGTTTCGTATGGTTGTGAGCGCGTGTTGTAACACGGCGGGCTCGTCATAGGGCAGGCCCAGACATCTCAGTAAGGACGCGAGGGCGGAGGCTCGCAGGCCGCTCCTACACAAGGAGGAGAGGGCCTCCAACGCCGGCCCGGGCTCACCACGACTTAACTCCAGGGCACTGAACATATACAGAATATTTAATACTGGCCAACAACTAGATTTTGCTATAAAAACCTTTTTTATTAATGTAGCTTTCATATACAAAATATTTTCAAATCCTGCATTAGTGAGAAATTTTATGTATATCATTATTATAATAAATTTACAATCGCCACAGCCACCAACATTAACCAATGTGAACATAATATTTGCTTGATCAATTGTAGGATTATAATTGTATATGTCAATCAACGATTGAAAACATTAGGTCGAACATAATTAAAAAAAAAATTATAAAAGACTCAAACTTCATTTGACAGTTGACATTGACATTGACAGCTGTCAGTTGTATATTAAACTCACGGCCACGCGTCAGACTGTTCGCTGACGGTCCTCAAAGCGGCCACGCTGTCCGAATGGTAGTTATCGAGGAAGCGGCCCCAACGACTTAGCTCCTGACCCGTTTCAGACCAGCCCTGCTCGCTGAGAACAAAATAATACATTAAATATACAATAAATACAACGACTGTTGGTAGAAAATAGAGTTACTTGTGTAAATATCATTATATACCAGAATAAAATGTGACTTGTTTAATAAATTCTTTTTTATTCAATAAGTGTTAGGTGAACAATAATATATAGCGTTCCATATTTATTTCTTGTTTTATACATAAACTGTTAACCGCACTACATGCTGACATCTTTATATACACACAAAGCAGTCTTTTATATGGCCTAACAAATCCTCTTTACAAAGAATCTTGGCGGCGTCGGCGGTTTATGTTGTTTCATGTTGTTTTATATATAGCTTAATCTTAAATCTAAATTATTTTAATAGAATATATTACTTCTTAGTGAATTTCATTTCGTTCTCTTGCTCCTGCTGGCAGTAGTCGACTGCTTGCATGATCATGAGGCTGCGAGTACCAGCCGGGACCCTGTACACACACACACACACACACACATGTATATACAGTGAATACACGACGAAGAGGTTATTAGAAGGATTGAGACGTATTGAATGAAGAAAAGTGAGCGGAATGATAACTCAAGTCACTCCTCCACGAAGATGATTTCAACAACCGAATGTCAAAAAATCAAGGTTTTTTGTTCAATAGTCTAGTTATCTGAGTTGTTTCTTATTAAAAAAGTAAAATAAATCAATTTCAAGTTCAAAACTGGACAATGAAGCTCATGCCCAAAAACGCTTCCAATTTGCATCAATTCTTTTTATTCTACAAAAGCGAATATCATCTCCTAGTATTTATTTACTAATAATTTTACTTAAACGTGATTTGACCTCCGTATAGCTTCTTCTGTGAAGCATGTGTTGGTGACGAACTTGAGCAACTCGTGGTGGTCCAGCTTGTTGAAGTAACTCGCGCACTGCCGCCACTGCTGCATCCACTTCTTACTGCTCACCGGTGACTCGCCCACCTGGTGGATAACATACACAATGATAGCTAATGTGCTGAACTAAAGGGATTGTATAGATTTAAATTAAACTAATATTTTGCGGATGTACTATCAGATTTAATTTTTGATAAAAAACTCCATAAAAGTAGCCGAAACTTCGGGACCATGTAGTTTTTTATCAAAATTAAAGTCGCGTAGCACATTCGAAAAATATTAATTTCATTTAAATGAATAAGACTAAATTTTAATTTATTATATCATAGAATATAAGCTATGGGGATAGAATAGAAATATTTTTGAGTAATAAACCAAAGGATAGACTGTTACAAACATCTCCATATATCTAGAGTAACTATTATACACAGTACTCACGCTGAAGAAGTACTTGGTGAGCCAGGCTGTGTACAGGGTGTGAGGCGGCAGCGGGGAGCGGAGCGGAGCGGGCAGCGAGCGGAGAAGCTTGGACACCAGCCCTACTGTGTCGGGCCGGCACACGGACACCACGTGAGAACACAACTCATCATCGGCGGGAGGATTTACTAACAACTTGTAGTCCAGCTCTGTGGACAGGCACGAGTCATTTTTTATTTATTTAAGATTCACCAGTGATAATTACATTAATACAATATTGGGTAAAAAGAAATAAAGTGTAGCTTAATTCTAAATGCATTATCTTTAAAGGCAGATACAGCATGCAAATATTAGGAAGTTTATAAATCATTTATTACATTATTACCTTATTGGTTAAAAATATTAAAATCTCTATATATAAAAATTAGGTTACAGGTGGTTCATTATATTAAAAATTAGATCATTACCTATACATATTTTGTTTATGTAAAAACTATTTATTTAATTTATTGCTGAACAAAAACTTATAACGAAATGTTTAAGTGAGGCCCTAAAGTGAGTTATAATGACATGACACAAAAACCACTATCACCAAGTAATATTTACGTAGGGTACTATATATATAAATATAAACTGACTAGCAATATCTTTTTTATGATAAAGTTGTTTATAGTAGGCCGTCTGCTCGTTTACCAAAAAAAAAAAACAAAGGTGCAAACGACCTTCCTGATGGAGGTTGTATTGACATCCGAAAAATATTTTTGCGGATGCCGATCTTATTCGAGGGATGGGGAAAGGGAAAGAACAATCGCCTCTCTCAGTCATTACAATAAACGCAGCCATAAAAGACTACTTCACGCCGATCTTCTGTGAGAGGGTGGTATTTAACCGGTCGATCAAGCCATTGTTCGAGCTGTAGTATGACCACAGCTAAGATGTACCACCTTTTAGACTGCAACGAATATGAAGGAATGGTCTTCCTATGTACCTTTAGAAGCTGCTCTAGTTTTCTTGAGCAGCTTGACGTGTTCCACAGGCGTGAGGCCGTGCAGCAGCAACTTGTCATTGAGCTTCTTCAACACATTGAACATGTTGATGAGCGCCGAGTGGTCTGAACCAGGGATCAGCGGCCACAGGTGATCAAATATTCTGGAAATAATTAACATATGCTTGTGGAGATAAAATCATCACTGAGTAAAGTACAAAGCAATCATAATGGACAACTAACAATTTAAAAGTTACTGAATAAAAAAAGTTTTCTAATCTATGATTTTTACTACTTATTTCTGAACGCACTAGTTGAATAATAATATACAGGGTGACTGGTGAATTACTATCAATATTTAGGAGCATACTCGGTACATGATTCTCATTCGAATTATGTAAAAAAAATAGGTACTTAATTTTTGACCAAATTTCCGTATAAATAAATAAAGTGTTGACACGTTCCAAGTGTGGACGCGTACGGCGGCGTGCTGATACAACACTACGCCGCCGCGAGCGAGTGTGTGTGTGTGTATACCTAATCTGTAGGGTGTTCACACGATGCGTAATTAATTACATAACTTTTGGTTAACTTTACTTAGAAGTTTATTAATATTTATGTTATATTAATTTTTATTTTGTCATATATGATCGTCAAATATAACGTCATCAAGTATCGATAGTAATTCACCAGTCACCCTGTAGATTATAGAATATTGTCTATAAACGTCATTGATTTGAAAATTTAACTTAAAAACGTTCTTAATTTTTTTAATAAAGGTGATCGTAATAAAATTAATGTTTTGGCATTACCGAACACAAAAAAATGTATTGAATATTATTGTACTTTTTCTTTCATTATTTTTCTGAGTTTCCTATGTTTTTAACAGTCAATCTTCTAATTAATATACATATAACATAAAAATACATTAAATCCAAAACCATTAGAATCAGTTCGTCCCTTCTCGTGTAACAGTGTAACTATCTCGACTATTCTTTTACCTCTGTGCAGCTTGTTCTCCTCCAGGAGGTAACATCTCCACGTCCAGGTCTCCAACAGCTGTTCCAGCATATTGCAGCCACACCTCCAAAACATCCAGCCCGTGCTTCTGAGCTAGGTAACAAGCTAACTTCGCCTGTTCTTTACCCGACCTGTATATATTGTTAATATCTTTGAATAACCTCAATGTAATTTTTATGTAATTTTCTTAAAGTTACATTTATTACACATAATATTTTTATAATACAAAATGTATGTTTTAAGAAATAAATTTAAGTTAAATTAATAATAATTTTAAGAAATTTATAGCTAATATTTTCATGTATAAGATTAAATATTAAAAAAAATACAAATATATTTATTGTTGAATCTTTAAGATGATGTTGAATAAAGACATCTATTTTAAGACACCACCCACAGCCGAAATAGCTCAGTTGGGAGAGCGTTAGACTGAAGATCTAAAGGTCCCTGGTTCGATCCCGGGTTTCGGCAAACACATTTTTTTATTTTTCCCAATTTTTTTGTTTTACAAATTGAGGCAAGATATATATTTTATATATTTTTTAAAAAATAATTTTATTTATAAATAAATGTATACACAAAAAAATAATTAAAACTAAATTTTTAATGAATGGAGAAAATTACATAATTATACTTAAATATTTTTAATGCAAAATTACCCTTTTCTTATTAAATTTATAATAAAAGTAACATAACAAAATCTCAAATTTATAATTTAAAAACATAATACATATAGTTATAAGCAATTTTTATAAGCCAATATTATGTGCAGAGTCTGATCAAATTGTCAACCAAATTTCTTGCTATCACTGTAAAGTGTGTTGTATATGAACATTTATGTTAGTATAATAATAGTTACCTTTTGCCCGTGACTCCGTCCAAGTGAACATCAAAGTAGTTCTGTGCTACTACGGCCACTGATTCCGAATTACACTTCTTAGTTCCAATCATGTAGTTTTACAATCGAGAACAGAATCTGGAGAAGAATTAGCCTATGTCCTTCTCCAAGATCCCATCTACCTCTATACCAAAAATTATCAAAACCGGTTCAGTGGTTTATTCATTAAACCGTAACAAACAGACAGACAAACAGATTTACTTATTAACTATAAGAGTATGAGTCCTCACTTGGCCAGCCTGTATATGACCTCAGCGCGGTAGTCAGGGTCAGCTTGGAACAGAGCCCCGTTGACGGTGACTCCGTAGCCCCTGACCTTGTCAACTTCCCCCACTCCGCTGAGTCGGTCAATGTACTGTCTGATGATGACCGTCTGTTCCTCAGACGCGCTGTTCTGGGTCAGTGTGAGGCACGCCATCTATACATAATATATGACTCTCATCGGTTTGGATGTATTTGAAATATATTCCAACTAGCTTTCCGCCCGCAGCTTCGCCCGCGATGAGTTCGGTTATATCGCGTTTCTAAGAGAACCTTTCAAAAGTCTGGGATAAAAACTATCCTATGTTCTTTCTCAAGGTCAACTCTATGTCTGTACCAAATTTCATTAAAATCAGTTCAATGTTTTAGGCGTGAAAGCGTAACAGACAGACAGAGTTACTTTCGCATTTATAATATTAGTAGGGACACTGTTTTTAGTTCATAGACTTTAGGTATTCAAATAAAATAATCTATTTTTAAATTAATACTGTTGATGAAAGAATACTATAACCATTTTTAATGATAGTGACCCTTCACATATTTGAAATTGAAATCAATATTGACATCAGTGTGATATTTAATCTGTATTAAAGGAAAACTCGTGAAACAGTTTTAAATAGTACATAATTATATTTAGTTTATAATATTTTCTATTTTGTTAATACAAAGTATAGTTAATACATATGTACTACTTTTATTCACAATGTTGTCAATTGTTATATGTCAGCACTATGTACTATACCTATAGTTATTATTATTATTGATATACTAGAAGACCCAGCGAACTTCGTATCTCCCTATAATCAAGAAATATCTGTTACGTTTTTTTATTTATGTTTTTGGACTTTACCTATTAAAGCCATAAATCTCCGTGTTTTGAAGTGCGACAGGATGATTGACATATTAGTTAGTTGTCATATCTAATGTCAAAAGAACGTTTGTATCAACAACTACTAATAAATTAAAAATTAATTAAAAAAACATTGTCCAGCGGACAAAATTGTGAATCTAAACCATTCCCAGATCCCTTTGAACATACACAAAAAATTTCATCATAATCAGTCCAGTCGTTTGAGAGAAGTTCAGTGTCATACACACTCACAGAAGCATTATATATATAAAGATATATGTTATTGAGTAGTGTGACCTTGGCGGGCCTGGTGCGGTATGCGGCGTCCCTCAAGTGAGGCTCGTGTGAGTGTAGCAGCGCGGCGTACATAGAGGGCACCAGCGAAGCCCTGGAGCCCGAATAACGGCCTCGACGCGCACCCAGCACCAGGCACGACACACTGAGGGGCGTGTCCTTCAACACTAACTCCTCACCGCACTTGGTCACCACTGGAACACATACACTCATATTAGTGAAGGTAGTAGAATACATTTCAAACAGTCTTATGGAATTCTCTTTCTGTACTCTCATATTATATAGAGTAATTCTTGTTGTTTTCTTTCGTGTTATGTGAAGGTGTAATAAGTCGTCGTTTAATTAAATATAATTATCTTTATACGGTGTAATCAGAGGACGCCTTAGCTTCTGGGTAAATTCGTCTATTCTACACGGGTCTGACTCAGCAGTTCCGTGTGAAGACAGTTTTTGGTTTCATATTTCTTTTATGTTTTTAGATTATAATATTTCTTTTAAGAATTTCATTAGATTTATTGTCACTATTTGTTCAACCTTTGTGCAACATAGTCGAAACCTAGTTGTAATTTACTTTATAATTAAATTAAGTCAAATAATTTTGGTTTCATTGCATCCACTGACGTCGAAATCATAATTGTCGCCCAAACCATTGTTTATAATTGAGAAAGTCTGTGTACGTTAAACATTCAAACAGATTATTGTATAACTATTGTCTGGTAACAAGTGTTATTTGAAGATAATTATTTTCTTGTCAAACCAAGGGACTTTCTGTACGTACCTTCCCCTTCCATCTGGTCCACATCCCCTCCTTCTAGACAGCTCTTCATATAGAACCACTTCAGCGCGGCCTGGCCTTGCTCGGCTAAGTCATCGGGGACGGAAAAGCAGTCGTAGCGGTAGTAGTGGGGTGAGGGCTTGTGATGAGGGTAGAGGCCACAATAGAACTCCTGGCACTGAACAGAACGCTCGCTGTCCGAACTCTTCTCACTCCTGGGGAAATAATACTATTAAGTACTGTTGTTAATAATTTAAATAAAAATATCTGGTTAGCTTTGCTCGCTATTAAGAAATTATTAGAATTTATTTTGTGTTTTTTTTTTCGTTTAGACATTTTTAAGTTAACACGGTAAGAAGACATAAAACAATATAAATTCAACAATTAATTTCTTAGTCTAACCTCAAAACAAACACTCATTTACTTCATGTTACTTAACAACGCCATCTGCTGTTATGTCGTGCAAACAATTATTAAAATCAATTAGCAAAAAGTAGTGCTATTCGCTAACAGATGTCAGGGAGAGTCATTTTAAAAGACTCCTTTTTGTGTTTTTTTTTCATAAAATGACGTTTTCTAGAAATGATTCCTAGCTAGACGTACATATTTATTGCCCCGAAAACCCCTATAAATTAAATTTCATGAAAATCGTTGGAGCCGATTCCGAGATCCCAATAATATATATATACAAGAATTTCTCATTTAAATATATAAGATAAGATATTGCTATATACGGCACCGGCAGGATATACTGTGCACGTCTTTGCACGGATGGAGGCCATATAAACAAGCAACCATCCAAAATATTGCCATAACTTATTGCTATTATTTTTTACGTGAAAAGTGGTAAACTAGCAGACGGCCTACTAGATGGGCAGTAGTCACCGTCACCTATGGACATAAGCAACATCTCTGTTACGGATGCGTTGCCAACCTTAGTTTTTGAGGAAAAGGGAGGAGTTGGGATAAGGAAATGGTAGAAAAACGTGGGAACAGCGCAACCGACGCTCTCACATATTGGAAGAAACGCATTAACTTGGCTTATTTTTGAGGACATTTCAGCCGACGTTTCCATAAAAGTAAAGCTCGTATCTTAATTAAATCGTATAAATATAATATTGATCGTATCTTGTGTTTCACTCACTCTGTTGTGGGTTTATTCTGGAACGTCTCGAGGAAGTAATTCAGTAGAGGTATTTTCTTCTCTGATGCCGGCACCAAGTCCTTAGCCTCGATCACGGGCTGAAATTAAATCAAATTGTAATTTATACATTATTAACATTTCATTTTTATTTGTTTTGTATGTTTATTTGTATCTAAGAGCCTGACGATAATAAATAACATAGGCATTTATGACGTTATTAATACTGACGTCATGCTTTAAGCACCATGGTCTAGACATAAATATATAGCAGTTATGTACTAAAAAAAATATATTCCTTTTTCATATTCATTAATTCAACTTGACTTGAGACATCAATTATTTTGTATTCTTTTTTATGGATTTTCATTATCAAGTGTTTCAAGAAAGTATAAATGATGACAGCCTGATATTCTTAAAATATTGAGAAGTGAGTTTCTGCGCTACAAGTTACTTGCTTTTATTATTGAATAAATGAATAAATAAGTACAATTTATTATCTACTGAAACCTCGAGCCCGTGTATATGTTGTTATCTATATATACCGACCGTAGTGATGGCATCTGAGAACTCATCGTCGGTGGAGGGCCACCTCGCCTCCAGACGTCTGTTCTCCCTGGCAGCCGCTCCCATCTGATGGAAACTTTCCAGCTCCAGGTTCATTCTGAATATACAGAGAATACTCATCAGATACATGGACTACTACTGCTTTGTTATACAGATTATTCTACTAATATTAAAATTTGTGAGTGTGTGTGTATGTTTGTTACTTCTTCACGCTCAAGTGGCTGAACCGATTTTGATCCATTTTGATTCTGACGTCCAGGAATTACACATAGGCTACTTTACATCCCGGAAATCCGCGGATAACACCGCGGGGCACAGCTAGTATATTAATAACTCATCGACTTATACACGCGACCCTAAGAGTTGTAGAATATTGTTCTATATGACTTCCTTCTAAGTGTTCTATGCACTATCATCAAACTATACTCCTATAATATGCGAACCTGTGTCTCAGCAGCTGGTGCAGCCGGGCGGGCGTGTCGTGTGTGAGCGCGGCGGCCAGCAGGTACCTCCTCTCGGCCGTGTCAGCGTGTGAGTGCGCGTCGCCCGCCACGTCAGCCAGTAGCGGCGCGGCGGGCCGGTGTCTTATCGCGGCCAGCCTCCTAGCGGCCGTGCTGGCTGCTCCGCCGCCCGCCGCGCCGGCTGACAGCGCCTTGCGACCGACCTCCACTAGCACCAGGCCCTCCCTATTATTATTCATTACTCATGAATGATTGGGATATATTTAATATTGATAACATTAATAAGAATTTTTAATTATAATTGCAACATACACACAGTATATATATGCTAAAGTGGTAAATTAAGAAAAAAAAATTTCCAGTATGAATTACAAATATAAATTATAATTTTTTTTACATATGTATGTTTTTCTTAAAAGTTACTTTTAATGTACGACCTATCTGAAGCAATAAAGTTTTTATTATTATTATTATTATTAAAGTATAAGCTATATATTTTTTTGCAATCGTAGTTAGCCTTTTTCTAATATTTCTTTGTCAGAAGTATATATTCTTGTCATATATCACGTAGCTCACCTCGCCTGTTCGTCGTCCCCGGCGATCCTCAACAGCTTGGCCAGCTTCAACAGCTTATGGCTCGCGAGGTAGGCGTTCGGGTCCAGGTTGAGACAGTCCTGAATCAACTTCATTCTATCCTCACAGAGTCGAACTACAACATATACATATATATTATTATAATGACGTTTTTATATAATACTAGCTTTCCGCCCGCAGCTTCGCCCGCGTGGAGTTCGGTTATATCGCGTTTCCAAGAGAACCTTTCAATAGTCTGGGATAAAAATTATACTATGTTCTTTCTCAAGGTCAAGTCCATCTCTGTACCAAATTTCATTAAAATCAGTTCAGTGGTTTAGGCGTGAAAGCGTAACAGACAGACAGACAGAGTTACTATCGCATTTATAATATTAGTAGGGATTATTCAGACGAGGTCGCGGTATATACCTTGTATGGGCAGTAGCGTGAGGTTGAAGGCGCTGAGTAGTGGTAGAGCTGCGATGAGATCCAACTCCTGCTCTATATCCTTGTTGCTATCCTCTATCAGTAGCAAACAACACCTGGAACGTGATGAATATCATAAGTAATCTACATTTTAATCATAATTTTTTGGCTATAGTATCATCATCAGCCTATTAGAACACACTGGTGAGTGAAGGCCTCTTAGAGATTAGAGCATTAACCACCAAACTTGCTTAAGACGTGTTGGTGATTTCAAATTTATAATTGTAAATTAAAAGTCCAGGTTTCCTCACGATGTTGTCCTTCACCGTAAGTCAGTGGTGTCTAAATACTCTTAGAAAATACATATGACTGGAAAAATCACATTGGTATTTTTCAGGTCCGAACCCATTCCCTCATGCACGAGAGGCGAGTCTATAACCAGGCAACCACGACTGTTCATAGTATATTAATATATACATACTTGGCCAGTTCCAGCGCCGGGTCAGTCAGACTGGAGGCTGAATTGAAGTATTCTTTCGCAGCGTCCATCACTAGCTGCACGGTCCTCGCGGGGCCCACCTGTCGTCGCGGGGAGCCTCGGGCCCCCGACACAGATAACACAGAGGGCCCCAGACGTATGCCCTCCTCGGAGCCACACGTCAATAAAGCTGATGCATAGGCCTCATAACACTGCTCCTCGGTAATACACTCTAGTAAAGACTCACGTAGTTCTAGAATATCTTTGAGCAAGTTCTCCCAATCTTGCTGGGTCGGCTTGTCCTCCCTGGAAGTTTTAATATTATTGACTATAGAAGGTATTTTATAATATAAATATGCTTCATGATTACTGTATTTCTATTCCTTACGAGAGTCCTAACTCCGTATCAGGCAAGACAAATTCTGTCTTCCATAGTATAGTAGTACATAAGTTATTGTAATTGCTTTGATATAAGAAATAGAAGATTTACGTGGTCTCTATAAAAAAAAATTAACTTTTAAAGTTTAACTTACTAATATTAAATTTCATCCTTTAAACAACCAAAATTTTTTCGTGCCTAAGACTTCCGTGTCTTACATTACCACTTACCAGTATATAACCACACCCATAGTATATATTTCAGTACCTATCGTGTAAAGATCTCGCCAGTCGCGCCAATAACGTGTGTGCTCTTGGCGGGTCCGTGTGTAGGTCCCTTAGCGCGGCGGGCGGGACCCGCAGCCCCCGCCAGGCCAAGCGCCCGCTGCCAGCCACCACGCGTTCTAACTCTGACGCACGACGCACTAGCGACGAACGGGAGATGCTCCCGTCACTGGATAACATATGAGGACTTGTATAAAACTGTCATGAGTTATAAGATTAGGACTAATCAATATATATAATATATTATTTACTATATATATTTTGTTGTTTTAATTCCTCTCAAAGATTTTACAGTTGTTAGTGTGGAGAAACTTAGCGCAAAAATTTGCAATTGCCACTCTTTTTATTCGAGTTTTAAAATTCAAAAAACGTATATGTCATCTGACGGCGTGACACTTTAAAACATGATAAAATCCTGATGATTTAACAGTGTTATTTTCTTTCATTGATGTTATTGAAGTTCAGATTGAGATAGCCCACAACCAATTGTACATTAAATTTCATAAATGAACCAAATTCTACGTATAATATACTATGCCCAGTAACCTAAATATTTTATAAATTCTATGATAAAATCTCAATCTAATGACAAAAACTCATGTGTTCATTTTAGTTCGGATATCTTGGAGTGGTATTATTTATTTGTATTATTACTTTAATAAGATAAAAATAATAATAATCATTTTTATATCAGACCACATTACATAGATCCATATAGTGTTAGTACGTTACAAATTAAACTTAATGAATGAATTGGTTAGTAAATTTATAAAAGCAAAGCAAAAGCAATTTTATTTATGATACTTTTTTTTAACTAATTTTAAACTACACATATACATATTTTACTTGACTACGTGGAGTCGTATCCAGTGTGCTAAAATTGGTGAATCCCAGCGATCCAATTTAATGTTTCCATTGAAGATTTATCCTATATATGTAAGGTATAGCTCACGTTTCCTTGAGTATAGTGTGCAGCAGGTCGCAGGCCATGTGCAGCTGGTGCGTGCCGGTGTGTGAGTACAAGCAGCGCTCTACCAGCTCGAGGTGCGTGCGCACGTCCAGCTCGAACTCGCGGGGAGACTGCAGCACCTGGGAAATATAAGCTGCTATACAGTTTCATTATATAAGAGTAGCTGTTAGTTTAGATTCAAAAACTAGCTGGAGTAATACAGAACAATAAAGGTTTTTTTTTGGTTTAAGATTATATTCCAATATTTGAACGCTAGATGTCACTTAAGAGTTAAGATAGATGAATAAAACAAAAATATACTTTTAGGGCTAAATTCACTGTAATAAGGACGAAAATACACATTAAATTTACCAGCAGTATATAGGAGAGGTCTTCAACGCTGATGCTCTCGAGGAACTCCATCATACCAGTGAGACAGATGCCGTTCTGTTTGGTCAAGTTCTCGTATCTCTTAAGGAACGGTATCACGTACTCTTTTAGATCAGACACGAACGTAGCCGGTTTAGACTGATAATAAAAACAAACATTAGAAAAAGATATAAGGAAAATATAATATTGTATTTAGATCTACCATTTTCATTAGAAGCTTGCAGGTGTCCAAGTAGGACATCTTTTCTAACTGTTCCAGAGTGACGCCTTCTACGTTGATGTCATATATGAGCGTATCCAATGTTAAGAGATGGAACATGATATTCTCCAAGCCTTCCACGGCGCCTCCCACGGTTGCTATGGTAACCAATGTAAGGGCGTGGGACACTAGCCCACATCGACCTTCAATGACCCTTGCCCTTTTCTCGTACCACTTGGCGAGGTCACCGTCTATATTACTCGCGGTCTCACTCTCTGGGGTGGTGTCTTCCGACCAGTTCGAGCTCCATATTGATCTATAGTTATGAAATAATGTTGACAATCACATATAACAATAAAGTTCCAAATTTTAGTAAAATTCCTAGTATTATATGAAGTAGACACTTTTTTATGAATGTACTAGCTTTCCATCCGCAGCTTTGCCCGCGTGGAGTTCGGTTATATCGCGTTTCCAAGAGAACTTTTAAAAAGTCTGAGATAAAAACTATCCTATGTTCTTTCTCAAGGTCAACTCTATGTCTGTACCAAATTTCATTAAAATCAGTTCAGTAGTTTAGGTGTGAAAGCGTAACAGACAGACAGACAGACAGAGTTACTTTCGCATTTATAATATTAGTAGGGATGGATTTGTATGAGTGTATGTTGGGTGTTGTGTCTCATAAAAAAACTACAGAATCAAATTTAATCTTACGTTGTGATAAAACAAATATTACTACAATTCGACTGGATAATGCTTGACTGTCATTCCAGCCGAGGAAGGATGTAATGAAGTTGTAGCTAGTGATAGTGCTATATCGGTAACAGAGTATTCATTTTAGCTTCAAAGACATTCAAATTATAATTGTAAGGAAACACAGACGCAGGTAATGAATTCCAATCATTTTGATATGCTCATGAGAAAGAAAGCGTACCGCTTTGTCTAGATGCGAGAATGGAAACACTTTATAATTTACAATGAAAATCTCTGAAGACTTTGGGGTCGGGAAAAGACGGAATATAAATTACATATTGTAAGAAATTACACAGCTGATAAATAGCGCTGCTTTTGTAAAGTCTACTCAAACAAAATTACAACCAGAAGCTATATCATAATAAAAATATGGGACACATACGATTTAGATACTTAGTTCATTTTGGTTTACCTGAATATATCCTTTTTACACCAATCGTTATCGTTCTCCGAGGGTTTGATCTTTATTGGAGATTTCTTCTCAAACCAGGTGAGTGGTTCCTTAGTGGGTAGAAGATGTTGGTAGTCGAGAGGGTACAGAGTTTCTGGTATCATGTCCAACACTTCCTGCTGCATCGGCAGACTCTTGATGTACGGCCAGAGGCAGGTGAGAGCCTCTATACGACCTTCTTTGGCTATTTCCATGGCACTGTGTACTATACTATTGCTCCTCAACCGGTCGTACTCATCTTTGACGTAGGTGGATTTCTCGCAACGAATTATTGCCTTGGAAATTGGAAAAATGTTTTTTGTTAAGGTTCTTCGCTTTCTGAAAGTCTATGGTTTCTTCGTACGCTAATATTCTTTAAATTGTTACAAGAGAGGTATATATTAATTCCGCTGCTATTTAAGTCATAAGTACCACAAAAACAGCAATAGATCTATTATAATTTATATATGTTTATGTCGAATTTGTTACATTTGATTCCAATATTTTCAAGTAATAAAAATGATCAAATTGTCGTATAAAAAGTACGCTAACACTAATCAATATAAAATGTAAGAATATTAAGACTTTATGAAATGTAAAGTGAAAATTCATAACAGCAAATAAGAAAAAATATTTCGAAAATATCCAGAATCCAGAAAGACATTGCTTTAATGTGATCTTTCGTCTTCGATATACTATTTTATAATACTACGGCGATATATATATATAACTTTTATTGATCATATATCGTATAGGCGTATACACTGCGAGTTCAGTATTTGTTTTATATTTTATAAAAAGTTTCTAATAGATATCTTTATCAAAAGGTAATTTACTGTGTAGGTCACATTTCTTTCAGATTATTGCAATTTTTTTGATGTGTATAAAAATTAAATACATATTAAATAATGAATATTAAACTTTGCATACAACTTGTACGAATTAACTGTGCACCTCGCTCTGTGACGTCATTAGAATGACACCGCTTGCAAAAAAAATGAGAATTATATAAAAAATATATAAATTAATATTTTTTTAAGTTGATAAAGTGTCGTATTTATGATAAGGCGTCATAATACTAGGTCATTTTACTCACGAAGTTTTCCAATTAAATAAATACATAATATGGACCGATATGATATTACAGCTTAACAATAAAAAAACGGCAAGTGGACGCTAGATTTTTCATTGCGGTGACATTTTTCATAGTCTAAGATCATTTTTGTATTTAATAATAATTAATACGCTTACGGCGAATGCGGGGCGCCGCGCGGGGTAGCGGGAGAGGGGTCGCATTCAGAGAAGGGCACAGTTGATTCGTACGAGTTGTAAGTATGAATTATGTAAAGGACTTATTCGCCTCACCACCCACAGCCGAAATAGCTCAGTTGGGAGAGCGTTAGACTGAAGATCTAAAGGTCCCTGGTTCGATCCCGGGTTTCGGCAAATTCTTTTTTTTTAAATTTTGTTAAAAGTTTGCACTTTTTATATTTCATTTTATGTACTGTTTAAATATAATATTATTAATTTCGTTATAAAAATGCAAAATCTTTATGTAATAAGTATTTTTTTAGCTCATAAGGTACTATCAAAATGGCCGTAATATATTTTATGTGTGTAATACAAACCTCATACAGTTGCAGTCTCTCCTGATAGAACAGCATAACGTGCCTGCAACGTAACAGTTCACTGGTGTAGGCGTTCAGATGTCCCAGGGTGATGTCTTCTACGTCCTGGCATTGCTCATCATCAGGCAAGTCTTTGTTGATCTCTAATTAATTGATATACAGAGAAAATAAATCCATATTGTTTATTCAATTAAACATAAAAAAGAAACTAATATTTTCAGCCTACTACGCCTCATTTTGTTTTTTTTTAAACCACATATCTATACGTTTCGGTTAATACGGGCAGACGAGATGAAAAATAGTTTTTAAAAGTAATAAAATATGATTTTCATTTAAATTTATACATCTCATAACAAAGTTATAATTTTGGATTCCGATTACATTTTCATTGATCTATAAATTTATTTTATAAAGTATTATGTATAAGTTCTTAAGCATGTTAAGAAAAGTATTAGGGACATGATGATCTCTACTAATATTATAAATGCGAAAGTAACTCCGTCTGTCTGTCTGTCTGTTACGCTTTCACGCCTAAACCACTGAACTGATTTTAATGAAATTTGGTACAGACATAGAGTTGACCTTGAGAAAGAACAGGATAGTTTTTATTCCAGACTTTTGAAAGGTTCTCTTGGAAAAGCGATATAACTGAACTCGACGCGGGCGAAAGCTAGTATAGAGTATATTTATTGTTAGAGTTGAGTTTTTTACGTATTAGGTTCTCCTTTTAAATAGATCGTCATTTCATAGTCAACCCTGACTAAATATACACAGTACACTGTACAGTCATTCATATATTAAATTCGTAATATTAAGAAATCTATATCTGTTATATTATATACGTTACCTTCCAGTATATGTATGTTGGTGAGTTCGAGTCCAAAGTCCAGCAGATGTCGTGCGGCGGGCGCGCTCTCCGGCAGACGGTCCACACACTGGTGAACCACCCAGATCTTCTTGGACACTTTGCTCTATACATATATATATATATAGTATATATTAATAATTATATATCTTTATATATAAAAGAAAGTCGTGTTAGTTACACTATTTATAACACAAGAACGGCTGTATGGGTTTGGCTGAAGATTAGTGGAAAGATAGGTTGAAACCAGAAAAAAGACAAGATAGATCTCATCTGATTGACAAAGATAAAAAAAAGGTGATCAAATCCAAAATATTCTTATCTACTGTCTTTAAGGAAGAATAGAGTTTACTCAGTCAGCTATACATTTCTAGTTCTGAAACTAACGCAGATGAAGTCGCAGACAAAAACTAGTACTATTATACAGATTGTTCAATGTACCATAACTATTGACATTTAATAAAGTGTGTATTTAATGTTATATACTTTTTTGTTTTTGCTAAATTAGTTATGTTATTTGTAATATACGTATTTTAAGCGACATACATATGAGATATTGCGAACTTCATATATGTTATAACTTATAACTATTATGTTCTTTTCAAATTTGGTTAGGTAGAGAGAGGAGCTTGGACAGTGGAGGTGAGCGTATAACGCGCGTTAGACAGGAGCCTCTTAAACCTACACCTGGGTCGCAAGTCCCAGTCACTGTTGAAGATCCTCTCCCTACGATGGACCCGACACACGCACCGTGAATACATTGAATGATGAGAGGTTTCGTCTTTATAATAGTAATACTATATACCAGATAGTTATGTATAGCGTCCGTGGAGACGGGGTTCCTCCTCCACTGCTGCTGGTACACGAGGTCACGGTCCAGGTCAAAGGTCGCCGCCAGGGACAGCGCCTCCTTGTACTTGCCGCTCTCTATCTGAGGGTTGACATTAAAAAACATTTCAATTTGTAAATAAAGTGTTCTTATTCTTAATATGAAAAATGTATTAATTGTATAGTTGCTGGCAAGTATGTTGACAATAGGCTATACATACGCAGAATGTATTTTTTAAGTGTTTCAGGTATGATGTACCGAGTACACTTGCGACCACTTAAATTGGATCCCTTGTTTTACTAATTTTTCCCAGTTTCGTTATTGATAAATATCTATAGCGAGCAGTTTTTGTTGCACTCAGTGTACATGCGCAACCCTATCTCCACTACCACAAAACTTTGCCAAATTACGTGCCGGCAACTATACTTATTTCGAATGAAATAAACTGATCATGGACATATGCTACTAATATTATAACTGCGAAAGTTGCTGAGTGTGTGTGTATGTTTGTTACTTCTTCACGCTCAAACGGCTGAACTGATTTTGATAAAATTTTGTATACAAGAAATCTGTGGGTAACACCGCGGGGCGCGGCTAGTGTATTATAATTTGTTCAATATATAATTCGTTCCAACCTTCCTGGAGAATAATTCCGTAGGTGTGGTACTCTTGATGGCTAGCAGTCTATATATCCTGGAAACCACCGTTATTCTCCTGGGTTTGGGTTGCAGCGCCTCTATATCAGTGATAGCGTATAACAACGACTTTAATAACTCCTTGGTGAGCTCCAACACTGAATCCTCGGATTCAGTTTCATCTTTTGATACTTCGGAGTTCTGAAAAAAGACATTTTATGTACAAATTTGGTAAATAAAATGGGTTAGGTATGTATATAGGAGTCAATAGTGGCCTAGTGACCTGCTTCTCGTGCACGAGGGCGCGGGTTCAATCCTGGCAAGTACCAATGTGATTTTTCCGAGTCATATGTACTTTCTAAGAGTATTTAGACACCACTGACAGATGAAGGAAAACATCGTGAGGAAACCTGGACTTATAATTCCACAATTATAAGTTTGAAATCATTAACCAGTTTTGAGCAAGCGTGGTGATTAATGCTCAAACCTTCTCCATGGGAGAAGAGGGCTTGCTCAGCAGTGGGCTCTGATAGGCGGATGTCGATGTATATAGGTGATTTTAATGTATGTTATCAGTATGTGATGTATGTTTACCTGATGTTTGTGAGGCACCGTACTAGACTCGCACTCCAACGCCAGCAGAGACCCGTCGTGGGCACACGACACCTGTGTTATCGTAACATTAAGTTTCTTGACTTGTACTAAATAGTAAATACAATGTACATATATGAAAATAAGTTTTTCGTAAAGACTACAAGTTTGGAATACTTTTTAGGAATTATGGCCACGGGCCTCTGCCTGAAGGTGTCTGAAATAAAATAATAAAAACGTGGAGTATCTGAGAAACTTAGTATCATTTAGTTGTGCTTGTGTGTAAGTAAGAATCTTGGATGTTTTTATATAGATATATGTCGTTATGACCTGAGGTGTTCCCTCGAAGAACTCCGGCCCCTTGCCGAGTATGTTGGCCATGTCCTCGAGCCCGCACACAGACACCGCGCCGCTGAACCGGGACAGAATGATCTCCTGGAATATATGATTAACAGAGTTTTATTAAAATAAGTTTAAGAAATTAATATATACAGAAAAACTTTCAAATTTATAATAAGTATTATTTCAAAAATAACATTTTTAAGTGTTTCATAGTTACATTTATTACAATAAGGTAATATTGAGTTAATACTTTGATGTAAATAAAAATAATCAGCGAACACGGTATCTTATTACTCGCAGGTTCAAATCCGTTCCATGTCCACAAATTCCATTATACTTGTCTTTATGTCATACATGTCTTTATGGATTATTCATTGTCTAATCGAACCTCATTGCTCCACCAGGTGACGTCAGCGGGGTGTGTGTATGCGGGGTCGGGGGCGGGGCCTCGCCGCGGGTGGGGGAGCGCGTGTCCCGGCTGAGCGGACAGGGCGAAGCGCCGCACCGGGGACAGCACGGGCAGGCGCCACACGGACAGCTGTCCGGACGAATGGACACACACCAGGGACTGGCTGTCCGGTGACACGGACATGCGGACTATGAAGTCCTGGAAATATGGTAATACAGAAGATATTATACGAGGTTTGGTTTGATAGGTTTAAGATAAAACTGATCACAGAACTGTTATGAAACTATTATTTATTATATTCACTACGTACACATTCACATCTCGTCTTTGTGATCACGGTTGCTACAAAGTAACCGAAACATCAGGAGTATATAGTTAAAAATAATCACAAACGCGTAGTGTATCCGAAAAATATTACGTCTCATTATAATCACAGAACTATTATATACACATAAGCTTCTTCGAGTTTTAAATCTTATTTGTCTCTACGTGCATATAATGTTGTCTGCTGTAACGTCATTACCAGGTTGTTATTGAACAGCCGCGGCAGGTAGCTCCAGGAGTCGGCGGCCAGCTTGTCGTGCAGCTCGCTCGACACCACGGACAGCTTGTAGAACGGCTCGTCCAGCAACACGCGCCACGCGGACAGACCGGCGCTGCTCGCACACCACGACTCCTTAAATAACACTTATTATATGAATAACAAAGTTTGTAAGATGTTCAGGTTTATTAATGTCTTACGTTAAATATACTGGACAGATTTTGATAATATTTGCTAATGATTGGGGTTTAACATCGGGAGAAGACATGGAATATAATGTATCTTTTGACGCATGTATGTAGTTCGCAAATCGTATGGAATACATTATACGGTCCTTTAATATATCTAATATAAGTACACATTTTTCATGATCGATACTAAAAACTGATTTATTAGTTTCCTTCTATTACGTAGATAATAAATTAGAAAAAGTTGAAATATGCTTAATAAAGAACATGTCGATTATTTAAATAGATAAACTTTTAGTAAATCTCATCACAAGTTTCCTCATATACACAGAATCAAAATTATATATGAAAAAATGAAAAATGAAAAAATGTTTATTAACAAAAAACACAACATGATACAAAGAAATGTCCGGTGGTACCCACACTAGGTATTCCTGTGTCGTGGGTACCAATTTATAGATTTACAAACATGTTTAATGTAGTCGCTCGATACATTTTAATATTTATTTTTTAAACATATAAAAACGTATAAAAAATTTAATTTCCTAATTATGGTCAAAAAGTTTGAGCGCTTTACTAAACTAATATCTCGTGCGCTTCGGCGAGTGCACGAGGACTGCTAATATATCTGTATGAGATACGCATTATTACGCCTGACGCGTGAAACAAAAGATAGTTCATAGAAATGTATCGAGTAATGAGTCGGTTCTCGAGCGCCGCACGAGCGACCGAACATTACCGAGAGCACCCGATGTATGACGAATTGAGCCATGATTGACATCTCGTTATGTTTTGTTGCATTTTCTAATTTTAATATTTTAGTAAAGTGCACCACCGGTTCGATTACCCACCGCCGTCACTGACCACAACCACGTATAATGCCTTCAATAACAAACATCCATCGTCCATAAAACTTTCATTCCTCACCTTCCTAGCTGGTGCGGGAGGTCCAGCCACATATAGCACTCCATGTGCTGCACAATACACAGCGGCCGCCACGCCTCCCGGGAACGAGAACGAGTGGTGCAGCTTGAAACCCTCGGACGCGGACACCAGGTATCCGCGGAGACGACCGTCGAAAGTTATTACTAACACCTCCCAGTTCCTGAGAACGGGTATTAAATATTAATTTACAATGTCAACTACTACAGGGTGAACCAAAAGTCCTGTAACATTTCGAATGGTTATAAAAAATACAAAAGACATATGAGAGAAAATATGTTTATTTATTGTAAAGGTATTTGTACTTGCGCTCGTGCTATAAAATGAAACGTCTAGCTTTACTCTATACTTAACGATAAATGCGTATGAGAAAGAATAAAAACCCCATGTGATATTTATTCCTTGGGAAACTACCATCCACAAAAGACCCTGCCATGAAGGTCAATAAGTATCACGAGCTAACTAACGACCTCACTAAGAATAGGTTGGTCGTAAATTTGTACGCGGTAGAAGTGAGAGCGAGAGGTATAACAGCTAAATCTATCTACAACCTACTAAAAGACTTGGGCCTGTCCAGAACTGACATTCATTATTTATCATGTCTGTCTTCCTTATTCGAACAATTTTTTTTTAGTACAAACTTCTTTAAAGGATTTTTGTTACCATTTAGTATCTTTCACTCTGAGAGGCATGAATATAATGTCGGAGACAGCATGCGTGTTGTCTGAACACTCCAGACCTCCTGGTCGGGAACAGTCCTGGTCATAAAAAATAATATTATTTTATTATTTTTTATTAACATTTAATGAAGGATAAAACTAATATTTTCAAATTTACTTTTAGTTTCTTATTATTTTAACTACATAAAGTTGCAGTTACTTTGCACCAACCGTGAAGATGGACAGATGAAATGAAAATTTCCAATCCAATTAGATCTCTTTTTTATATAAAGGAATTTGTAATACTACTGTTGTTAAAATTATAATTATAACATTTACATCAATTCTACATCTTTTCTAATTATTTTTTGTTATACATAGTCATCTCTTATATTTATTATTCAATCCTTAGTTGCTTGTTATTTTTTTTATTCAAAAACTTATTCTTGTTTTCACACAATTATTCTTTATTTGGAAACATACAGTTTGTGTTACAATAACTTATTTAGTGAGATTGAAACAGTTTGTCACAACACACTACAGTTTTTTAATATGGAGTGTGTAAGTTAGAAATATTTTAAATATAACAACTGGTATTTCATTTGAAATAGAGCAACTATACAGGGTGACTGGTGAATTACTATCGATACTTGAGGACGTGATATTTGACGATCATATATGACAAAATTAAAATTAATATAACATAAATATTAATAAACTTCTAAGTAAAGTTAACCAAAAGTTATGTAATTAATTATGCATCGTGTGAACACACTACAGATTAGGTATATACACACACACACACGCGCGCGTGCGGCGGCGTGCTGATACAACACTACGCCGCCGCACGCGTCCACACTTGGAACACTTGGAACGAGTCCACACTTTATTTATTTATACGGAAATTTGGTCAAAAATTAAGTACCTATTTTTTTTATAAAATTCGAATGAGAATCATGTACCGAGTATTCTCCTTAAATATTGATAGTAATTCACCAGTCACCCTGTATATGTATACTAAATAGATTATTGTCATGTTCTTGTCCAGTCCTTTAAAACATTACATAGCAGTTTAAACCACTTACATAAGAACCAGTTCCTTACTTTACACAAGTGTTTTTTACTTGTTTTCAAATAGTTTAGTTTTTAGTTGTATATGATGAGTATTAATTGTATTAGTTCATCAAAACATCAACTTACTGCAGGTATATAGAAGAGATTAGAAGCTGTGAGATCAAAGAAGTTAACAATGCCATTGCCATAGGCAACGACAAGGAATGTACAGTCCGGACTCCATACAAGCTTTCTCCATTGGGGATAAGGATCACGAGCCACTGAAAGGTTGCTTATATGAAAACTCCTTAACAAAACTGGCTTTTAAAGTTATAAAGATTTAACACCAATATCAAATATATAAACTCCATATTTTCCTTAGTCCATACTCCATTTATGTAACTAATGATATAATCATATCTTATTAAGAAATATATATGAATAAATTTTACATTAAAAGAAAAATATTTAAGTTACTGAGTCTCTTATTTGTATTTAAAAAGACTTGTTTATTGCAGACTACATCATTTATTTTGTGTGAATGGACAATTTGAGCAGTACTGTTATAGTTATGTTTGTTTGTTATACCTGTGGTCCGAGCCCCGATGGTGGCATATTCAGAACGTTTTGTTCTTATTTCCAGTATGTTATCAGTGAGGATGGCCAGCACCTTCCCTTCATCTCCCAATGCCATATGCCATTTTTGTTGTTTCTCCTTATGACTATAAAACGATAAATATATATTTAAAGGTTACGATAATTATTCAACTGCTGTCATTGATTCTTATACTTTTTATTGTTTTGAACAATACTTACACGGTTACACTATCTATAAGGCTTTTTTTTAACCCGAAAAACTTAAGCCACCGCCAAATACTCGATATATTCTCGGGCAACAAAGTATCAGTTTTTTGCTATAAAGAAAATAAAAATATAATATGGAATATTCATATTTTTAAAACATATTACGAAGTAGAAATATATCAAACATACTATATATTCAGGCTCCGGCTTCCATTCCGAAAACACGTATAATTCATGTAAAATTGATTTTTTCTCTGCCATTTTTCTAGTAACATTAATTTTTATTTCATGGTTAGAAAATAATTTTCATAACGAAAAAACAAGTTTAATGTTTTCCAATCATGTATTGACAACCAGGTTTTGTTGCCAATTTGGCAATACAAAACTAAAAACACAGAATGTGACAGCCAATCTAACGTTTAGAAATAAAAGTATTGATTAGTTAATTTAAATATTTCATAAATTAATGCTTGTTTTGATTGCTACACAATTTATTATATAATTATAAACATTTTCGTTCAAATCAATAATGATGTTTTGATATTGTTTTGTAACATTTTATTGCATAAATTTTTGCGGGTCACGATGTTGCATAAATTATAATTTTTAAAACGGGAGTTTCATATGTCAAATAGGATTTTGATATTTGAATTGAAATTTGCAGTTGCCAATTTTTACTATTAGTTCTAGCTTGTAAGACTGTATGTTTTGAAAATTTTTTAGTGATTAAAATTGTTACTATGAATTTCCTTAGTGATATATATCAAAAAGTATGTTTTCAATATTTAATTGTAATCTAAGATGTTTTTATAATGTTAATATGAATAATCATAATGCTATGTCTTACAGAGTTTACATGAAAACGAAAAAAATATAAAATTCTGGGAAGAATATTTACAAAATCTAAACTCTCTCAACTTCGAAATCTATTCTGATAAGTTATCAGTGCCAATATTAGTACCTATTGGAAATAGAATACTATTTAGAGGAGCATTAAAACACACTAACGAAGTTACCGTAGCTTTAGGCGCGGATTATTTTGCTAAATGTTCTATAAAACAGGCTGAGGTACTGAGGCAGCACAGAATTAAAGGTATTTCCATCAATACATACCATTTTTATTATCATTATAATATTATAACTTATTTTGCTTTATGATGTACTTTTAGATGCAAAATCAAAACTTGAAGAATATAACAAAGAGAAAGAATATCTTGAAAATCAATTATCTTTTGGAAAACAAAATGTGTATGGTAATACTGGTCAAGATATTATTGAGGTTTGTACCGAAGAAGAAGATAAAGCTTGGAGGGAACAACACAGGGAGAGACTGAAACAATATCATCGGAGTGACGATAAGAAGAAAGAAAATATACATAAAGATGTCTCCGATGAAGAACTGTGGATGAGGCTGGAGGAGTTGGAACTACAGGAGGAAATGCAAAATGAAATGCAACACTTAGATACCATAGAAGAAACCAATAATTATGAATCAGAATTTGATTCTTGTGTCATCAAAGAATCTGATGTTAAAGACGCCACAGCTGAAAGTACAGAATTAGGAGCGAGAATAACTCATAATGTACCAAAACAAACTTCGAAAACAGATTTGTTACAGCAAGTTCTTGATAGACAGGAAATGCTTTCAACTGAACTGACTGAACTCAAGAATAGGGAACGGCCGGAAACTACTACCCAGAGTGAGTTACTGTCGAGATTAGACGAAATTGAGATGCTGGATGACCTTGAGGATGAAATAGATAGGTAATATTATGTAACTTTGCATATTTTTGCTATAATTTAATGATTGTATATAATGTTTATATTTTATTTATTCTATGACTCATTCACCAATCTTGATATTAATTTTATAAATTATGAAAACAAAAACAGTCCATTTTTTATTATAATAATTATATTGTTTATCAATGTTAATATTTTTAATGTTCCAATTTGCAGAATAGATGATATATTAGAAACTGCGGAAGATGAAGACTCCATAAGAAGTGACACATCCAAATCAAGTAAAAGTGTGGCCTTCGCTGACGAAGACGATGGAGAGACATTGGAATTAACGTTCACACATACAGATGTGGAACCAGATACAACACCGTACAATCCAGAAAATGGCATCGTAAAACCGAGGGATGTCTATGCAGCTTATGCAAACCTATTCAATAATGGAACTACATCAATATTACGAAAATCTAAATATATAGATAAACCAGTTAATATTACAAAAGAAGAAACAACACAAGCAGTGAAAAAGAATGGTATAACAGATACAGACAGACAAGAAATTGTTGTGAAGGATGTTATTGAGAAATCAGATTCACAAGAAAATGTAACAGCCAGTGCGAGGCCGACCAGCCTCTTCAAACAGAAGAGACAACAAAAGACATAAGTCAAGCTATTAGATTAAAATTCCTTTTTATAAGTCTACATTATATTAATACAAATATTTAAATTTCTATCTTTTTTTCTACCTTGTAACATTTATAAAATTAAATCTCTGTTATTCCTATAGGATTTTTATTTTTAAACCTTTTTGAGATTATTAATATCTACAATAAATAAATTTTCAGACTGAATTTTTTGTTTCATTTATTATAAACTTAATTTGGCACCAAAATTAAATAGTGGATTTGTCAATATAGCTTGCGGGTTTAATTTATAATGACTGTAAAGAATGTGTTGGTCCTACATCAAATATTACACTTTTGTTTGTTTCGTAAATCAAAAGAGTTTTTGTCATCTCATTTCTAACCAGTTTTAATCTTACTTTTGCAGTAGAAGCAGTTGTAATTCGTGTTTCACACGTGGATTAGGAAGTACAAAATAATAAGGCCATTTGAATAACGTTTTTTTTTTATTTGTGAAGTAAATACATTTATAAAATAATAACATACATTTGAATAGATAATACACCAAGTCAGTCTTCGCTCGTCTCGTATATCGGTAAGACGTAACAGTAAACTATTTACATTAAATATCATACATAAGGCACCAATACAACAACCATAGTGTATAGAACGCGAATGGTAACTCGACCGAACCGGACACGATGGCACCTCGCCTCGGATACAATAAGAATACATTATACAGCAGCCTCCATAACAACTGGAATAGAAATCACTAACAACTAACTACAACTCGATATAATATTTGGCATCTCATTCACATTGTTTATACCATACTAAATGCGTTAACTGTCAAATTAACACAGAGTATATGCATATTGAATTTAAAATAACCGGTACTTATCGATTCTAACACAGCACTAACACACGATAGCACAGCACCGTACTGTCCCTAGGGAACGGGAAGCTTCACTTGGGAGAGACCACTCATAGTAGACCTTCGATTCAAGTGTGATTGTTCCTCCTGTGGGGTCCAGGTTTGCGGTGTGACGCTGCCAGTAGGGAGGGAGGCACGCACCATAGTCGGTCGCACCACCTCATCAGAGCTTCGGTCACGTGGACGCTGTTGGCCGCCGTCGACAGCTGAGTCTCCAGGCTGTCCGACTGTTTGATGAGCAGACTGAAAGCAATACAAGAATATTAATTAGTTATTACTAAGTTGGCAGAAATAAAGAGATTAAGAAAAAGTGTTCGTGGGGACTACTATAGTACACAGGAACAATTTAGTGATACACTGTTCTAATACCAAGCATACTTAGAAAAAAATATCGTTAGTAAATAGCAATGTAAATCCTCCAACAATAAAGTATCACCTAGACGAGTGTGTAAGTTTTATATGTACATGAAGAAGAACGTATTAAACATATTTAAAAAGTATCAAGGTTTTTCAAAACGTCCAGGTTTCTTTATGGGTTTAAATAGCCACTCTCTTCCTGATATTATGAGTGTTCATCATTATCTGTATGCCTATCGAGTTAGTGCTTGTTCTCACCTGGGCGGGAAGAGTGCGGGCGCTATGATCATGGCCACGTTGTGTTCGTTCATCTTGTTGGTGTCGGCCATGGCGGCGATCTCCCTCACGAGCCGCAGCACCTCGCGCAGTGTGGCGCGCTGCTCGCTCGGCAGCAGCAGCACCAGCAGGTTCAGCGCGCGGCCCTGACTCGCGCCCGACAGAGCTGAGGATACATACGTCATGATCATAATGTGAACTATGATGCTTCAGAATATATTTCTATTGTTCTGATGAGGCTGAATTACTTCTGGTTTTCTTACATATACTCAAAAAACCTCAATTTTAACATCAGTATATATATGTATGAGTAATAATGTTTATTAGTTCTGTCAACTCACTGTATGTCTGGTAGAATAGTCTCATGAGTTCCTGTGTGAGCGGCGGCTGGGGCAATGACCTCAGCAGTCGCTTGAACACAGCGGCGAGGTCGTGACCCGCGGCGCGGTGCAGGGCTGACTCCACGGACGAGCGGTCCTCGTACCACTGGCGCTCGATCAGCTGACAGAGAGCCTCGATCTGAATAATAAGGACTATAGTGAGACTTGCGACGAAAATATACGGATACTGATGCATATATAACAACGGCCGTCATCAGTAATATATTGGATTTATTGATGGTATAGGCTAGATGTGGTCAATTTACACTACGAATATGGGCTGGTCGTCAAGGAACGCATCTGCAAAAATTTTTTTGCGGATGTCCATGGGCGACAGTACTACTACTCTGTCAGGTAGGCTATCTGCTCGTTTGTCATAAAAAAATCATCAAGAAGATCAGGATTTGAACCTGCAATGTTCAAAGTACTCTCTCTATGAGTAGTTTCTAGTACCTTATGTTTGTTCCCAGGTACCCGCAGCAGGCCGGACTGTGCGGCGCGGGCCCGGAGTGCCTCGGCCAGCGCCCGAATCACGGCTGGCACCGAGCTCCAAGTTTCTTCCCACAACAACATGTCCTTCCTCAGTAACGTCTCTACAGACACACCGAACACGGCGCCTTCTGAAAAACATACATAATATTCATATAACAAGTGTTTTTATCATTTTATCAGACGTATGGATTACTTTCGGAAATCTTGGTCATTGAATAAATTGTTAGAATTAATCCTACTAATATTATAATCGCGAAAGTTTCTGACTATGTGTGTATGTTTGTTACTTCTTCACGCTCAAACGGCTGAACCGATTTTGATAAAATTTTGTATACAGGAAACTGATGTTCAGGAATAACACATGGGCAACTTTACATCCCGGAAATCCGCGGGTAACACCGCGGGGCGCAGATAGTATAATATATTGGTATTCTCTCTGTATAATCATATTTTCCTAATCAGATCTTTCCGATTTTAGTGACCCAGGACTATAATCTAAACAAATAATTTTCTCTACCACATTAGTCCCTGCCAGAACTCCTTCAATCTACCAACGTACCTTCTTTCCTCTTCTTCTTGGGCGGTTTCCTCTTGTGGAATGGCAGCGAGTATCGGTCGAATAACGCGGTCAACTCCAACCATAGTAGCGGCTGTAGTTTCTTCAACTGAGGCTCGGAGACCGTCTCTATGTCCACTATACTATTCTCTTCAGGCCACTCCTAATATATAAATATGGATGATTTAATATTTCTATATAAAAACTATTAGTCAATTGAAAGAGTACTGAAATTCGTTGCATAATTTTAACAGGTATCAATAAAAATTTTAATTGTACTAAATAGACAATTTTTCTGAATAAAATGTCAGAATGGGTTGATATATGATTAAAATAATAATTAATTTTATGTATTCATTGAGTCTATCAGACATTCTGATTGGTGGAGTTAATGTTTGGAGATGAATATTGAATAATGCTGACCTCTTCGTGGTCCAGCATCTGTCGGTCCAAGTTGAACTTATGTTCGAAGCTGAGCGGCTGCTGAGCGCTCGCGGCACTCTTAGTACGAGACACGGCCGTGTGTTTACTGAAACAACGATAAAATCACTTGCAAAATGATGAAAACTTGATTAAATCATGAGACAATATGGAGCGGAAGCATAATCGAAAGTTATTTGATCTGGCAAAAAAAAACTTACATGAAAGGATCATTGCTCTTCAGTATGGTGCCATTGATACGTTCCTTGCCTATCCTGGGACCTTGGACGGTTCCGTATCTCTGGTATCCCAGAAGCTCGATACCTTCTGTAACACATAGAATTCATAATATATTAGATATGTATAATTGGAAACATATCAATTATATCTGAAGTAAAATTTACGTGACTGCAAGTCAAGCGATGAAAATAATAATAATAATAATTTATTAACACCCATGAAATAATGTACATAATTTGTAAAAACGAAAAGCTAAATAGCTTAATAACTAAATCAAGGGTTATTACATTGTCACCTTTTGTAGTATACCTCTGACTCTAAAACTAATATAAATTGTGATATTAGAGTCAGATTCCTCAACAATTAATTGCGCACTAGATTATTAGAAACGGAATGATTTTAAAGGTGTTGTAAAAAAAACAAAAGTTTATATAGAAAGAAATGAAGAGATACAGAAAATATATCATGTATATGCTCACCGGTATTAGAAGCTATGTCGGCCCAGTGTAGGTCATTTGGTTTGAACAGCTCGTGGCATGGTCTGGGAGGAGAGTGAGCATTTGGTCCAGGAGGAGAAACACGCACTCTACGGGCCGGGGCTGACGGCGTGCGGGCTAGAGGAGCGTGGGTTCCCACTGGGTAACTGTCGCTGGAAACAGATATCCTACTAATATTATAATTGCAAAAGTTTGTGAGTGTGTGTGTATGTTTGTTACTTCTTCACGCTCAAACGGCTGAATGGATTTTGATAAAATTTTGTATACAGGAAACTGAAATCCAGGAATAACACATAGGCTACTTTAAGTGTGCTATTGTAAGACCGCGGGGCGCAGCTAGTTACTTTATAATAATTGTTCTACTGCTTACATTAATCTCACTATCCACTAAGTATTAGATAAAATTGAATCAAAAAGGTCTCAAGTTTGAACCTACACGAAATCTGGAGGCGTAGCGTTGTCTGCCCACTCAGTGGGGGGTGATCCGGACCCACCGCTGGGCAAAGAGTCCAGGGAATCGGGAGTAGCACTACGGGAACGAGGCTCGCTACCACTGGAGTTCTGGAAAGGAACAAAGTGTTGATAACAATGACGTCATCTGAATAATAAACTAACACAACACGGAACACATATAATAATCGTGATGCGAGTATTGATTAGACTAAAATCGAACATGTATCTAGTTGATGCGTAATTCGCTCCTCAACTGCTGTTGACTTGGCTCACACAGATATTAATTTTTCAATATAAATAATAATAAATTCGTCACAATAGATGCGAACTAATTGTTTGTCAATGACACAGTTTTTGTGTTATAGAAATCTTCCGTGAGAAGTCAGATGCATAAACATGTAATTGAAGCCATATTAAGGGATGCGATTGTTTAATCTAATGGGAAGTGAAATTTCTTAAGCATTACGTTTTATTATTTTGGTATGTGTCATTGAGTTATATAAGAAATGAAAGCTAACATTTATCAGCAGATTTAAAAGTTTAATGACATAGTTATGTTACTTTTGCAGTAAGCAGATTTGGTAATTTTTTTAGAGGAAGGAAAGCAATATATTTTTTTAGGACGTACTTCTTAGTCAATAAAACTTCTTAGTAAATAAGTATTAGTATGCTTAGTCCAAGTTGACATCATAAATACGAAGATGTAATAGTTTCTCATTCATAAACGTTGGTATTAAGGTATATTATTGAATGAGAAACGGGTAAAACTTTGTATGTAGTGCCGATAGATACTTGGACTATGCAGAGTCCACAATATAGATGATGGATGGAATTAATTTGAGAGTTCGTTCAAGACTATTGGATCACGTTCGTGGCTACACTTCCACGTACGTTCATGATATGTTTTAAACACTACTCTTCCTTGAAGTCATGAGTCATTCACCTCCTGCTGAGACTGTTCCACACGAGAGAATCCAGGAATATAAAGTAAGTTATAGACATAAGGCTATAGAGGTATTTTGTAACGATACTATATTAATAAAAAAAATTCAATTATTATAATACAATATATAATTCCTATAAAGGTATATAGATATATTTGTAAATAGCAGTTTTTGGTCATATCCTTACGTATCCTATCTACTAATATACCAGATTGTATTATGTATTTTACTTTATTACAATATAAGTAGTATAATTATAACGTAATTTAAACATAGTTATAAATAGTTAAATTGTATTTATAATTGTCGGCCGGAAAGGGAAGTTATATATTAAATAAGTTGTGGTTCATCAACACACAGTTCATGACCCGCGCACCACTGGTCACTGCAGATAATAAAATGTTTAATAATCTGTGGATATTATTGTTTGAATTGCGCTCTTTTTAAATATCTATATAATATTCCAGACTATTTTATGTTTTCAAAATAATATTTATGATTTTAATTGTAATTTAAATTATCCCTTATTTTAATATTAATACAAATATTTAAGTGAAACTAATATTTTTCGGATTTTAGATCTCATTAATACAAATATTTTTATTTCATACTTATTTTTTCTTCACAGAAGTCTTTTATTTTTCATATGAAGTTCTAAGAGCTTCTGTCAATTCATTTGAATGCCGATACATTAACTGTTGATTTATTATCGCCAATTGAGATCAAGATTACAGCCGGACTCTAATAAAACAATTATTATTAAATGAAAACTGAACCGTTTGTCCTTTTCCATATATTAATTCAAGATCGTAATAATTATGAGTAACGTGTTTCAACACATCGCGCGTGCCACGCTTCACGTCTCCTTAAAGTTTCATTTATTAAATGTGGTAACTGTTTTGCTTCAACTATTTTTTTTTTGCCAATACATTATAAGGTAATTTGGATAAAGGTATAAAAAACCGTGAAGGACGGATTCGGTAGATAATATTTTAGTTTAAGGTACCTACTTAGGATTTATATTGTTCAAGAACGAAAATTTTATTATCGTAAATTATTAATTTAAAAAATTCAATTCGCAAAAATGTTATTTGTACTCAAATTTCTTCTATTTTAGACTCAATTAATATATAAATAAAGAAATGTCACGAAAATATGTAACAACCGGAGCACGTTTTAAAATTTTTAAGTATACAATAATACACGATTTATATTTTTAATACAAAAAAATACCTAATATATAATATTTTTTTTATAAATTTTGATATTATAATTACAAATTAACGAATTTAAGTACTGATATTTCTAAAATATGAAAACAAAATATATTTTCCTATCATAAATCAGATTTAAAAATTACCAATACGTCGAGATAGGATTTCAACAGGGCCAATCGTTTACAGTTGACCATTTTCTCGTAAAGCTTATTCCTTACAGCATCACAGATCATGATTCTGTTCTTGAAGCCTGGAGCCGTCACCTCACCAGCACTAGCACACAACAAACTGAACCGAACTGCTTCTCTTTTGTAATTCACCGGAGGCTAACCAATTTACGTGGCCACGTCCGCTTCGAGTCCACTAATATTAACGAGCATATTACACTACCTATATGTATATTCATATTATTTTATTTTATTGAACTAACTTCATCTAAATATGAACTCAACGTCGTCCAAGTTCGGACGTCGTTTTCTAAGTATATTTTTTGAGTTGTACTTAATTGCATATTTATCTAACGAGTCTCCTTATCACATATCCTTAATGTTTTTTGGACATATTTTTTCTAAGTGTTTACGACTTGTACCTAATCATAGTATACATACTGTTTTTGGATATAGCAATAATAGGTTTATTTCTTCATGTTTAATGTACAATAAAATCTATTGTAACATTTGTAAGTAATCTATTTCATTAAGATCTAAGTGTTATGGTTCAGTAACACAAATATAAGAATGTCATTGATCATGATAGTTTAGTGGTCGTACTTATTTTTCCACATTAACACAAACACACTTACATGTAGCTATCTAGTTAAATGGAACGGTAATTTTAGTATTGGCGCTTATAAAATAACCGAGGTAAATCGTTTAATATTACATATAACTAGAACCACGATGGTAATATATATTTATATATATTTAGGGAACACACATTTAATTTGAACCGAACCTTTAAACTCCCGAACGCACCCGAAGTGATGTTAAAGCGATGACGTTTGGTTTGTTCACTTTTACGCGGGAAAGTATGATTTTAACTTATTAAAGGTATTGGTTTAAGATAATTAATTTGTTCCAGTTAAGGTTTTATTAGTTATTTAAAAGTACTGGCTTTATAAGAAAACTATAATTTATGATTTTGTTAGAATCTTAATATATTTTAATACAAATAAACAAATAGTGTCCGTGTATGAGAACAGGTTGCACTCCGTAGCGTCATTAATGAAGCAGCGTCATAGAAAAGTGAATGCACGAAAATTGATTAAAACACTCGAAAGCTTGACACGGAATACCTTGAACTTAAAAGAATCTTGTTTTCACTTAAATCATATTAAAATACTCATAATATAATTCATTAAGAATTAATTATTATAAAAACGAAAGCATATTTATTTTCCATAAAATTCACAGTATGAATATATTAATTTTATTTTATTTATAAGTTTTGAATAACGGTGAAGGATAATTGTAATAACATACATTATAATCTCAAGGTTGTCCTTAGCACAAGATGAATAAAAAAAGTTAGAAATCAAAACTACAAAACTTGTTTATCTGTGGAACTAACGGTGCGCGGATACTTCAAACTTGACATACAGAACGAGTTTCAAATATCTCATTCATACTCTGTATACCGGATGTGATTTTATACAGATTATATACTGTTAATTATTATGAATAAAAAGTTTTATTTATAATTTTCTTTTATTGTTAAAATGTTATAATTTATCAAGAATTAGTCTAAAGCGCAAATCGAGAGAAAATATATTTTTTTCAATAACTATATTGATGTCAGGATTCGTCACACATAATGACATGTTTTTTAAACTTCGTTGGAAATTAAACAATTATTTTTTTTTAATTTTATTCTGAGGTTCTGAGAATTTAAGTTATATTTACTGTTTCCTTAATTAAATGTATAATTTTATAATATATTTTTATTGAATAATAAATTTTTCTTTTAATTAAATACTTATATTATATGATATTGAAAACAAGCATATAATGACATAGTTCCGATTTAAATATATGTATGATTTTAATATAATAAATACAACTGGAAGAGGAATAACTAAACTATTAAACACTAATGAGATCTAAAACTTTCGAGAGTATTCATTTAAATTAAACTAATATTTTTCGAATTTACTACGCGATTTTTTATTTTCGACTATAAACAACATACTCCCGATGTTTGAGTAACTTTTCATCTACGTAGATATGTCAATGCTAAAACACTATAAATATAATTGAAATGTTTGTTATATTCATATTAAACCACTAATCCTCACCTCTAAGTCTCTGAAGACATCCCGTATATCTGGTTTCTTCGCTCGTGAGGCAGCTCGTCTTCTTCTAACAGTTCTATTGAGCCTCCTCACTCTTCGCCTGACCGCCGCTGCCTGTTCCCTCGGCAGAGGTCTTACAGCTTCTCCTAGTTGAGCCTCGGAAACTTCCAGTCCAGCTTGGAAAGGAGCCGCCAAGGACGCGAGCCCAGCTGACTGTAGCCATTCAGTCTCCAATTCGCCTTCTGTTGAATGATCAATCTTTAAGCAAAACTTGTTTAATTTTATTTCAATCAGATCTAAGGCTCGCGAGTATTCATTTAAATAATCGAATCGATGTCCACGATACAGGCCTAGCCTAGTGTGGACGTCAACGTTTACTGTATATTGCATTGTAAAGTGTTTTTACAAATGAATAAAATGAAAAACAAGTATAGGATATAAATAGAAAAAAAAATGGAACTTATATTCTTCCGATTACTACGCGTATTTTATTATTTTAAAATAATAAAAAACGCGTAGTAATCCGAAGAATATAAGTTTAATAACTAATTTAAATTTTCTATATGTTTTCATTATGTAATGATAAAAACTGATAGCATTATATTCTATGCTTCAGAATGAGTCATGTGTTGATGTACACCAATTATATGTATAATGTAATATACAACGGAACTCATGATTTCAATATGACGATTAATGATCTTTGAGTAAAAAATTAATAACAAAAACTTCATTCTCTTTGATATATTCAATATATTTTTTACGAAAGAGATTTTTTTTATTTCAAAGAACGTGTATCGCGGCTTAAGTGGAGAGGAATTATTTTTATTTGTTTAAAGTCTAGCTAGGTCTATAAGTTTCTTCAGTATAAAATGAATACTTCACTCATTTAATTCGACGTACATTTTTACAAATAACTCATTATTCAGACTCATTAATATTCTAATATAGAGGAAATTCGATAAAAACACATTTACATTCAAAATAACGTATTTAATTTTAAATGAATATCGTTCTTAAATGTAATTTGCTGTAATACATTTTGACAAAAAATCGACTCCATATATAGTCTGAGCAATATAGTTTTTGTTGAAAACTTCGAGTGTTACAAAGAAACCGACGCAAAAAATTATAAGGTTAAAGAACTGGTACTGATGTGATCCTTACATATGTACGGAGAGTGAACAGCTAATGGAAAAATATTTAGAGTTTGAGACTATATACATATATGTGTATATTGGTTCAATTTGATAGTGGTTCAGTAAGGTTCATTAAGAAACGAAACACTAAAAGGGAGTTAGTTTTTCTTAACTTGTTCAACTGTAATTGTAGTTAGTATGAGTGGGTAAAATCGTCAAAAATGAATGATTTACTTAAATTACGTCATATTTACACAATAATCTTAATGTAATTGGTCAATTAAACACTTTATTATAAGTAACATATATTTAACTTCTCTATAAGCGAGTGGTTTCTTAGTTCATATGAACTCAGTGTTTGTTTGACAAAAGCAGATTTTAAACATCCTTAAGCTGTATCTTACTAATATATTGTGAGTCACCTCAGCGGTTAACGCCTTGCGTGCTAACCAGTTGGTATTGTATTATATACATATATTGAATGTATTGTGAAGATTTTCAATAATGTCATATATTTATTCCCTTTACAAAGGTTAATCTTGAGCTACAATATTGATTATAAGTATGTGGAACAGATTTTTTTAATTGCTTTGAAATTTAGAGACTCGTGTAATGAATTGTTTTAGTTTATATTCTGATTTCTATAATGAGATCTCAAACATTCGCGAGTTTTATTTATTTAAGTGAAACTAATATTTTTCGGATGTACCTATATGCGACTTTATTTTTGTAAAAAACTGCATACTCCCGACGTTTTATCTACTTTTCAGCAACCGTGATTACAGGTAGACGAGATGTGAATTCTACAGGGTGACTGGTGAATTACTATCAATATTTGAGGACGTGATATTTGACGATCATATATGACAAAATAAAAATTAATATAACATAAATATTAATAAACTTCTAAGTAAAGTTAACCAAAAGTTATGTAATTAATTACGCATCGTATGAACACCCTACAGATTAGGTATACACACACACTCACACATACGCATGTCGTGACGTGGTGTTGTATCAACACGTCGCCGCACGCGTCCACACTTGAACACTTGGAACGTGTCAACACTTTACTTATTTATACGGAAATTTTGTCAAAAATTAAGTGCCTATTTTTTTACATAATTCGAATGAGAATCATGTACCGAGTATGCTCCTTAAATATTGATAGTAATTCACCAGTCACCCTGTATATCTGATATGAGGAGCGTCCGTTTTAATATAAGGTAAGCAAAGTTTAGCATCATCGATATGTTAATTCCGCTTTAGTCGTCCTAACAGAGTCACAGGTATTATCTGTATTCTACTTCAAACGGGTTGGAGCACCCCTGAATGCAGGGTGCCTTTCGCAAACAATACTCAGTGTAGGAATATCGTGTTTCTGAATGAAGTTACTTAAATGTGGAATTAAAAGACAACAATAACAAAAAAGAATAATTTCTATCTTTACATTCGATATCTAGACGGTAAATTCAGAATCTCTTTGTTTTTGATATATACATTTTTTTCTTCTTCTACCTGGCAATTTCCCAGCTTTAGCCAGGGCCTGCCTTACATGTTGTGAATAGTTTTGGCTAATTATTTTAACGACCGGCCGCCTGCCTGACATCAACCCTCTTTGGGAATGCATTAATCAGTGATGTCTAATTATTCTTAGAAAGTACATATGATTCGGAAAAATCACATTGGTATTGCCCGGGCCAGGATCGAACCCGCGCCCCATGTATGAGAGGCGGCCCTTTTAACCACTAGGCCACTACTGACTATATACATATAAAATACATGTTAAAGTTAATATAAATAGTTATATTGTAGAGAAGGGAACTCTTATTATGGTCACCACATGAGTTTGGTGAGCGAAGTGGTTTATTTTAGTGCCAGGATGTTATTTGTTTGGCCGACGCTCCACTATTTATAGACAGACATCCGAAGGAGTGAACTAGTGTGTGGAAACTATCAGAGATGAAATTAATAATGTATTAAGTTATGAAGAAAAGAATACAATTGTCCAAAACACTGATGCTTGTGATTTTACGCTAAAGAGACACAATAGACTAAGATTATTTATTGTTTCTCAACATTATTCAAGCGTAAAATAAATTCCCAAAATGTAGCTAATGACTTTGTTTTATTACAAGTATTAAGTATGTATAACGAAATTTTTTTCGAATATTCGTTTTTGTATTAATATAACGTTTATAATGAAACAATGAAATCTGAACGACCTAAAACAAAATGATTCGTCACATACACATATACTGATATTGACAAAGACGATGTACTCGTACGTACAGACAAACTTTCATTGTTAGAAAAAACAATGCTTCACTCACCGATAACGTATTTGGCGTGAAATCGACATAATGCTCCCATAACACACATAACAATTGTCACAATTACGAATAATTCCGGTAGCAAATGTATTCAAATCCTTTGTAATGATCGATCCACTTAAACATCTGATTTCATTTCGAGTACGTGAATATGCGTGGGAACTTTGATGGCGTCAATGAAAAATGACACACATTAAGTTTTTTTTATATATTGGTGATGATTTTGGATGATATTATATGGCAATGTATCGGGAGTCGAGGCGAGACTGACTGCGCAGCCACAGAAGATCGCTGCTGTTTAATATGGTACATATTTATAGACTGCAACGAATTTACTTATTAACCTGTAGACTGTAGTAGCTGGTGCGGGTTGAATGAACCATTCATAAAAATACCATTCATAAATTGTATGAAAACTTCTCATTAAAGAATTTTTTTTCGGATTACTCCGTATATTTTATAACTATGTACTCCCGACGTTTCGATTACTTTGCAGCAACCATGATCATTAAGACGAGATAAAGGGGAAAAAAACTGAGTAGTATACGTAAAAGTTAGTTTGATTTAAATGAATACACAGGAAATATTAAATATCATATAGGTCTTACACAGAAAAATGTCAACCTTAGTACATGACACATAAATAGAAAGAGATTCACATCGAAAGCAATTTTCATATCAACATATATTATGTATAGACAAGCGTACAGTCTAGACGAGTTAATTTCGTGTCGCACAGACCGACGACTGACGTGCCCCACTCGTCATTAATTTAGAAGCAAAGTCCATAATACATTTACGTACTAACAAACTTCTTAATAAATCGTTTCGGACAAATTTCGCGAGTATTCATACAAATTAAACTAATATTAGTAATAATAGTAGAAATCCAAATAATATTAGTATCATTTATTAATCAATCAACTCACCACAATTAAAGAAGTTCACGTATTCACAAGTCCGATACTTCAGTATGACGACCATTCCGTAAATTTTACAACTGTTTAATTGTAACAACTATAATTATTGTAATATTAAAATATTTGTAATTATACACAGTGAACGCACTCGATGGTAGAAATAGACTGACCGGGTAGATGACAATTACAATACAAGAAGACATACACAAACAAACAAACAAATTAACTAATTACTTAACTATGTATTTAATCATTGAATAACACCATTAACTTCAATCTATTGTTCAACATAACTAAATCCTATTTATTATTCAAAAATGTATATTAATAATAAACTGTAAGATAAAAATATTTTTCCGTATTCCTTAATTATCTCAAGAATTTTAGGAGGCAAAATTAAAAAATATAATGAATGAATTTTAAATATAACTTTAAAACGCGGGAAATTTTAAAAATGGAACGAAATAATAAAATATTTTTCTTTTAGATTGTTTTTTTTTTTTAATGTGCAACAAACACAGCCAAATCGCACAATAATATTTGAGTTCAGTGAGTCCTATATATTTATAAAAAATAGATTTACGTATGTATGTTTTTAAATATATTTTAGAATCTAAATATATATACATAAGTATTTGTTTCCATTGACGCGTTTTCATTATTTTTATAATATGTTTTTCTCTCACTGACGCACCCTGTGTATTATTACATTGACAGTTCATAAAATGTATAATTAGAAGCACTTTATATTAATACCGTTAAAGTATGTGGGAGTAACAGCAATTATAGTTTTGGAAGTCACAAGACATTTACAGCGTAGGTAGTCAGTTCATTTTTATAAACATGAATGTTGTACTATTTTTGCGTCATGTTATGAGAAAAATAGGATTTTGTGTAGTATCGTAAAGAATGTAAAGAAAGGAAAATACAAATAAAGCATTTTCTTATTTTTATTAATATTATTATAAGAATATCTTTATTTTTTTATATTTTTTTCGATTATTTTCGTATTAGTTAAAGTGTAGCATATTTCAAGATTAAAATATCTAAGAGGAACTATATTCTGAGTGTCTTACCTTTAATTCTATGTTCATTTCTTAGCGGAGTTATAAAAAAACATTTAAATGAGCCTGACACAGTTTAAATCGATTGCAATGCAAAAAACAATCAGCTAAGGACATCGGTAAGGCGGTCAGATTTTGTCTGTGAAAGGAGGGCACTGTGTTAAGTATTCAGTACCTGAGGGGCATATACAAGCACAGTTCGTTTGACATACAGACATACATGGCAACAATGATAGTCTTCACCCATAATAATCCTAATAAATAAAGTTTTAATTAAAAACTCCTTAATGATATTGGCTGTATGTTAATGATCATTTGCTTTTATTTTTTTAAAAATCTGTTGTCAAATTTAGGCGCGTAAATGTATAAACATAAATGTCGTCATGCGGTCATACTCTGTAGGAATATGAATTTACAATGTACATACACTTTAATAAAACATTATTTCCATTTAATATAGTAACATGTTCTTTAATGAAGATCTAGGTACGCGTTATTCAGAAATATTTACTATCACGATAACGTCGCTATGTCAGATAAGGGTATACGTAAATTGATCTGATAATATTATGTTTATATAGAAAACGTGATTGCAGCCACAGTTTATAGCGAGCCATGAAACTTTATGGGCGTAAAATAAAAGAAATTATTATTATTTTATGATTTAATTTTTTCATAATTATTTTATTTTCAACGGATTAACAATTATATATACAACTAGAAGACCTGGCGAACTTCGTATCGCCCTATAATCAAGAAATATCTAGTTTTTGGAGTTTACCTGTAAGCCATAAATCTCCGTGTTTTGAAGTGCGACAGAATGATCGATATATTAGTTAGTTGTCAAATCTAATGTCAAAAAAAACGTTTGTATGGGAAATAGAAAAGGGCTGTTTTTATGGTTTTCCCAGTAATGAATAATTTTTTTCAGCTTTTATACCTTCCCTGAACCTCCACGAACATTTCAAGACTAAGATAAGATAAATCCGTTCAGCTGTTCTCGAGTTTTAGCGAGACTAAGGAACAGCAATCCATTTTTATATATATAGAAGATAGAAGATTATATACAGACGTCAATGAGACTTAGTCGTTTTTGATATAATCTAAATCCTTAAAATAATTGTGAGGGAACCCAAGCGGCAATATTATCATTTGATTGATAAACAGTTTGATAATAGTACGTAATTAATATCGGACATTAGAACTATTTGAGGCGATTCTCACGATACACGTGGGAATGATCAGTCCCGTGACGGCTAACAACCTAGGAGAGTAAATATGAAACCATTGTTACATGAAGTTAAAATCTTCATTTAAATGAAACTAATATTATTCGTTTTATACATTCACATCTCGTATTAATGATTAAAGTTGCTGAAAAGTATCCGAAAGTAGTATGTAGTTTTTTTCGTTTTTTTTTTAGTTTCATTTAAATGAATACTCTCAAAAATCTCCTTGCATCATCATTTTTAAATGTAAGTAAAACTAGCATCATGAAAACTCTTCAACCCGCTGAACTGATTCCTGTAATCTCACATCGTAATGATGTGCTATAAAAGTATATAGAGTGTAATTGTATAGTTTAATTAAGAGAAAATCCAATGTTTACAATCCTTATCTGATACTTATAATGCGTTCATAATACAAGCCATTAGCAGATAACGTGGAGTGACGCTGCTTTAAAAATGTAATCACTACACTTATGTATATATACCAGCTAATTATATAATATACTAGAAGACCCGGCGAACTTCGTATCGCCCTATAATCAAGAAATATCTGTTACGTTTTTTTATTTATATCTTTGGAGTTTACCTATTAAAGTCATAAATCTCCTTGTTTTGAAGTGCGACAGAATGATTGATATATGTATTAGTTAGTTGTCAAATTTAATGTAAGAAAAAAACGTTTATATCAACAACTACTAATAAATTAAAAAAACATTGTCCAGCGGAGAAAATTGTGAATCTAAACAATTCCCAGATCCCCTTGAACACCCACAAGAAATTTCATCAAAATCGGTCGAGTCGTTTGAGAGAAGTTCAGTGACATAAACACTCACAGAAGAATTATATATATAAAGATGTATGTATTGTTTTATTCTGAATGGTCTGAAGAAGCTTATTAGGTAGAGTCTAACTGTACCACCCTCTCACAGAAGATCGGCGTGAAGTAGCCTTTAATGGCTGCGTTTCGTCCGATGTGTGAGAGAGACGGTTGCTCTTCAATATACACTGAGAAAGGTGATTTTTATTTTTAAAACAACTGATACTTGTCATAAAAGCAATGCTTAATATCAAGAAACTGAGTTATATAATAGTGTATAATAATTAAGTGTTAACGTGTTTTATAGCGTGGTTTATTTTTAACTATTATTATGTAGTCATTAAAGATATGATTGCACCAAAAAGAAGTATGGTAAGATAATTTTCACGAACACTAGAATAGCAGCGTATATATGCATGTGATAAGACAGTGTCTTGATAAAGGACTAATATTTTTAAATAAAATTTCATTTAGAACATATATAATGAAACAGATAACGTTACGAAAAATAATTTAATATATGTACAACATATAGTTCCTGAATAAAACTTTATAATTTTATATAATTATTAATTCAAGATTGCTTTAGTGTTAAAAAGAAAATCATTTGAACCTCGACTAACAGAAGTCTAGGTAGGTCTTCTTCTTCAACCTGGCAATTTCCCAGCTTTAGCCAGGGTCTGCCTTACATGTTGTGAATAGTGTTAGCTAATCGTTTTTACGACCGGCCGCCTGCCTGACATCAACCCTCTTTGGGAATGCATTAATCACTGACGTCTAAATACTCAAACAGAAGTCTAGGTAGATACAAAGATCAAATCTTTTTCATCAGTTATTTTTAAGTACAATAATGTTAAAATATAAAAAGGGTGAGTTTAGAACAGAACCGGAGATAGCGACCATAACACATAACAATGTTTATTACTCCGAAGACAATGTCGTGTGAAAGTAGAAGCTGACATTAGAGCGGCCGTGAGAATACAATATATAGTTGTCATTGATACACTTGTATTATTGTTCACCTTACAGTAAAATAAAATAAAAATAGCACAAATAAAATCAGTATTTTTCGATAAATAAACCCAAATCGACATCTAATTGCATAAACGTATACTCATATTTTTTACTGTACTCACAAAATGGCGGCATCCTGTGTCAAACTTCCTTTAGCTATGTTTATGTGACTGGCGCGTATTGTTCAAGGCCGAATTAAGTATTGCTTCTTGTTTTTCAAATAACTTACATCTAATACATATAAATTCTCTTTTCAATTATACTTTTAGTGTTTACATATTTTGCTCATTTAAAATGATAAACAAATAATAAGAGATAGTAAAACAAATAATCGTTTGGCGCCAAAATTGATATGGATTAAAAATGAGCATAGAAAGATAAGACGGACAATGGGTATTGTGTAGAATCGATTACTCTCGAGTCTCGGTTAACGGTGGCGGGTCGGGCGTTACAAATACACTTCCTATTGTCTATTTAAATAAACAATAATATGTCATTGTTATTATAAATATTTAACAAACGACTTGTTGATGTTATAATGCTTGTTTATTTTCGGCAACGTTTATTATTAATGGGGAATCCATTTAACATTTTTCGCAAATCGTGTGTTTAATGACAAGTATCGACTTAAGGCCCCTCGAATGAATTTGGAGCATGACTCAATAATAAAATTGAAGTAATTAACAAGATATCGCAAGGAATGTGTCACGCTAATATGAACCTTGTTTTGAAGGAAATAAAAATGATGCTTTGTATTACTTTAAATGTATGGAGGTGGTATAATTGACTAGGGCTGACAAATTAGTAGAACTGAAAATACTTAAAATTATTTATCATATTTACGAAATATATATTAAAATTTTATTTCGCGTCTCTCTGTCACCTACATAAGTTTTTGTATGGCATATTAATTTATATTTATCTTTTAATTTAACACTCGGTAAAAGTCAAGTTCTGAGTTATTTTAATGTTTCCATTAATACAATTAATATTGTAATATAAATCAAATATTTAGTTTGATACAATATATATTAAAAATTGTTGCCAGCCCTGATTAAAACAATTATAAGTAGGCCGTCTCCCAGGAGACTTTAGCACCCAAATGTGTAATGACATTTCAAAGCAATTGAACACTGTGTGGGTTAAAACTATTAATATGACAAGCACTGAGAGATTCATAACTTAAAACATACACTTCTACAGGTAGAATAATAAATAAACTATTATCTAGTCGTAATTTCAAAACGACTAATCTGTGTGTATAGTATGTATAATTAGCTAAATTTCTTTACCTTATTACGTAATGTGATAATGTTCAGATCGACCTTGGAGATACTTCCTGAAGTATTTCGGTGATGTCATTTTTAATAACGAGGTCGATGGTTTTGTGAAAAAATATTTAATGACTTTGACATTACATTTTTTTTTTATTAATTTTCCCGGCAACGACATTATTCAGAAATCCTTTGAAGGTTGTATATCATATCTATAATCTTAATTCTAAGTTTTTTTTTGCTTATAGAGTAATTTAGTGCCAACATCTACAGATGTTGTCTACAGATGTCTAGCTATTTCTACAGCATCTTCAATCGTTGTATTAAAACCTCTTTCTATTTCATTATTTTTTTGATAAAATAATATTTCTGTTTTATCTTTAATGTATATTATAATTATTTGTTCTATCTTACATCATCGCCTTGTAGAGTAGTGACAGTGAGTGGGTCTGGAGCCCGTAGTCACAAATGGATTCAAATTAATGGATTCACTGAAATGCTTTAAGAGCTTCGTTCCGTTTGGACCTGATAATATTGTAATTACTATCAAATGTATCCCGTTATAAAGTAGTTCTTGGAATATACATACAATGTAAGTATGTAACTTGGACGAAATTATCTACATAAGGCAAGAATCTCGAGGTTTTTTTTACCTAATATCAGATGATCTTGAAAATTATTTAAGAGTCAACTTAAATTTACGCTGACAATAATTTAGCCAATAATACTAATTACATAGAAAGAGTAGATAGGACATTTTTTATACTGATTTAAATAGCTTCCTATCAATCGCTCTATATTTTGCATAGTTAAAGTTGTATTATTTTAGAATATACATGTATGTCTAGCTATATACTTGCTTTGTACAATCTCTGTGACTTGGTTATTATGGATAGCAGTATAGAAGTATGAAAGACAAAATCATTGCTACATAGTAGTTAGAATGAGTAATTTAATAATTAACAGTCGGTTGAGTGACGTGAAAGTAGAGACGGAAACCGAATTACATAAGTACTTCGGTATTATGATATGATTACAACCTTTATGTGTTTATTTCTATAATTAAAAAGAACTAAAACTCGCTGATACAAGCTTTTATCAGTCAAAATTGTAGCTACGAAAATAAATACTGCCTTAATTCAAGAAAAAAAATATTATGATAAAAATTCGACAAATAATTTTGGTATTTTATTTATTTATGTACCAAAAAGAAAAATTAATTACAATTAAAGTAATATAAAAGAAATGTGATGTACAAAGGATAACTTATCTCTTAAAAGAGATCTCTACCATATTTTAATATGATTTGCAAGGACTTGAAGTTTAATAATAATCAATAGGTAATTTATATTTTCACACGTCATCTATATATATTCATCATGATCAGACAAATCGTTTATAGAAAACTGTTAACCCATTTACAAGTCACGAGCTATCATCTAAATTGTTGAGACCATAAACCCCCTTTAGTTTCTCGGCAGATTCATTAAATACGACAACACAATAATGTACAGGGTGACTGGTGAATTACTATCAATATTTAAGGAAAATACTCGGTAAATGATTCTCATTCGAATTATGTAAAAAAAATAGGCACTTAATTTTTGACAAAATTTCCGTATAAATAAATAAAGTGTTGACACGTTCCAAGAGTTCCAAGTGTGGACGCGTGCGGCGGCGTGCTGATACAACACCACTCCGCCGCACGCGTGTGTGTGTGTGTGTATACCTAATCTGTAGGGTGTTCACACGATGCGTAATTAATTACATAACTTTTGGTTAACTTTACTTAGAAGTTTATTAATATTTATGTTATATTAATTTTTATTTTGTCATATATGATCGTCAAATATCACGTCCTCAAGTATCGATAGTAATTCACCAGTCACCCTGTATAAATTTATCGACAACCAGCTGAAGCGGTATAAAAACAGTGTCGTATAGCCAATCAAACTATTTACATTAAGTTAATAACAATAAAAGCTATTAAAACCTCTTTGGTTAAAACCTCTTTCGTTTGCACATCATAAAAGGTTTTAATAGACCTTCGGTATGGAGGTCGAATGGATACGAACGGCTGACAAATTAAAACCCGTTGCTGTAACAAAAAGTGACGAACTCATACCAGATCCCCCGTTGCTCGACGCTATGAGGATAGAAACGCGTAGCCTAGAACGTTGATGACTTTTAAACAAGGGTTGATTAGCCTACATACTTTAAGCAGATACTGGGACAGCTGAATACTATACGATTCTATCAATTATCGCCTTATTATGTATATTAATTATGTATAATTCGTGATGGCCTAGTGGTTAAAGTCCCGCCTCTCGTACATGAGGGCGCAGGTTCGAAACCTGGCAAGTACCAATGTGTTTTTTACGAGTCATATGTACTTTCTAAGAGCATTAAGACACTACTGACAGTCGGTGAAGGAAAATATCGTAAGGAAACCTAGACTTATAATTTCACAATTATAAGTTTGAAATCGCCAACCCGTCTTGAGCAAGCGTGGTGATTAATGCTCAAACCTTCTCCATGTGAGAAGAGGCTATGCTCAGCAGTAGTCTGATAGGCCGATGATGATGAATTATGTATAAAATTCTTTTCACAAGCCTATTTGAATATTCCACAGCAATGAAGAAAGATTTTGCCCAACTCCAAATATTACTCAAGCGTGTCAATACACACATAAATCTATGGTGTTTCATCGGAAATTTTACGAGAAATGTATGGTGAAATAGATGTATATGTACAAATAAGATAAATATGAAATTGTATTTAAAAAAACACTAAATGTGATAGTTTTATTATTTAAATAAATATAATATATATGGACTAATAACTGAAAACTATTCGTGTTTGTTTGTCAGTTGGAACTTGTGATAACTATTTGCGTATTACAAGTTTTCTTTAATACTAGATCTTAATAATATTATGCATGATAAAGTTTGTTATTATGTATGTTTGTTGCTCTGTCACGCAAAAACTACTGAATGTATTTCTTTAAAACTTAATCATCATGTAAATTACTAATCAGAGAAACACATAGGCTATAATTTATCCTGGGATTTCGTGTATTTGTCGACACGACATAACTGTATGACGTCACGTGACACTCTAAAGGTGTGGCTGGATAGTTACCGTATTTCTTTTAACATACAACCATATACATTTCTCAACTAAGATATTGAAAGCAAAGTCGGAAACAAAATCTAGTATACAAGTGTTAAATTCTCGGCCTTAGACGACGATGAATTATCTTTATTCAACAAGTTATCAGAATCATCTAAACACGTGTTAGTATTACCATGTAAGTTATTATAAGTTATTTCTCTTTCAAGTGGACCGTTCTTACTATTTTTATTGTACTTTCCATTTAAAATGCCACGTGAGGTGTCTATTACGTGACGGTGACGAGATGCTATTGGTTTTGAAGAATTAAAACCTTTTTATTAATAGTATATAATTTATTATAATTTATCATGAGGCTATTTTGATATATGTAGTACTAATAAATTTGATATTTGGCAATCATATCTCAATTGGTACTCAGACAGCAATCTTGTTTCAATAGAGTCGTACTTTCAATTCGTAACCAATCAAACGTACCAATCATCATTCAATCAGATCATTTCCATTCAATTACATTCATTAAACAAAATATGTTTCTTTTTGCTTAAATCATCAGGACGAGGCAAAACTTCTCATCATTCAATGTATTCACGGTGCGTGTGTCGGGTCCATCGTTGTAGTGAGAGGAGCTTCAACAGTGACTGGGACTTGCGACCCAGGTGTAGGTTTAAGGGACCCCTATCTAATATATTAAACGCTCAGATGTACTCGTTTGGACTCCAATAATATTTAAGTACTTAATCTCATTAATATATTTGAGTGTTTAGTACTTTTTCCTCGTAATGAGAAATTTAACTTCACGCATGACCTTAACTAAGTGTATGACTGAAGACGGGATACTATCAGTATTTAGTCTTAGGTTGCAACTAGTTCTAAGTGTATTTCTATTTCGCAAGTTGGCCAATCGCATTATTTATTATTAATACAATAATAGTTAACTAATTTGTATATAATATATAAATGGAATGTCTATATGTCGTTATATTCTCAATTTCCCTAACATATTTGTTTTAATTGTCTTGCGGTTATCCTAACTTGTTTCAAATCTTCACCTCATAGAATTCTTCTAACGGAATATTTGCAATTATAATATTATAGAAATATTTTTCGATTTAAATCGTTTAACCTGATACAGTTGAGATGAAAAACAAAACGAAAGTGTATTATGTAATGTTAATTAATTTAATTAATATATATAATAATTAGTTCATATATTTAAATTTGTTCCTGAATTATATCATAGTTTACGTAATATACATACATCAAATAAAATTCATTATAAAACAATATGCCCACTATTTTTTTAAGCAACCAAAATAAAATTCAAAAATTAAGTCATGTGCATATATTTCGTGGCTAATTTCAAATTAATTGCGCGTATATTATTGTATTACCCAAATGTTGAAAGAGAAAGGCCTAAAATATAACCTTGGATCCTCTTTGAGCACACGAGATGTGCCGTTACACGGTCGTTAACGGACCGGCGCGTCGGTCGACTGACCAGCGTCTCGATAATAACATCGGTTTATGCATCACTAGCTCGACCATCGATACGGCTACATCACTATCACACACACAACTAGTGTCAAAATATAACGATAATTTATATCATTTATCGATTCAGTAACGAAGGGTAACGGCACTATTTCGTCCCACTGACATTTAAATGGTTACGATGAGAACAAGTGGGCGGGATATCAAAGGAAAGGTAGCGGCGGCCGTTGAGAAATTCCTCTCCTTACAAATGGCCGGTTATCTGAACTTGTATCAGGGTTGGCACGAAGATATTTCGATTGTCTTTACTATTACACCGATTCCTTTAAAAGGCTTGATAAGAAACTAGCCTAAACTAAAGGAATTTTTTGCAGACGAGCCTACATAATGTTATTATTTATAATTGAAGCGTGTAATAAGGAAGAACATGGCATTATGGCATTCCAGGGATGCCTGAACCCGGAACACGTCTACTAGCTGTGACACCCTCATTGTTGGAGGAATGCAGACTCAAGGCTGCAGGAAAGTTCAATACTGATTCATTAAAAGATTCGAATTATTGTGATAAATGGAGACTAATAAGTTATGTTGTTTAGTTTTTAATTAAGTATCGATTACTAACGGTTTTAAAAAATATTTGATTTAAATAGTTTTATCGCATGTTTCAACAATATATTTAAAAACTAAATTCTTTGTAAAGAATGCTTAAAAAAACTGGACTAATTTTAGAATACTTTTATGAAAAAAATTACGTTCTGAATGGTTTAATTTAACGTGTCTGTCAAAATGTATAGAAATATACATATTATACATTTAATATACACAGAAATATACATATTATACATATAATCGCATTGTTTACTCAAGAAGTAGAAAAGTTTAAAATGCAGTCATTCAGGAAATGGGACACCATAATTTTTTTATCTTCTTCGAATTCAGAAACGACAGTTTACGTCAATATATAACTTCAAGTACATTTTAAATTGCGGCCTTTGACCTTAATGAGTGTTATTCATTGCCTTTGTTTTTGTATCAACAGAAATAAAACAAAACAAATTATTATTTGCTTGTCAATCATAAACTGTATGGGTAATAATTTGTCAGAGATCCTAAACTCATACAGCCAATGTCGACTTATTTAATCTGTGTAACTAATTTTATTTTTTCTCCATACAGCCAATGTGGTGTTATTTAATCTGTGTAACTAATTTATATTAATAAAGCCGTCGTTGTTGTAAATTTATTTCGTGTATAGATATTGCAAAGTTTCCAAGTAAGACGACAAGTGAATGTTTAAAGAAAACCCTTACGACACACATCGTGATCATGAATGACAAAACGCACCCAGTTTGAGGAAAAACATCAAATTAAGAAACTATTCCTTTATAACAAAATTAACTTTAATAATGACTTATATGAGAAACGCGATTCTTTATTTACTATACTTTAGTCGTAAGTGGTATTACAACATTTAGTAGAAACCCGGCTAATTTAAATGTTATATATTAAAAAAATTAATCAAAAAAACAATTATTAGCTAACCTTTGCGTATAAGTTATTCTAAGGACTGTATTAAAAAAAAAATATCTTGGGTTAAGACTTGGTGCAATACATTTCATCAATCTTCTTGCATGCCATTTCAACAGTTTTAAGTTCTAAGAGTATTTAAACACTACTGACAGATGAAGGAAAACATCGCGAGGAAACCTGGACTTATGATTTCACAATTATAAGTTTGAAATCACCAATCCGTCTTGAGCAAGCGTGGTGATTAAAGCTCAAATCTCCATGTGAGGAGAGTTTTTTCCTCAGCAGTGGGCTCTGATAGGCTGATGATGAAGTTAGTACGAACCTTCATAGTGGTTGTCATCATCATCATTGCTGGCAGCTGTAGTGATCTGGCGACATAGGTCCTCATATTCCGCCCAGTAAGCTGCCAGACCAGCAGGATCCGGGGCGCGAGGTAGAGACATGTGGACCTCGGGAGATTCCTGGATATAAAGAAACATTTATAAACAAAAATATATAAGTGTTTCATTCTACTTTTTTATCATTATAGCCTTTTATTCAGATCTTACAAATAAGTGTTAACAATATATACATCTTAAAAATAAACATAATATCTTAAACTTAATAAGCTACTTAAACTAATATCTGTTCCTTGGTTATCATAGCTAGATCAGTTTGCCAGTCGGCAAAGGCCTCCTCCAATCATTCTACTTACTATTAAGAATATTTGTAGAGTGAGTGTTTTAAATTATCATAAACTATTCAAGGACGAACGGTCTAAAATTAATTTTTAATTTTATCAAGCACTAACGATCTCAAAATTCTATATATAGCGACCTCAATGCTCATTTATCTGTCATCATTAAGAAATACAGCATTCTTAGACAATGGGAAGCGGTGCAACCACTATCATAATACAACTGATTCTAATTTGAAACATGACACAATGGAGGAGCATTGCGACACTTGGACTGGAATTATTATATTTAAAATATTAAACTAATTTAACCAGTTAGTGCTAGTATTAATATATGATCATTTAGGTACTATTTTTAAGTCAGTAGAGGCCTAGTGGTTAACAAGCTCTTTCTCTCATGCATGAGGGAGCGGGTTCGATCCTGGCGAGTACTAATGTGATTTTTACGAGTCATATGTACTTTCTAAGAGTATTTAGACATCACTGATCAATGCATTCCCAAAAGAGAGTTGATGTCAGGCAGGTGGCAGGTCGTAAAAACAATTAGCCAAAACTATACACAACATGTAAGGCAGACCCTGGCTGAAGCTGGGAAATTGCCAGGTAGAAGATAAATAAAAATACGTATACGAACTCTTTCGAAAGTCTACTTCAATCAAATTGTATAATCAGTAATAGATGTTTCGTTTGAAGGTCTACGTTTCAATGTTACTTTGCTTTTACGAATTCTGTATCGGGTGCGGTCCATTTGAATTTAGGCGAGGTCCGCCATAAATAATATTTATTAGATTTATTTTATATCATCGACATTTCAACATCATGGTCGATGTATTCTGACGTTTAAGAATCTTAGTGATGATATATGTGCCTAGGCTAATCTTATGTAAAACAGATATTATATTCGTATGTATGAAGTACTTTTTGACTGGAAAACAGGGCTTTTAGGTAAACTAGTATTAAAAAATTGGTTGTTTGTAAAGTAGGTTTACGATCGAGATGTTTACGTGATAACGTCTTATTGGTGATATAAGTTTTTGGGAAGTAAAACATTCAACGAAAACTTAACCACACGAGAAAATCTCCATTCGTTTGTATGCCGCTAGAGTGAGAGAGACGGAAGATCGGTCCACTCACTCAAACGCTATGCCTGCCTCGGCTCGTGAGGATTCCGCGTGACAAGTTTCATTGAATGACTGGCAGCCCTCGAGATGAGACGGGAGATCGGTCCGTCTCTCTCTCGTTATACCTGCGATCGCGCTCGTGAGGTTTTGGTGTGACACAAGTTTCTGAACATGTCACCCGTGACCCGACTAAAACGATTTTAAAGACGTTATCACGTCAAAATGTCCATTGTAAAGTTATATGTAAAATAATTGAGATTGATTGTTGATTGAACAAAAACATCTATTCACGTATATTTATTGTACCACAGTAAATATAATTAGTTGTAATATTTATAATGTGTGCTCTATCTGGTAATCAATGAATCATTAAAAGAAGTATTTGTAAACATACGAAAATCAATTACAAGTCAAACAATCGTGTCTTAAGTTTGAGAAATAATTATTCATTATTGTTTAGACATATATAATTAATAATTATGTAGTGTATATATTTAGGATTCCATCGCAATAATTTTGAATTAAAACTCGTTATAGGAAAAATAGTTACGTAATATATGTATAGGCTCTTATTGTGGACCAATTTAAGAATATTGTTCTATAACATTGTTTTACAATACTTTATTTTAAACTATAACATTCTCGTACATAGAATCTTATTTATATCCTTATGAGAGCATAATTTAAAGTTTCTGTAAACTTAATATTTTTTTTAGGCTCCTTTTCTTTGTAAATTTATTAAAACCTTAAATATTACGTGCTTCATATTGACGACTATTTTAGGTTCAACCACAAAAACTATAGTCATATTATATACATTTAGGAAGATGTTCATAGTTTTTGTGGTCACATTAGCTTTCTTTATATATAGTCATATCCAGGTACAGCTTAAACGTACCCGAATTATGATTGTCTAGTGTATTATAATTATATATAATAACTATCATATTCCACGATATTTAATGTCAGACAAAAGGAGCGGAACATCCGCGGCAGCGACATCCGCTGAGATATACAATCGTACATATTACATAGTAACGTATTGTGACGTTAAGATCCGCTCGCACTGAGAATAGACCCGTACTTTTGCAACCAGAATAGAAACTGAATTATTTATCACAGAATATAAGGGTAGTAAAAGGTCTTATTAATCAGTAGTGTACAAGCAGTGTGCAGCATAAAGGTAATATCAAAATTGAAACAGCACAATATGAAAATAATGGCCGTCTTTGGAGCAGGCCTTCACGCACAGAGGAGTTCTTGCTTAATAAGAGTATTAAATAGCCTAAGTTTTTATAGATTTACTTTTAATGTATTTTGCAATATATAAAAGGCTTTATTTATATTGATCAGTCTTTCCAATAGATATCGCTGGTTAGAAGAAGTTCTTAATAGGTTTAGCTATAACTGTATCTCATTAAATCTCAAAAATGTATTATCATACTTTGATCGTAAATCAGAATTTAAACAGAATTAAGTCCCTCATAGAAGATATGCTATAAAAATATCTCAAATAGTAATTATTAGGTATCGTTTTATGACTTCCGTCTGTTTTATTACAACTGTTAATTATTTTACAATAGAATCAAACGACCGTCTAGCATCTTCAATATTGTTGTCCCTTTCTAATATAGGCGGTGTAATATATGCGTCTCTTTCCTTCCGGTTTGATGGATGCCATCGGTGTGTTTGTAATATCTTGTAAGTTATAATCATTTATTAGTTATTGAAGGTCTGATGAAAGCTGAGGTTATTGATCTGTGTCATGTAGAAACTAGATGGACAGTCCTTTATAGAAGTTACAATATACACACACACACACACACACACACACACACACACACACACACACACATATATATATATTGTTTATACTTTAGTTTTCATACTGAACATATAGTAAGTCATATATTTCTGAGTTTACCAGTTGTAGTGCAATCAATAAAGTTTTATAACATAAAGATTTCACAGAAACACTAATGAAGAGATTCAATATTAATATTAACGATGTAATTAAAATATATATGAATATCGAATGAATTTATACAGGAAAGTACGTAGTGATGGAAAAGTCGAAGAATAACAAGACTAATGCACTAATATTTTTGCATTGAAAGTGTATGAAATAGTCAAAATATCAATATACCTTCAATATTAGAGAGTTGAGGGAAAAATGTAAACTAAATGCACATAATATTCATTTTATTTAACATGTTTTTTAACCCACACAATACGAGTGAATCATGAGAACCATCTTGAGATGCGACTCTCGTGTGGAAAACTTGAAAGTTGTCATTCTGTTGTATAAAAGTTTTTAGCGCCAGCATGCTATACATATAGACGTGTTAAGAAAAATTACATAACTGGAAATTACCAATCGATAAATTCACATCGGTATATTAATGAAATCTTGATATGTATATTTTTGAGGTGGTGGAGCCTGTGGTCATACTACAGCTCGAACATGGGCTGGCTCGACCGGGGAAGTACCACCCTCTCATAGAAGATCGGCGTGAAGTAGTCTTTATGGCTGCGTTTCGTCCGATGAGTGAGAGAGCCGTTTGCTTTTGCCCTTTTCCCACCCTTTCCTGACTTTTCCCTTTCCCACCTTTTCCCCCCATTCCAAAAACAAGGGTCGCAACACATCCGCAAATCTATGTTGCGGATACCACCTCCATCAGGTAGGATGTCTGATCCCTTGCTTCCTTTAGCATAAACAAAAAAATAATTATATTTTATTGAAACCGCAGTATTTAACTATATTAAGCCGGACGCCAATGTTAATGTTGGAATTTCTGAACTGTGACGTCACTCTGATTCATTAAAGGATTCAGATGTAACGATACTCAAACAATAAACTGACACTACGGATTTATCTTCGGATAAGCAAGTGATAACTCGTTGAAATACGAAGATTTCTTTAAATTTAATTAGTAAAAAGAATAGTAATATCTATAACATACATGTGTATATATTTTTTAAATTATTTAGCCAGTAGTTTCTGTCGAAAGTCCAGCTTTTGTAAGTCTTCGTCAAACCTCGTCAATTTAACTTCCAGATCTCATTCAAAGCATACGATATGATGTCATTGATACAGTCGTCTCGGCCAGCTAACCAACCTATTATGTAAATCATTATATAAACATTCATGTTTCACTAGTCATAACCTGTGGTTTCGCTCGCACCAACTTAAGAGTGATTCATTCCAGATTATGAGATAAAATTCATTTCAAACAAACAAAAAATACTTGGGCAGCAAACGAGAAGACGTAAGTGCATACGTAAAAAAACTTATCGTTTTAGCTGACTAACAATACCCACACAATGATTCTCGGTTTTATAAAATATAGTATTTATTTCTAACTTGCTGACCCGGCAGACTTCGTACTGCCTCAATAGATAAAAAATATTATTTATTTATATTTTTGGTGTTTACCTTTAAGCCAAAAATCTACGTGTTCTGAAGTGCGACAGAATGATTGACATATTAGTTAGTTGTCAAATCTAATGTCAAAAAAAACGTTTGTATGGGAAATAGAAAAGCGCTGTTTTTAGGGTTTTCCCGGAAATGATTCAATTTTTCTCAGCTTCTAAACCTTCCCTGAACCTCCACGAACATTTCAAGAGTAAGATAAGATAAATCCAGTCAGCCGTTTTCGAGTTTTAGTGAGACTAACGAACA